TTGTATGTTTAGTTTTTATTTAAAAATTTGCAGTGTCACAAATGCTTTCTTGTTCTCAAAATCACACCACCAGCGATCGCCGGAGTTGAGTTAATGTCCACTACCCGAAAACGCAGTGTTGATCTAAAATACGTTTGTGTCATCTGTTTAACTTAGCACCTTTAATCCTGCGTTTTCTTGACTACGAAGCATTTCCTGTGCATTGTAACATGCAAAATAGAAATTGTCTTTTATAATTAAAAAGAAAAATCGTAAACCTATTTCTGCCTATTTCTGTCGTGAAGCAGTAATGCGTTTCGGTTTGAAGGGTGGGGCAGCCGTTGTAACTATACTGAGATCTTAGAATTTATATCTCAAGGTGGGTGGCGCATTTACGTTGTAAATGTCTATGGGCTCCAGTAACCACTTAACACCAGGTGGGTCGTGAGCACGTTCATCCTAAATGGATGGATTCATCCGGGTGATGGAAGGCCAGCTATCCTCGACCCACGCTGGTTCTGGTCCAGCGGGATATTCCGTAGGATAGCTCACTCTAACCAGCGCCATCTAGGCGGGCTTCAGATAGCCTGCCGACCGAGAGGGCTGGTGGTCGTGGCGCCGACGACCGCCAGTCCGGCGTCCCGAGGGGGAGGGCGATGGGAGAGATGTGCTCCGCACTAAACGCTTCACTTTCCCCCCTTTGCCTCTTCATGAGTTCTGTCTCATGCGAGGTTTGGATGTTGGTTGTTGAGCGACAGGAGGTTTTAGTCAGTTCGACTCTGACATACCCCCCCTCCATCCCCAGTGGAGGGCGGAAGTCCGGCGATTTCCTACTGAACAAAAAAAAAAAATGGATGGATTAGCAATAAAAAAAACAAAATTGGCACTTTTACTTTAGAGGTAATTTGTGAACAAAACTTAGATAGGTAATCAGAAAAATTTGTACGTGATCCTGGCTGGAGCTTTTACTACACTAAGTAGCCTTCGACTTACCAAAAACGGAACAAATCCATCTCTCCCACTAGTTATTATCTTTATCCGTTTTTATTAACCGCTGAAAAGCATTTAGGCATTACGAACTGTTCATTTATCTTTTTAAATTATCAAGACAAATGTATCACTTAATCGATAAAACAAATTATTAATAATTACATGTTATCGTTGCGAGCCGATCTAATCGTTATCAGTGGGTTTGTCACCGAAAAACTACACACAGCACTAAGCGCTGGACATCCGTTGATTGTGGTTTAACGTTTTCAAAAAAAAAAAACAAAAAAGTATATACAAAATCTTCTATTGCTGTGTGCGTACTTTGTATGAATCGTGTAGTGTGAAAATATTTATTTTGTGAATCAATAATAATTGGTAATGTTATTTAATTTTAACGTAGTGATTAGTAAAGAAAAGGTTTTAAAAACATAAATACGTTCAGGTTAATAATACAAAGCTTAAAGTTCAGTGCGAAGAGTCCTTAATCGTCTCGTGTAGGGGATATGAGAGGTGCAAATGAAGTCATAAAATAAAATTCTCTTATTTAACTTTCAAGTCATTTTTAATACACAAACAGAACCAGCTACAAACTAGCAAGAATTTTTTTTTATTGCCCTGTAGGTAGACGAGCATACGGTCCACCTGATGGTGAGTGGTTACCGTCGCCCATGGACTTCAGCAATGCCAGGGGCAGAGCCAAGCCGCTGCCCTACCGAGAGAACAACAGGGCTAGGCCTTCGTTGGTTCGTTTATTGATGGCTTGGCTGCCAATAGAAATAATTATCAATGTGTATTGGTGATCAAATGTTTCGCAAACAGGAAATGACCCGAGATTATCGTTTATAAATAAATGAAGATGTGAGAAAGATTAATAATAATAAGTTGTTTTTCCAATGGGCGGGCGTAGAAACAAAATTAAAAAAATACATTCGTTTTGTTATTATATTTTGCCATTACGCTATTCGTGGAGTAACAAGGGTGCTTTTAAGAAGTAAAGCCTTTGATTGTAGATTCTAAGTTAGTTATCCGTATACAAACCCACACGTTTAACCCTTTAACTGCCATGTAAATCACCGATGCCATGCGTGGCGCACTGAAGTAATTATCTCGATTTCTGTAACTAATGCGCTGGAATATCTAGTAGACTCTGGAAAAGACGAATTCAAAGATACAGAGAATGAATCTCTTTCTAAGAGTCCAAACTAACAAAAACATATATTTACAAAATAAGGTAAATTTAGGCAACTATAATAGTTAGGCGATTAGTGACAGTACTTCAGTGCGCCACTTAAGGCATCGTTGTACTACATGGCGGTTAAACGGTTAATCCATAGGGTGATGAAGTCTCAGTTATATATGCATAACGGCTGTTCCACCTTTAAAACCGAAACGCACTCCTGCTTCACGGCAGAAAACGGCAGTATGGTCGTACCTATCCGTGCGGGCTTACAAAAGATCCTACCACGTTTCTAAATCTAAAAACGCTTATAAATGATAGATTTTTATCAAACAACAAATTGGCTAATTTATTTAAGCTTCACTGACGCTGTATACACTAGCCCTGGTTATTTGTACACAGCGCAATCCACTTTGAGGCAAGAGTCATTATTCCACCACAACATGAATATGATTATCCACCTCGTAACACGATTCGGAAGACTTTATTGCTTCATAACAAAGCTGTTCTCGGTAGGCGGGCCCTATTACAACACCATTCCAAAGCGGTCTTCAATACTTGACCCTACTACCGTACCAAGATATTCCAAAGTGGTGCCAATACTCCCTGAAAATTAACGACATAGGGAAGATTCTAGCGAATAGGCGAAATTGCTCGCTGAACTGATGGCCCAAATGTTATTTTTTGGAATTTGTATTTACACAAAACTTATCTTGCAAATGTCTTTGCGGGATTGAGGTGTCTGTTAAATATCTTGTGTTCTATGATAACTACCCACTATAAACTGTAATGGTCTTGTGCTCACTAGATCATTATCATCACGAGCCCCCATCCGCTGCTGGACATGGGCTTCTCTATATAAACTCATCGATCCTGGTTTTTGGCTCTCCAAATCCATCTCTTATCCTTAGCAAGTGATCACTACACCTGGCCGGGGGCGCCCCAAGCTCCATTGAGCCATTTTTCGAAATTATAATACGAATCTGCCTTTACATATTATTCAAATTGATTGCACACTTATGATTAACTTTAAAATCCTTGATACGAAATTCTTTAATAGAAACGCAATCTTTATTAAGAAAGGATTATCGAATTCAGATATTTATTTAAGGTACTTTTTTGTTGTAAGATAAAATTAATATGGCCGACGGTAAACTACCTACGATAATAAAAACATAAAAAAATATTTCAACTAAAACGGGAGTATGCGTATATGAAATATGTTTTTGATGATTAATATTTGTGAAAAAAAAAGCAGTCAAGTTGTAAACAATGTAGTTGTTTTCTTTTATTCGTGCGATAAGATTAAAAATGTTTTAGCCACATCCAAAAAAAGGATAGATAATGTTTGAAGGAAATCGCTTCAAGTGAAGTTGTTTATTAATGAAACATAATAATATAAAATTGTATTTTGAATTAAGTTGAACACACATGGAAATTCTAGAATATACTTTCTAATAAAATATTTCTCTTAAAATACGCATAGCGCCTTATGGTGTTTATTTGGATTATTCATCTTTTATCGAAAACACGGGTGCGGCTCCGGTACCTCTAGTATTGGTCCATGGGCAAGGAAATAATATTATAGATAAACTAAAGTATCTGTGTCTATTGCATACTTAGTATAAATATAATAATGGTTATAAGACGTATCATAGTAGCGTACACATAGGATACCACACTAAAGACATCGTGGCCTGACGGATAAGACATTCAATGTACTCGTATGTGACTATACTAATTATAAATCGCGCGAGCATTTGCCAATTTTTGGAATGTAGATACTTAGTACTTAACACATGTTCACAATGTCTTCCACGGCGAAGCATACGCTACATCCTAGCAAAAGTGCCTCGTGAGGCCATTTCTAACGCCAAGCCGTAATGTATTTCGGTCTCCTTTTGCCATTTCCTTATAAATTTAACACGTTATACACTTTACGATCCACCGGTGGGCCTAACATACTTTTTTTTTCCTCATACATATGCTGATAGCCTTGAGAGGCTATTTCAGCTTCTCCTCGACATGTAGGTGAGCTCACGGGGATCAAACTGGAGTGTTACTAACACTGGCCCTAGCAAGAGCAGTGGTTCGCAGAATCTACCACTAGATCGGAAACGCGACCCACTGAGAAGATCCGGCGAGAAACTCAGTGGCTGTGTCTATGGGTTAATTTACTCGTCGAGCCCTTCGTCGCAAGCGACGGGTTCGGCGAGGACGGTGACCGGGCTAGCGTATGATACCCTTCGGGGCAAACCAAAATCAGGGAATCAATAATTTTGATGAACATGTGATTCTTACCGCTATTTTGATTCTAAAATTTAATAAAATGCGGTAATTTAAAAATAAAAATTAGTGACTTTTACCGTCTAGTTTAGATGTTTTAAAAGGCTCATGGGTGCACGGAGCACCGGGGCCTGAATGAAAATACTCGATTTTTCTTATAGCGTTCAACGTGTTAAGACCTCAAGATGCGTGGGGGTATTAACGAAATTAGATTATTCTGCTATGAAGCGGTCATACGTTCCGGTTGCGAGAGTGGTATAGACATACAATTGAGACTTCAGCCTTATGTCACCTCCGACAAACACGTTGTAATGTCCATTGACTCTAGCAATCACTTATCAATAGACGGCGAATCGTAAATGCATTCAACTGTCTATGTAATAAAAACTTAACAACTAAAATATAGACGTTATGTCTCGAGGAACATTCACGTTGTGATGTCTACGGACGCCGCTAATCGGGTAACTCCAGGTCCTGGACTCATCTGCAGCATCTACTGCGCCAAAATAACCCCTAATTTACCATAGATTTACTTTTCTTCAGTAACAACAACAAAGGAACATGCAAGATGGGATTTGACGTTCGAATTCTAGCTACACTACTTCTAATCTATGCAGAAACTGTATTGGCTCAAGGTGAGATCTATTTCGATTATAATAAGCCCATAATAAGTTCATTTAAAACTAACATTATTATTTATTGTCATTGTTATTAGGGAGTCCAACACTCATATAAATATTAGCCTATCCATTAAGTACATGTATTTTCTACATGGATACCAAGTTTCAAGTCAATCGGATGCACGGTTCAGTAGTTATAACGGAACATCCGTAAAAATCACTGTAGATTTATATATTAGTATATAGATTAATAAATGGACGTACGTCACATAAGTATTACAATCATCAAATCAGTACACGTACATAACAGGGGTGACTTGAATAGGCCGAAACATCATCTGCATTACCGAGCACGGAATCACCCGGACTCCTATTATCTTGTACTGATAAAATTCCAGAAAGATGCGGCTTCATGGTTGCCATACCCAGACCACCAAGGCCGGATCTGCCTGAACTAGACTTCGAAGGTAAGATCTTAAGAAGTAATTTCTAAATTAATTTATAATTATATTAATATTATATATTACATTACAGGAATACAGAAATATTTTGGTTACAAACCATTTTGATGCCAACTATTATATGATATTGTAGCTTTTACATGTTTGTTTTAAAATTCAAAATTTGGAATAATTATTTTCAGAACATTAAAGAATTATTGTATTAATGTCAACTGCTTATCGCTGCTTCATCGATTCCCCGTGAATCTATTCATATTGGTGTTTTAAAGTCTTTTTTAATTTATTTTAAGCTTTATTCCTATTTTCAGGTCAAACCTGGAGTCAAAGACCATTAATACCGGCAGCAGACCGCGAAGATGTCTGCATGGACGGCTACCACGCGATGACTCCTACCTACGGAACTCAGATTATTTACATGGAAGAAGAGATAGAAGGAGAAGTACCCATCGCCAAACTCAATTACCGCGGTATAACATTTCGAAGTTTTCTTTGTATTAAATTTTATTTATTTATTTTTTATTGCTTAGATGGGTGGACGAGCTCACAGCCCAGCCGATGTTAAGTGGTTAGTGAAGCCCATCGACATCTACAATGTAAATGCGCCACCCACCTTGAGATATAAGTTGTAAGGTATCAAGTATAGTCACAACGGCTGCCCCACCCTTAAAACCGAAACGCATTACTGCTTCATGGCAGAAATAGGCAGGGTGGTGGTACCGCGCGGACTCACAAGAGGTCCTACCACCGGTAAGTAAGTATAGTTTTATACTTTCGCAGTATCGTCGTATTACGACCTTTATGCATTTGTCACACACATGTAACACACACAATGTACACACGCACATGTAAACTATGTTTACTAGCCGAAATGGGCAGAAAACCTCATAACCAACCGAATGGTGAATAGTTGGCGTAACCAATCTACATCACATTATATATTTCTATCAACACACCGTAAGATATCTCGTGAAATTCGGGAATTGTTTGCAATATTGCCAGAGCTTGCACCGCTTGCCAGAGCAGAGCTCATCTATCTATATACTAACTAGAACCGCTGTGTTGATCACATTGAGATATCAAAGATCGTTTTTGCCTCATACCATCCCGCTTTGAGATATATTGTTTCAAGAGCGCTATGACATATCTTGTAAAACCGAGGTTTAAGGGAAAATAGTTAGCAGTATACAGCGGCAGCAAAAATGTCTTAATTGTAATGTCCAATTAATTGGAACACAGGACTTTTTATGAATTAGGGATTACTGGTGGCCCAGAGGCCTTTGCAGTTTCAACGAGACAGGTGGGCGAGCAAAGACTCAGCTAGGAGAGGTGGGATTTGTTAACAACAACTGCCCAAGCTGCCTCCAAGGAGACCTCACCTCAAGAGCAACTGCTTCGCGAATGATTAACACAGGACTGCATCACGTCAAAATAGCATAACTTGCTGAAGATTTTCGTTAAAATGTACACTTGAATTTGTGTTTTGATGCAAAAAGAGTCAAAAGACTTTTTGGAAATCAGCTCAGGCACTTTATGGTGGGCTTACATAAAAAGAACTTGACTGACGTCGTGAACAAGCATACATTTATGTGCAAAAAGCAGAGACTATCCATCACTTTCATTATGAGTGAGCTGGTCTAGCAAGGATACAAGTGAACATCTTGGACAGTGGAAATCCGGACAAATAAATAAGTCTTATTTGCAAAAGTTTTTATAAATTTCAAACTAGTGTTTTGAAATGAAAAATACAACGCAAACCTTGAATATTAGAATTTAGTAACACAAAAATGTTGTTACAGACTTGATAAATTACACAATTGTTCTATTTGCAGGTCCAAATGTACCATACATTGAGCCAGCATTTCTGTCTGGTTCTTTCAATCTACTCGTGCCCGTTATCCGCAGGATACCAGATAGTAATGGAGAATGGCACCTTATTATTACTCAGAGGTTCGTATCCATACACTAGCTGAAACGTTTGAAGGAGTCTTCAGTGATGTGCCCTCTGAATATCAAGTGGCTATGCAGCTATACTTAAGTGTAACTATACTTGAGACCTTAGAACTTATAGCTCAAGGTGGGTGGTGCATTTACGTTGTAGATGTCTATGGGCTCCAGTAACCACTTAACACAAGGTGGGATGTGAGCTCGTTCACCCATCTAATTTTTGATGGAAGTAGAAATGTCCCTGGGGTTCGTGGCTATTTCTGTAGTTATTGAGAATAGAGACTTTTAATATAAAAATTCCTTTCCTTTCCATTTGAAATTGAAAATTTTCCAAATGTACAATGGACTTCATCAATACCCACATTTAAATTGTATAATCAATACGAAAGTAGCTCTGTCTGTTTGTTTTGTTATCATGTGTTATCATGCTACAACCAACGAACCGATTTTGACGAAAAAATGAGTGTTTAATATAAAAATTCCTTTCCTTTCCTTTTGAAATTGAAATTTTTCCAAATGGACAATGGACTCCGTCAATATCCACATTTAATTTGTATAATCAATACGAAAGTAGCTTTGTCTGTTTGTTTTGTTATCATGTGTTATCATGCTACAACCAACGAACCGATTTTGACGAAAAATGATGAGTGCCTACATTAAATAGAACATAGAAAACTTGACAAGAATACGCCCTCACACGTCACCGGAATTTTATTTGTATTTAAATTACGCGCATCAATAACTTTTTGTGCGAATCAATCAATACTTTTAAGGCCGCTTATTAAGAAACACCAACACTTCCAATCGGCGTTCGTTTTAGGAAATGTGCACTCCGATTTTTCAGAGATTTCATTCTAGTCCAACATTCCAATTTACAGTTTTTGAGGTCACGATAAACTAGGGCCGAGCGCGTTAAAATCAACTAAATCACTTAATTTTTAATACGCTTTTATTAGCTTCAGACGTATGTATGTTTGTAACGGAATCTTTGAACATGATTTTGACCCCCTTCAAAACGTCGAATTAACTCGAAATTTGGTATATATAAGTATTAATACATATATACATAAGGATTTGGATTGCCATAGGTCCTTATTATTAAGGACCTATGGCAATCCAATATTTAAAAAAAAATTGAAAAAATAAAAAATATGTAATCAACTAAAAAATTAAAAATAAATAATAGTTTAAAAAAACTAACAAAATACGCTTTTATAGAAAATCCAACTAAAAAATAGAAAAAACAATTTTAATACATTCGAATTAAAAATGGTGTACGAAAAAATTATTTTATTGTATTATAAAAAAGCGTGGGGTGCTTTTCAGGATATTATCAAAATAACCCTTCTACTCATATCGGTTCATAAAATATATACAACTACTTATACCATGCACCCCACGGTTTTTTTTACAATAAAATCACTTTTTCTTATATTATTCTTAATTCAAATTTATTAAAATTTATTCTTGTTCCAGACAAGATTATGAGACTCCTGGAATGCAGCAGTATGTGTTCAACATCAGGATAGATGGGGAGACATTGGTCGCGGGTGTTTCACTGCTGATTGTCAATATCGACGACAACGCACCTATAATTCAAGCACTTGAACCGTGTCAAGTTGACGTGAGTTTCATTGAACATTTAATTCGCGCGACTTTGAAGAGATTTTCTAACGAGCCGGCTATTAATTGACTATCCGAATGTTGTTATTCGGAACATGTGCTTATGTAAGCTTATACATACGACATAAGGTCGGATATTGATAACAACTTTAGAGACTTATAGTATACGGTTGCCGATAAAATGCAATCAATCCAACATCAAATCTAGCGTAAAATTACAATTACCTAAGTTATCCTAACGATTTATTTTTCAATGTTCACCATTCGTTCCCTATTAACTAACTAAACTAACTAATTCATTAAATAAATAAATAAAAGACAAATTTATTAAAAAAAAAATGGATTAGCTGATTGAATTGGTATGTTACCGGATGCCATGATTCCATTTAGTCCATTAAAAAAATAACAAAACTTTTTTTAATTCCTAAATTCAACGTCACGTCAAAGCCACCACGTTCGATAATGACCCGTCAAAACCGCATTCCTTCAGTGGCCGGACTATAACTGTTATTGTTTCTAATGCTTTTCTGATATCTGATATTTTATAGCACGATATGTTCCTTCATCGTGGGAGTCATTCGTGCAGATGAATTAAATAAAATATTAGACATTACCTGGAGGCGAAATTCAACACGGACGTAGTCTTACTTACTTACTGGTGGTAGGACCTCTTATGAGTCCGCACGGGAAGGTACCACCACCCCGCCTATTTCTGCCGTGAAGTGGTAATGCGTTTCGGTTTGACGGGTGGGGCAGCCGTTGTAACTATTCTGCGACCTTATAACTTATACCTCAAGGTGGGTGGCGCATTTACGTTGTAGTTGTCTATGGGCACCAGGAACCACTTAACACCAGGTGGGCTGTGAGCTCGTCCACCCATCTAAGCAATAAAAAAAATCGCATCACTCGATACGATATGACTTCTAGTTTTTTACACTATTTAAGATTGTTTGTTTATATAGCTTCATTTTCATCTGCATCTAATAGGAACTAGGGGAAGCTCGTCTGACTGAGTGCGTATACGTCGTAACTGATGCCGATGGCCGCATCAGCACCCAGTTCATGCAGTTTAGGATCGACAGCGATCGAGGAGACGACAAGATCTTCTACATCCAAGGGGCGAACATTCCGGGCGAATGGATCCGGATGACAATGACCGTTGGCATCAATGAACCGTTGAATTTCGAGACTAATCCACTACATATATTCTCTGTGACCGCTTTGGTAAGTTTCATTATCATAAATATCGTAGACTGATGATAAAGTAGGGACCCATACAATTATTATGGTGAATATTCACTATTTAAGCGAAAAAGTGGCGGCCAATTCTTAAGGTATAAGGATGTTCAGAAGAGGCATATGAAGAAATGCAACATTGACCCCTCTCGTTGGGAGGCCCAAGCACAGAACCGTTTGGAGTGGAGACGCTTGGTGCTGCAGGGCGTGTGTATCTTTGAAAACGACAGGAGGCGCGAACTGGATGACAGACGAAATAAACTGAAAAATAGACCGCCTTCCACCATTTTTTAGATCTAAGTGGGTGGTGTTCTTACGTGTTCTGTTTGCGCACATTTAAGAACAAGATAGGCTACCATAGCCATATTAGAGCGCATGAGAGGCGCGGACATTAGCTTTTAAGTTATTGAACAGAAAATTTTGGTCGCCGTTGCCGAAGCCGGCTTGGAACCATGAATGGTGAATAACATTCACATAATTCGACAACCACGTTCTTGTTTTATTGTTATTATATTTTGATTATATAACTTTGAGATTTTTTCTCTCTTCCAAATCGTTAGTAGACTAAGGATTCAAACTACGTACGAACTCGAAGGTGAGCTCACGTGCTCAACCTGAGAGCATTACGAACAATAGCCCTAGCAAGAGCAGTGCTTCGCTGAATCAACCACCGGTTCGGAATCGCGACCCACTGAGCAGATCCGGCAATAAACTCAGTGGGCTGTGTCTATGGGCTAGTTCGGTCGTTGAACTCTTCGTCGTAGTCGACGAGTTCGACAAGGACGGCGAATGATGCTTGAGGGACCTAAAAGTACCGACAGTGGATCCGGGGGATCCGACAAGACATGTCTTGGGCTTTGCTTTGCTCCGTCGCCTGGGTTGGATAACATAAATACATTAGTATTTTGCATAAACTATAAGAGTACAAAATAATACTGTGCTATTTGGGATTGGGAATTTAGAGACTAAGCAAATTCTTCATAACTTGGTAATCTAACATATAAATCTACAGAGGTTTTTACGGATGTTCCGTTATAACTACTGAACCATGCGTCCGATTGATTTGAAACTAGGTATCCATGCAGAAAATACATGTAATTAATGGATAGGCTAATATTTATATGAGTGTTGGACTCCCTACACCAGTTGCGGGGGCGTTAATGATAAGAATCGTTGTGGGGGCCCTAATGATCAAAAACGCTAAATTTAAAATTTCAGCTTTTATCAACTTATTATTGACTAGCTGTACCCGCCCGCTTCGTTGGGCATTCAAAATTAACATTATTATTTATTGTCTTTATCATAGTTTCTTCATTTTAAAAAAATTACTTCCCCTTCCCGTCTTAAATCAAGCGAAGCGGGTGGGTACTTATATTATAAAATTTATATTACTTGGAAATGAATTGATCTTTGAATTACCGATGCATTAAATCCATGTCTGACCTACAGGACTCTCTCCCAAACACTCACACTGTGACGCTTATGGTACAAGTAGAGAATGTGGAACATCGGCCGCCACGATGGGTAGAGATCTTTGCTGTACAACAATTCGATGAGAAAACTGCACAGAGCTTCCCTGTAAGAGCTATCGACGGAGATACGGGCATCAACAAACCTATCCACTACAGACTGGAAACAGCAGAAGAAGGTGAGAAGTCTAAAAAAAAATTTTTATGTAGCTATGTAGTTTTTTTATGTCTTTCAAGAAGAATTTGGAAACCTACTAACTTTGTGTTTGTTTACTTTAAACCGTAAAGTGAACACTTACTAAAGTGGCTAGACTACTAAGCCTAATCGGTAAGACCGCCGGTGTATCTGTTTCATATCGATTTATTGTTGACGGCACAATTCTAATAATAAAAGTATCAATATTTAAAAATCAATGCATCATACAAAGCCTGTGCTCACGACTTTCATTTGAAATAAATACCATTATGTATAAACGGAGACTTTTTTTTTATTTATTGCTTCGATGGGTGTACGAGCTCACAGCCCACCTGGTGTTAAGTGGTTACTGGAGCCCATAGAGATCTACAACGTAAATGCGCCACACATCTTGAGATATAAGTTCTACAGTCTCAGTACAGTTATAACGGCTGCCCCTCCCTTCAAACCGAAACGCATTACTGCTTCACGGCAGAAATAGGCGGGGTGATGGTATCTACCCGTGCAGGCTCACAAGAGGTCCTACCACCAGTAAAAAGGCGCTACACAGGCGGTAGGGCGATTTACAAGCTAGCATGGACAGGCACCACCGTCACAAAAGCAGAAAGTATCAATCTTTTTAAAAAGTTGGGAGAGCCGTGATATAATTGATATTTCAAAAAAATTAACTTTGTTATAGATACGTTTTTTCACATTCGCACCATCGAGGGGGGTCGTAGCGGCGCCATATTATACGTAGATCCAATAGACAGGGACACATTACAAAGAGAAGTGTTTCAATTATCCATAATCGCGTATAAATACGACAACGAATCTTCAGCTACGGCAGCCAACGTTGTCATAATAGTCAACGATATAAACGACCAAAGACCAGAACCTTTGTTCAAAGAGTATCGTTTGAACATAATGGAAGAGACAGCTTTGACGTTGAACTTCGATCAGGAATTCGGATTCCATGATAGAGATCTGGTGAGTGTTTGACAGTGGTAAATTTCCTCATAAATATGTGGGACCCATATTAGGGCATAGGCGCCATTACTTTGCCATGATTTGGTCTTTTGTAATAAGACTCTTTTGAAAGTACCAGTAATAAACTTAACAAATATACTAACTGTTACTGGAATGACTAGAATAATTGGTATTGAATATGAGAAAAATAATATAGATTTTTAACGGTTTTTCGAGTCATAGGAAAATAAAAAAAGACTAATACTATAATACTACTCAAGTACAGGAACTGATAAAAGACTTACTGAAAACACATATACATATCTATACTAATATATAAATCTACAGTGGTTTTTACGGATGTTCCGTTATAACTACTAAACCATACATCCGCTTGGCTTGAAACTCGGTATCCATGTAGAAAATACATGTAGTTAATGGACAGGCTAATATTTACATGAGTGTTGGACTCCCTAATAATAATGACAATAAATAATAATGTTAATTTTAAATACGTAGCGAAGCGGGCGAATACGGCTATCTATACTAATAAAGGAGTTTTAACAACAGGGTCAAAACGCACAATACACCGTGAGGCTAGAGAGCGATTATCCACCAGACGCGGCGAAAGCCTTTTACATAGCACCCGAAGTTGGCTACCAGCGACAGACCTTCATCATGGGGACAGCTAACCATAAAATGCTCGATTATGAAGTTCCAGAATTTCAACGGATCAGGTTGCGGGTATGATGTTTAATTATACACTATTCATTCACCATTCAATAGGAACAGCGAAAGTATTAACAAAATAAATGCAGTTTCGTGTTTACTTTGTGTATACTTTAGCACAAAACCGCGGCTGTTTTTGATTTCTCATGTCCGTTTCTCTACCTCTTCGATTGAAGATTCTAGAACTACAGAAACTTCTAGAAACACTTTTATTAAATGACTATTCATTTCATTAAATGACTAAGATTAATTTTTGTTACATGGTGGATACAATATTACTCTTCAAAGTAATCACGAAAGGTATAGATAGATGTAATAAATGTAACAAAAAATTCTAGAAGCAACTGGGACTGATGTACCGAAAGAAATTCGTGAACAATTAAATGAGTATACCAAGTTTTTGACGTGACGTCTTACGTGACGTGACGTCTTATAATTCGATGGAGCCGGCTGCCCGCACGAAAAAACATGGCTCATGCGGCGTTACCTCGCTCTGAGGCGTTCCATTTAAGGCTTGAAGTGCAGGCGAGAGCGCGCAACGAGCCACAAAGAGGCACAATCGGCCTCCGCGTTCGGCAGCGTTCGACATCTGTCTCTCTCCTACTTGAGTGAGCGATGCATTCGCGTGGACAGCTGCTATACATTAATACATTTACATGTTTTCGTCAAGTATGAAGTTAAGTGAATGTGGTGTCAATTGTTTATAGCAACGATAATTGCGACAATTGAAAAATGAAACCATTCCATCCGTATTTTCTTATGACGTTGTCACGTTCAACTATCGTCAGTAAGCCGACTTTACAGACAACCGATTTTTTTAAATCTAGGTAATAGCAACAGACATGGACAATGAAGAACACGTCGGGGTTGCGTATGTGTACATCAATCTTATCAACTGGAATGATGAAGAGCCTATTTTTGAACATAGCGTACAAAACGTTTCCTTCAAGGAAACTGAAGGGAAGGGATTTTTCGTGGCTAATGTAAGAGCCCACGACAGAGACATTGATGACAGAGTTGAGTAAGTGTATTTTTTGTTATTGCAAAACTACAAAGCCTCTTCCGATATGACTGTAAAAAAACCTCCACCATATTTAGGGCCTACCCAAAAATTATTTTCATCGTCAACTTCAATGCGTTGAAGAGATACAATTTCTTCATTTTTCGCTTTATCCTTGTTACTTTTTTTGTTTATAGACACACATTAATGGGAAACGCGAATAATTATCTCTCGATAGATAAGGACACAGGGGACATTCATGTCACGCAGGACGACTTCTTTGACTATCACCGACAAAGCGAACTTTTTGTTCAGGTATCATTTAGATATATTCTATCTACTATTTATCTGCTAGCTCTTGATCTTGTAGATAAGATACGGTTTAATCCTAGAACTATGCCATTTTCAGCCTAATGATGTCGAGTATATATTCGCAATAAAATAAACTACCTTACATTGATACTAGTTTCTGAGTTTTTTCATAGGATACCCGACATGTACCTGACCACCCATACCTGCTCCTTTTATTCTCTTTTAACTCATCTGAACTTCAAAGCTAGACACGACCTTCGCCAATGAAGAGATCAACTAAAAAGCAGAACTCACCTCAAGCAACAACGTCTTAATTGCCTTCTTCATCACAAATTAATCTAGCACTCGTTTATAATTTGAATTTTGAAATTCAAGTGTAAATACATATAGGTATGTGTGCCAAGGAACATTTGTAATAAATTTGTATTAAAGTTTTGATTTTAATCATTATGAATATATGTTGTACCACCTCCTAGAGATAGTTAAATTAAGCAATGGCTTGAAAGAATTTTGAGATGGTAAGTCGCGAAGACTTCTAATCTCAACTCAATTACGATTGCTCTGCCAAAAACATCGGCTGGTATCATTATAAGATAATTTCACCAAACATTTACTCATGTACGACCCCCATGATTAAGGAAAGACCTTATGTATTATTTTTAGATTATCTATTACTAGCGACCCGCCCTCGCTTCGCTTCGGAAACTGTAATTTATTATTGATTTCTCCACTATTTAAAGAATGTTATTATACATATAAACCTTCCTCTTCAATCACTCTATCTATTAAAAAAAACCGCATCAAAATCCGTTGCGTAGTTTTAATGATTTAAGCATACATAGGGATATAGGCACAGAGAAAGTGACTTTGTTTTATACTATGTAGTGACGTGCTAAATTTTAGGTCAGAGCTGATGACACTCTGGGGGAACCATTTCACACGGCGACTTCTCAGCTGCTGATCCATCTGGAAGATATAAACAACACCCCTCCTACTCTGAGATTGGTGAGCGATTTAAAATGTCACGAAACTTTTAGTATTAACGTAAAATATTCAAATTAAAATTGCAACAGAAAAAAGTCGCAAATGTCTTTTTCATGAAATACTTAGTAAGCTTAACACAACATATTTATCTGTCATTTTTCTGTCGTTATGTACTTAAGCGATCTGAATCATAAAATTTTGCTGTTATGTAACCTGAGAGGAATATTGTACAAAACTAAGCTCTACTGATACTAAGCATTAGTAATCTCAACTCATTCTTTACAGCCGCGCGGCAGTCCTAATGTCGAGGAGAATGTCCCCGAGGGCTACATCATCACAAGTGAGATCCGAGCCACCGATCCTGACACTACGGCTGAACTGCGCTTCGAAATCGACTGGACCACTTCCTACGCAACCAAACAAGGCAGGGAAGCTAATCCTATTGAATTTCACAAGTGGGTATAGTCTCCAGATGATCCCTAGCAGCATTATCTTCATCCATTTTGGCCTTCAGGCCTTTTAGAGGACTTAACACGCTCTCCTAAGCTTGGATATGAAACGAAATCATTGATATATTTATTTAATGCTTGATAGGTGAACGACCTCACGATTTAAAGTGAATACAGGAGCCTTATAGTTAACAAAACGTGAATGCAAGCCACTAACGAGGAGATATAAGGGCTGTTACACCCTTTCAATGACTGTTACGCGGTAGAAATAGGCAGGATGTTGGTATTTTTACTCATACGGGCTTACAATAAGTTCCACCACCAATATCTTCTAAGCTTACGTTACATACGCAAGCAAGCCTACAGCAATCAATGGATTTTATAATAATTGTTGTAGCCCACATTAGCCGACCTTAAGAGGTGAAATCGTTTTTTTTATTTACTCGAATACAACGACTTGGTTAAAATAAGCACAATGCTGATACAACCCGAGCGAGATGACAATATATCTTTAATCTAAAATAAAGATCTTTAGTAATAGTATTTAATCTTAAGTAAATATTAAGTATGTATGTAAGTCAGTCTAAGAACAGTGAGTCAAGTTTGGTGGGTTGGGTAAGCAAAAGCCTGACACTTCGACCATTAGAATCTATTGTAAGGTCATCTGAGGTTGGTTATCGGACCCCTTAGATATCACATCGTAAACCGCTCACTGCTTGAAATATCAATGAGGAGAAAATCACAATATGATTGTATTATCAATTCCCAAAATAACTTTTCTTTTTATTTTTTATTGCCTAGGTGGGTAGACGAGCTCACAGCCCACTTGGTATTAAGTGGTTACTGGAGCCCATAGACATCTACAATGTAAATGCGCCACCCACCTTGAGATATAAGTTCTAAGGTCTCAGTATAGTTACAACGGCTGCCCCGCCCTTCAAACCGAAACGCATTACTGCTTCACGGCAGAAATAGGCAAGGTGGTGGTACCTCCCACGCGGACTCACAAGAGGTCCTACCACCAGTAAAAAACAGAACGATGCAAAGTTTTACAATTTAAAAATTTCTTCGTGTTTGATTCTTTGATCCTTGTCCTAAATTATTTTAGTTGTGTCGAGATCGAAACAATATATCCTGCGATCAACAACCGTGGCTCGGCTATAGGACGCCTCGTCGTCAAAAAAATCAGGGAGAACGTCACAATTGACTACGAAGAGTTCGAGATGTTGTATCTGACGGTCAGAGTGCGGGACCTTAACACTGTTATCGGGGATGATTATGATGAATGTAAGTTGAATACCGCTTTTATCCCAAAAATAACTGAGGCTTTAAAGTTTTGTTTTATCTTGGATGTGGAATCTCGACTTTTTTTTTTGCAAACCTCGAATTTTTGGTAGCCTAAGGGCTAATGAAGTCGTCGTGGCCTAACGGATAAGACGTCCGGTGCATTCGTGTTGAAGCGATGCAACGATGTTCGAATCCCGCAGGCGGGTACCAATTTTTCTAATGAAATACGTACTCAACAAATGTTCACGATTGACTTCCACGGTGAAGGAATAACATCGTGTAATAAAAATCAAACCCGCAAAATTATAATTTGCGTAATCACTGGTGGTAGGACCTCTTGTGAGTCCGCACGGGTAGGTACCACCACCCCGCCTATTTCCGCCGTGAAGCAGTAATGCGTTTCGGTTCGAAGGGTGGGGTAGCCGTTGTAACTATACTGAGACCTTAGAACTTATATCTCGAGGTGGGTGGCGCATTTACGTTGTAGATGTCTATGGGCTCCAGTAACCACTTAACACCAGGTGGGCTGTGAGCTCGTCCACCCATCTAAGCAATAAAAAAAAAAAAAAAAAAAAGCTGGAATAGCTCCAGATACGCCTAACCCAGATTTATCTTGAACATGGAATCTCAAGACTTTTTTTTGCCCTACCTATTCGCTGGTACCCTAAGGGCTAAGCTGGAATAGCTCCAGATACGCCCGGACGGGTAGGTCCCTAGCAAGAGCCGTGCTTCGCGGAATCTTCCACCGGATCGGAATCGCGACCCACAGAGAAGACCCGGCGTGAAACTCAATAGACTAATCTTGATGTCATTACAACCATTACAGATATTGCACAAGATTAATTAATATACTACTAGGTGAATTATACATTTTACATTTATACCTCAAGCCTTTAGTTAGACTAGCAGAGTAAATTTAAATAGAACACTCATAATATCCATTATATTAAGCACGTCTTCGAAGAGTTGTAAAAAAATTAAGTGAAAGAAAAACAGCTGAATATCAGAACGATCTGATATTGAACAATACTTAAAGCAGAAAGTGATTGGCAACGAAAATAGGCGAGTTAACACCACAGTAACTACGCGAATTTTCAAAATTTTCCATTATTCATTTTCTAGTACACCATCGTTTTCTATAAAACTCCGCACGACTGTACCTAACGGCCGACGTATAGCAACACTTTATTTTCAGCAACCTTCACCATCACAATCATCGATATGAACGATAATCCTCCGATATGGGTCCCGGGAACACTGGAGCAGTCGCTGCGTGTTCGAGAAATGTCAGACGCCGGTGTCGTGATTGGGACTCTGACGGCCACTGACATCGACGGACCACTCTACAATCAAGTGCGATACACTATGAAGTAAGCTATGTCAAAATAATGTATGTCTACCGGTGGTAGGACCTCTTGTGAGTCCGCACGGGTAGGTACCACCACCCCGCCTATTTTTGCCGTGAAGCAGTAATGCGTTTCGGTTAGAAGGGTGGGGTAGCCGTTGTAACTTTACTGAGACCTTAGAACTTATATCTCAAGGTGGGTGGCGCATTTACATTGTAGATATCTATGGGCTCCAGTAACCAATTAACACCAGGTGGGCTGTGAGCTCGTCTACCCATCTAAGCAATAAATAAAAAATGTCCCGCAGCGTTAGTACGCGAACCTGGTCAGCACCACTATTCCCTTAAAAGGTCCTCGAGTACCAGAATTACCTTGTCCTGGTAGACGGTAATATTTACTTTTTGACATCTGTGGAGTTCGGTTGTAAATTAGTACCAGGTTGATCTTTATCGGGTCTGACTATCGAATCCAGCAAAAACACAAGCTTGGTTCACCACAATGGTCTTGAGTCGACTATAATTATTGTGTATTATAACCTCCTAAAAACTTCAGTTTGAAGATGTTTCGTAATAGGAGGTACCGAAAATATAATTATTTTAAATGAAAATGTTTAAAAATGTGGGTAAACCGATTTTTTTCTTTGGAACCATTTCTTAACTTGTATCTATGCGTAGCTTTAGAAATCTCATTATGTTCCTAGCGCTTTCTGTAAATCATACCTTAAGTTAACAAGGCTTTTTGTGGGGTTTCGAGTATTGCATGCACAACACTACAATACTAACTGACCTAGGTATTTTTGTCACAAAACAATCAAGAATTCTCGATTTAATTTCTACGGGTTTCAGATCTGCGAAAGAAAGTAGACCCTGGACTACATCTATCATTTCCAACCCTACCTACTATTTCTAAAAATTAATTTGCTCTGACATCGCGATATAACATAATCCGTTCTAGGGCAAACGAAGGCACACCAGAGGATCTATTGATGATCGACTTCTACACTGGTCAGATCACGGTGAAAACAAGCGGCGCAATAGATGCTGATGTTCCACGGAGATACAACCTATACTACACTGTGGTGGCCACTGATCGGTGCTACGCTGAAGACCCAGACGATTGCCCTGACGACCCAACTTATTGGGAAACTCCCGGCCAAGTCAGTAGTTACAACTCGCCTAACCTTTATATTATAATCTACTTAAGGTTGTTCGTACACTTAAAAGAAAAACAAATGTTATTCAAATAATTTTCCTTAGAACTTCAATTTAACCAAACACTTGTCTTTTTCGTATTGATTTTTTTCATAGACAAATTTTCATTTTAGGTCGTGATACAAATCATAGATACTAACAACAAAATACCTCAACCTGAAACCGACCAATTTAAGGCGGTCGTGTATATTTACGAAGATGCTGTCTCTGGAGATGAGGTTGTAAAAGTTATTGGTAGCGATTTGGATAGAGATGGTAAGTTACATGTAGTGGATAGAGCAAGATTTGAGGGTAGTATTTATTAAGCCTCGTGCTTAAATGTAGCATTGAAGTTGTGACATCCAGTGATTTCTGTAAACTATATAAACAGATGGGCTATGTAATTATCTATGTAATGTATGCAATAAAAGGCAAAATTAACAGAATTACTAAAGTTCTCCTATTCTTTATATTGCCTTAGAAAGGCATAAGTCATACAAGAAATGAGGCCATCCCACGGACTACCTGGTGTAAAATGGTTACGAGACTCCAGTAATATCACATGATGAAAGGTTGATATAAAATCGAAATCTCAATTATATTATTTAAAGGCTTTCTCATGCTGCAAACTGCAACTTATAACTGATTTAGGGCAGAAATAAGAAGGAATAATGATAGCATTATAATTAATAATACATACAAGCTAATGGTGACTGGCAAGGTGGATGGAAGTAGACCACGAGGTACAGGCCCGACACGTTGGACTGATCAAATCCTCACTACCCTCGACACCACAATTCACGGTGCTCTACACTCGGCGGCGGATAAGAGCCAATGGCGTGGTATGATCCAGGATAAACTGTTGTTGCGAGGAGGTGGTCACGACCCTCAGTATTGAGGAAACCGAAGCGAGAAGAAGAAGAGTTATACCATAACATACCATACCATACCATACCATAGGCATTACCGCAAAACTGCTGATAATAACATAAATAATGAACCGATATCCATTGTTTTTTTTCCAGATATTTACCACACAATTCGTTACCAAATCAACTACGCCGTGAATCCTCGTCTGCGCGACTTCTTCGCTGTTGATCCGGATACGGGAAGAGTGTACGTCTACTACACCACTGACGAGGTCCTCGACCGGGACGGGGACGAGCCTCAACACCGGATCTTCTTTAACCTCATCGATAACTTCTTCCAGCAAGGAGGCGGGTTGACAAATTTTGAATAAATCCTATATTCGGTCAGCTATTTAACTCGTTGACTGCGTTATGCGATTTAAAAAGCCTTATACGGTTTAAAAAGCCTTATACGGCTTAAAAAGCCTTATACGGTTTAAAAAGCCTTATACGGCTTAAAAAGCCTTATACGGTTTAAAAAGCCTTATACGGCTTAAAAAGCCCCATGCGCAACTGTCCTCTGATACGACGATCATAACTCTGTTACTTCGCTTGGTACGGTAAGCGACTATATCCATTTTTACGGGTGTCGGTGGGTCCTTTGTAAGGCTTATCAGGATTCATACTCACTGTAAAGAAGTCCAATCTGGCCTCGAAAATAACTCATACGCACTGGCTGAAAATCTTTCATAAATGATCCCGCAGTCAATATCTCAACTATTATATGTTTTAATTCTTGATATTTTTCTACGTCTACAACTCAGACAGTCCGCTGACCTAAAGGCCCAAGAGTTATCGACTATGACCGTCTCTTTGGCATCCAGTCGGTGCAGAGTGGCGAAGAGATAAGCAGCGTCACTTTATCACTAGACCACCTTCAACTATATCACAGTTTGATTTGAACGTTGCTTATTTACTGGTGATATGACGTATTGTAAACCCGCACGTATACCATCGTCTTTTCTATTTTGCTCAACGAAGCAGTCGTTCGTTTTAAGAGATATTTTACTCTTTTTTTCTTTTTCTTTTTATTTCTTAGATGGGCGGACGAGCTCACCATAGCCCACCTGATGTTGATTGGTTACTGGAGCTCATAGACATCTACGACGTAAATGCGCCACCCACCCTAAGACATAAGTTCTAATGTCTCAGTATAGTGACAACGGCTGCCCACCCTTCAAACCGAAACGCATTACTGCTTCACGGCAGAAATAGGCAGGGTGGTGGTACTTAACCGCGCGGACTCACAAGAGGTCCTACCACCAGTAAAATCAATTAATATATAATACAATAGGTAGGTAGGCATTTACTTTATAATGTCTACAGACCCCTATAATAGATTAACATTAGGTGAATCGTAAGATCGTCTGCTCGTCTATAGAAATACGTAAATGTCTAAGTGAATACATTTACTCTACAGACGGCAACAGAAACCAAAATGATGCCGAAGTACTGGTCGTACTTCTTGACGTGAACGACAACGCTCCAGAGCTTCCAGAACCCGATGAACTGTCGTGGTCGGTGTCTGAAAGTTTAACTAAGGTAACAAAAAAAAAAACTGGACTCAAATCACGCACGGTCATCTAGTCCCAATTTAGAATTCGCTGTGTTATAGGTACTAGAGACTGGTAAACATACTTATATACAAGCCGTACTCGCCCGCTTCGCTGGGCATGTAAAATTAACTTTATTATTTATTGTCATTATCATTAGGGAGTCCAACACTCATATAAATATTAGCCTTTCCATTAAGTACATGTATTTTCTACATGGATACCAAGTTTCAAGTCAATCGGATGTATGGTATCCGTAAAAACCACTGTAGATTTATATATTAGTATAGATATTGAAATATATACATATATAGTTAACAAGGACCCAGAAAAAGAACAAACAAACCTGTTGATCACATAATGTTTACCCGATGTGGGAATCGAACCCACGACCCTGGGTGCAACAGTCAGACCCGCTAACTACTGCACCGCCGAGTCAATCGAAAGTCGTTTTCCTTCAGTTTCTATTTAAGCCGTGATAGAACACATTGTACAGTGCCTACAAAAAAGCAAATCAAATCAAACCTTATTAGCTAAAACACGGTTTACAAAGTTGTTGATAGTTATTTTATAGAACAGCGTGTTTCTACCAGGTCGGCGTGCAAATAATTATTCAAAATTATTTACATTAAATGCAGTCACTAAATATGTTAATTAATTAAAATATTAAACAACAAAATAAATTAATTGAATAGGAATTAGTTATTTATATCATAAAACGAAAACAAAGAACAGAAAGAAGCGAATTTAAAATTAACATAATGATTTATCATTTAAAAAATCGTTAACTGTATAACATCTTAAGGTTAATATTTTTTTCTAGTTCTTTTTAAATAAAAATAATTTGTCTTGTTTTATAGCAGCATCAGGTAGCTTATTATATATTTTCGGTGCCATACACAATATACTTTTTTGCATAAGAGTTGTCTTAGCACAGTGCAAACACAATTTATTTTGGTCGCGCCGGTTACGTTGCGAAACTTCACCTATGGTTTTAAACAATTTACAGTTATTTTTTACAAACAAACTAATTTCAAAAATATAGAAGCACGGAAGTGTTAGTATATTGTGCAACTAGCGACCCGCCCTCGCTTCGCTTCGGAAACATTAAAACACACATGAAACCAAAAAAATAAAATAAAAAAAAACATTTAAAAAAAGTAGCCTATGTTCATCAGGGACAATGTCGGCTTCTAATGGAAAAAGAATTTTTCAAATCGGTCCAGTAGTTTCGGAGCCTATTCGAAACAAACAAACAAACAAATCTTTCCTCTTTATAATATTAGTATAGATATAGGCAAGCTTACGCTGCCGGCACGGTTTCATCTATAACAATTAACATTCTCAGGGTACGCGTCTCCAGCCACACATATACGCACCTGATAGAGACGAACCTGACACGGACAACTCTCGGGTCGGGTACGCCATCATCAGCCTCACGATCGCCAACAGGGAAATCGAAGTTCCAGAGCTTTTCACCATGATACAGATACAAAACGTCACAGGAGAACTGGAAACCGCCATGGACTTGAGAGGCTATTGGGGAACTTATGCTATTCATATTAAAGTAAGCATTTTTTTGGCAGAAATTCCACGATTATTCTCGCCTTAAGAATCGAAATCAATCCACTAGTGGTGATATTTTTTTTATTGCTTAAATAGGTGGAGGAGTTCACAGCCCACCTGGTGTTACTGAAGCCCATAGACATCTACGACGTAAATGCGCCACCCACCTTAAGATAGAAGTTCTAAGGTCTCAAATATAGTTACAACTGCTGCCCCACCGTTCAAACCGAAACGCATTACTGCTTCACAGCAGAAATAGGCAGGGTGGTGGTACCTACCCGCGCGGACTCATAAGCAGACCTACCACCAGTGTTGTATTTAAATATAGTATAATCATCTTAATACATATAAAGAGATTTTATTTTATAGATTATTTTATATTCATGGTTTTAGATGTTCAAAAAATCTGTATATTATTAAAATTAAATCAATGGAAGCATTATTGTACATATTATATCCGTTAGACAGCGGCTAGTGGCATTGCTGACGTCTATGGGCGATGGTAACCACTCACCATCAGACGGATCGTATGCTCGTCTGCCTACAATGGCAATAAAATTGCCACACTAACAGCCGACACGAGTGATATGAAAGTCCATAATAATATCATTAACAGACTCACGAATTTATTTAATCCTTAATCAAAAAATCCACATACTCGAAATGCGAAATCCAAAAGCGAATTAACTAGTTTTCTTTTTGGATTATCCTATACTTTAATACAATGTTATATACAAAATATTACAATGCCGTTTTATGTTAAATTACTCAAATCAAATCTAATCAAAAAAAAACTATTCAACATAAATGAAAGTACATACTTGTTGAACGTGAAAAGAACTACCGCCAATTCACAAGAACTAGCTTCCGTCCTGAGAAGAAACTCAGGGGGCATGTCTTTTTCTTTTAAATATGTTTTTTTTTTTTTTTTTAGATTTTTTTTAAATGTTCCTTTTTATAATGAGTATTATAACGTAACAATTATTGCAATATTGAAATGCCCGGAGCGAGCAACTCATTCCCACTTTGTGCAATCTTCTAGATAATCATTGACTTTATAGTAAGCTTTATTGCGCAGATGTTCTTGTTCGTGGGATTTTGTTGTACAGGCGCACAGACAAACACCCGACTACTTCTATTACAATAGTTTTTATCGGTTGTTACCAGGCCTACGACCACGGCATCCCGCAACAGATGTCCAATGAAACGTACGAGCTCGTGATTCGTCCTTACAACTTCCACGCTCCTGTTTTTGTGTTTCCTCAACACGGAGCTACTCTTCGACTGGCCAGGGTAAGATAGTTTACGCCGATACCGTGACCATGTGGCTTTACCAATGGCGGATCCAGGGGGGGGGGGGGGTCATGGGGGTCATGACCACCCCCTGAGCTGGTTCCAGGACTTAGGTGGACCACTAATTGAATATAATGATTTTATTTATATATTTTGTCACCATACAGATTTTATGTAACTACATACCTTCAATATTTAATTAATTTAATATAATATAATAACTTTGTATAATGGCAAACGTTTCGGAACGAACGCATCTAAATTTGACTATGTGACCCCCTCCTGGTGCCAAAGCTGGATCCGCCCTTGGGCTTTACTAACATTGACAAACGAACGGAATGCAAATGGAAAGGCCATTTGACAACAGCCTTATATTGGGTTCCCTAACTATTCGATGGTAGCCTAAAAGGCTATTTCAGCTATGCCCGGACGGGTAAGTGAGCTCACGGGCTCAATCTGAGAGAATTTGCTGACACTAGCCGTAGCAAGAACAGCTTTGCAGAATCTACCACCGGATCAGAATTGCGACCCACTGAGAAGATCCGGCGAGTTTTATTACCGGTGGTAGGACTTCTTGTAAGTCCGCACGGGTAGGTACCACCACCCCGCCTATTTCTGTCGTGAAGCAGTAATGCGTTTCGGTTTGAAGGGTGGGGTAGCCGTTGTAAATATACTAAGACCTTAGAATTTATATCTCAAGGTGGGTAGCACATTTACGTTGTAGATGTCTATGGGCTCCAGTAACCACTTAACACAAGCTGTGAGCTCGTCCACCCATCTAAGCAATAAAAGTGGCCTTTAAGGATTTTCTGTTTAGTTTGTAGATGATTCTTGCATTTACATAATATGTATATGCCGTTCACGGATCATATAATGAATATGCACATAAACAGTAAAATGCTCTAATATCGGAGGGAAAAAAGGACCTTATTCACCTTGAGATATAAGTTCTAAGTCTCAGTATAGTGAAAATGACCTTACTGTTAACACAGGAGAGGGCTGTCGTCAACGGTTTGCTGGCAACGGTAGACGGTGAATTCCTTAATCGCATCGTCGCTACCGATGAAGACGGGCTACATGCTGGACAAGTTGCCTTCGAAGTGGTTGGTGATAGTGAGTACATTTTACATTTTGGAGTGGATACATTTTTAATACACGTTTCAAGATAAGACGCTCACAATACTCTACTAAGTTTAATGTTTGATTACAAATTCTAGATTTAATAAATCTATATATCTAAAAGAGAATGTATGTGTACGTGTATGTTCGAGCGCCCTTAGCCCAATTGATATGAAATTTTGCACACATATAAAAGTCAAAATCACTCCGACGAGCATAGGCCATTTTGAGAAGGCGGCACGACATGAGAACCCTCTCATCGTGGCCGCTGGAAACTACATACCAGACCCTGTAGACCGAATGGTAAACAGTCGACGTCGCCCAAAGCACGTCATTACGGATCCTCCTGATCCATTAACGGTGCTTTTTTTTTTTTTTATTGCCCTTGTAGGCAGACGAGCATACGGCACACCTGATGGTGAGTGGTTACCGTTGTCCATGGACTTCAGCAATGCCAGGGGCAGAGCCAAGCCGCTGCCTACCGCTTAATACTCTCCACAAGCCTCGTTTGAAGAAGGACATGTCATAGCGCTCGGGAAACACCGTGGAGGGGAGCTCATTCCATAGCCGGATGGTACGTGGCAGAAAAGACCTCTGGAAACGCACTGTGGATGACCGCAGTGGCTCCAGGTAGTATGGATGAACTCTACTCCGGTGGCGGGCGGTGCGATGGTAAAAACGAGATGCCGGTATCATCTCGAACAATTCCTCAGAGCACTCCCCATGGAACATACGGTACAAAATACAGAGGGAACCGAAGTCCCTCCGCAGACCCAGAGGTTCCAAACGATCCGTGCGAATAGGGTTATCGACAACCCGAAGGTTCTCTTATATATGGAGTTAAATGGAAGTAGCTGGTATTTGGGAGCACCAGCCCAGAGGTAGGAGCAGTACTCCACGCGAGCCGGACTTATGCTTTATAAAGCAGTCCAGGCGTGAAACGTCGCTTCGCTCTGTTGAGGACTCCAAGCATTTTGGAGGCCAACTTGGCTTTGCCCTCCAAATGAATCTGAAATCGACCCCAAGTATTCTGATACTCACGGAAGGGTGCAGGAATACTCCTTGGAATTGCGGGACCATAACAAAGGGTCCTTCTTCGCAGTGAATGCGCAGATTAGTGTCTCGCCCCAGAGAGCTCTCCACTTCAGACACACACACAATTTAAAAATATTACTGCTTACAGAATTTTCAAATATTGGTAATTTACAGGAATATAATGAGGAGAGTCAATAATAGTTCTTAGTGTAGTATTTTTTTCGGTTTTTAAAGTCCTATTACAATATTTCCGACGTATGTAATAAAATATTCGAAGCGTTGGAAATAACGCAATAATAATAAAGAACGCAATAATAAGCCGTGAAATCAATTTCACTTTTTTTTTATTATTGCCTTTGTAGGCAGACGGGCATACGGCCCACCTGATGGTGAGTGGTTACCGTCGCCCATGGACTTCAGCAATGCCAGGGGCAGAGCCAAGCCGCTGCCTACCGCTTAATACTCTCCACAAGCCTCGTTTGAAGAAGGACATGTCATAGCGCTCGGGAAACACCGTGGAGGGGAGCTCATTCCATAGCCGGATGGTACGTGGCAGAAAAGACCTCTGGAAACGCACTGTGGATGACCGCAGTGGCTCCAGGTAGTATGGATGAACTCTACTCCGGTGGCGGGCGGTGCGATGGTAAAAACGAGATGCCGGTATCATCTCGAACAATTCCTCAGAGCACTCCCCATGGAACATACGGTAAAAAATACAGAGGGAACCGAAGTCCCTCCGCAGACCCAGAGGTTCCAAACGATTTTTTACACCACAACACTTTTAGACACCACCAGCACCGGTCACCGTCCTCGTCGAACCCGTCGCTTGCGACGAAGGGCTCGACGAGCGAATCAACCCACAGACACAGCCCACTGAGTTTCTCGCTGGATCTTCTCAGTAGGTCGTGTTTCCGATCCGGTGGTAGATCCTGCGAAGCACGGCTCTTGCTAGGGTCAGTGTTAGCAACTCTCCGGTTTGAGCCCCGTGAGTTCAACTATAAACGTTAGGGCGAAGCTGAAATAGCCTCTCAAGGCTATCAGCATAGGTAGGAAAAAATAATAATTAAAACGAGCATAGTTATGTTAGTGCCGGATAGGTGGCGCTGGTGGCAGTGATTTTGAACCGTAGGTCGAATTCATATGAAATCTATATTTATAAGAGAATGATGATTCTTTATGGATCACTGAGGTACCCGAGCATTTTTTTATCGTGGGAAATGCAACGTGTTCCTTTTTTTTTTTAATTACAAATTAAGCGCTGGCAAAATCTCGGGGCAATTCTAGCGCGACATGAACACATCTTATGTAAACATATTCCACATTGTCTGCACATGTAGCAAGGCTTACTTAGACACGTACTTAATAAATATTACGTGCATTAGAGGCCTACTATTCCTGTTACTCAAAGATATGTTTGTTAAAATTACGCTAAAAACGATTTACGATTACGATTACGATTTACGATTAAGATAAATCAATATTATTAATCCAAAATTTGATATCGATATAAGTTGAATATTAGAAAATGATAGTTTTATAATTATCTTTCTACAGCTGAAGCCGTCGATTATTTCCACATTGTCAACGACGGGGAGAACAGTGGCACTCTGATGCTGAAACAACTCTTCCCCGAGGACATAAGAGAATTTGAGGTACTATGCTTCATTACTTTATTAATTACTACGGTTGATCTAGGCAAACCGCAAAGGCCCTACTCAAAGACCCACCTGATGTTATTAATCCTGCGCTTGCAACAATCGGAACTGCTTACCTTTAGTAATCATGCACACAGCATTGCGGCATAAATACAGCGCCTTTCCACTAAATGGTTCTGATAGGGGGAGAGTAACTAAATAAAATCCTTCAAAAAATTCTTGAAGCCCAAATTTCCTTTCTTCATGTAAGGTGACGATACGTGCTACTGACGGTGGGACAGAACCAAGACCGCTCTCCACGGACTGCACCTTCAGTGTGGTGTTCGTGCCGATACAAGGAGAACCTATCTTCCCTACGTCGACTCACACTGTTGCTTTCATTGGTATGTTAGAAATCAAATAAACACCAACATTATTCTGGCGAACGTTTTTAGCCACAGATATGACTGATGAGAGGTCCATTCTTTTTTTTATTTATTGCTTAGTTGTGTGGATGAGCTCATAGCCCACCCGGTGCTAAGTGTTAATTAGACCCTGCAGGCTAGCACAAATATATCGAAGTAAATTCCTAACTGCGTACTCACTATGGAGGAATAATTAGGGATAACAAACTGAAATTTAAAAATTATACTTTTATTTTGCCAAAGTACTATTGCTTTTCTCTGCTGGCTAGGTTCACCGCGTAAACCCATAGACACAGCCCACTGAGTTTCTCGCCGGATCTTCTCAGTGGGTCGTGATTCCGATCCGGTGGTAGTTAGTGATAAGCGTGCTATGGACATGTGATGTGTAGAGAGAAGATGCATGTTCCTAGGAGATCTATGGAAATGGTAGTACAAGTTAGAGGGGGAAGAGGTCAACGGAAGAAGACATGGATGGAGTGTGTGAATGACGATATGAGAGAGAGAGAGAGAGAGAAGTGAGTGTTGAGATGACGGCTGATAGAAGAGAATGAACGAGAAAAATTAGCTGTGCCGACCCCACCCAGTGGGATAAAGTGAAGAAAAAGAAGAAGAGTGTTAGCCAATTCTCTCAGGTTGAGCTTGTGAGCTCACCTACCCGCCCGCGTGTAGCTGGAATATCCCCTTAGCCAGCTTAACCTCTACCAGCGAATAGGTAGGGGGAAATGCCGTGTTACGTCCAAGCGTGCTCTATGGTGCCTGTGATCGGTTGGCTCCAAGTCAACTGTGATCTGCCTATTTAGCCCTGACAATCTAAACTAGGCTATTATTTCTACAGAAAAAGAAGCGGGCCTTTTGGAACGTCATGAGCTGCCGCGTGCTGAGGATCGGAAAAACCATCTTTGCAGTGATGATTGTCACAATATCTACTACAGGATAGTTGGTAAGAGCTCTTACAATTTAAATCATGTCTTTTGCCATTGTGATTGATTATGGTATACGTAATCACATAATTGAGCAAGTGGGTTTATAAATAAGTTACTGCGTATAAATATTAATTACTTTGAAGTATCTATCTATCTAATGTCAAAAAGCAAGCGCAAGACAAGGTCAAGTGTAGACAACTTTTAGGGGCTCTATGTACCAGCGGGGTACCCCACGGAATAGATAAATAAGGTTGGAACGGTAATGTAGGCGGGGCAAGCGTGCCACAGTTATGATTCTACAATCATAACTCGACCGATTCTTTCATTCACCGCGTTTCGTGCGCTTCGGACTACTTGGGCGAACAGATCTCCGCTTTATAGTACCGTGTTGTGCAATTATAACTTGTAAAACAAAAAGTCAGACCTCAAGTATAGAGCGAGGAGGTATATCTTTCGATCGGTAAGTCGAAATTACCATTTAATTACAATATTATTTGTCTAAAACATAAAAATATACTGAGCATGATGAAATTCCAAACATTAACAACATTATTGCAACAAGTTATAAATAGCATACATTGCGCGATGTGTACTCGCCCAATGAACGCAATGACCAAGTCCGCTTCCAATGTACTACATGCATTGCGTTCTCTACACTTCAATCATTGAAATTTCGGCCTTTGCCCTGATTGGCCGTGGTGCACAAAATTAGAACAAAGGCCTTTCCAACCTTATTTATCTATTCCGTGGGTACCACCACCCTGTCTATTTCTGCCGTGAAGCAGTAATGCGTTTCGATCTGAAGGGTGGGGCAGCCGTTGTAACTACACTGAGACCTTAGAACTTATGTCTCAAGGTGGGTGGCGCATTTACGTTGTAGATGTCTATGGGCTCCAGTAACCACTCAACACCAGGTGGGCTGTGAGCTCGTCCACCCATCTAAGCAACAAAAATAAAAAAAAATAAAAAATGCGTATTATCTTCTTTATCTTCGATCGCCAAATATTCAATAGACTCCTGTCCTGATTTTCAGATGGAAATAATGACGGCCACTTTGGACTCGACGAAATTACGAACGTGCTATTCCTGGTAAAGGAATTGGATCGGAGTGTCAGCGAAACGTATACATTGACCATCGCTGCCAGCAACTCACCGACAGGCGGAATCGCTCTAACCTCTACAATAACCATCACCGTTAATGTAAATGCTTACTTCCTATTCGCTCGTGTCCAGTTCAAATAAGTACAGAAGATCTAACATGAATTATCGTTAGCTTATTGCTCTAAACAAAGATGGTGGTAGGACCCCTTGTGAGTCCGCACGGGTGGGTACCACCACCCCGCCTGTTTCTGCCGTGAAGTAGTAATACATTTCGGTTTGAAGGGTGGGGTAGCCGTTGTAGCTATACTTGAGACCTTATAACTTATATCTCAAGGTGGGTGGCGCATTTACGTTGTGGGTGTCTATGGGCTCCGGTAACCACTTAACACTAGGTGGGCTGTGAGCTCGTCCACCCATATAAGCAATAAAAAATAAAAATAGGTATGCGATCCGCCTGTACCCACCAATCATTTAAATCCTCGCCAAAATTTCCTAGTAACACAGATATTTTTAACACTAATTCTGTTTTGGAATCTAATTGGGTACGCGAGTTTTTTTTTCCCGTCCGGGTCGGTACCGCCATTACACAGATTTCAACAACGAGGCAATAAAATTGAAATTATTTAAAAAAATCCAAACGCGACACACAATAATTTTTTTATTGCCCTTGTAGGCAGACTAGCACACGACCCACTTAATGGTGAGGGGTTACCGTCGCCCATGGTCTTCAGCAATGCCAGGGGCAGAGCCAAGCCGCGGCCTACCGCTTACCTACACTGAGTCGTGATATTCCTATTGTAACGTCAATGGCGGGCTGAAATCATGTTTTTTTTCCACATCAATACGATTGATTCGACAGGTGAGAGAGGCAGATCCCCAGCCGTACTTCGTCAGAGATTTGTACACGGCTGGCATCTCCACTTCGGATTCAATCAACAGAGAACTGTTGATTTTACAGGTACTTTTTTTTTCCTGGTAGGCAGACGAGCACACCCAGTCCGCCTGATAGTGGTTTTTTTTGATTGCCCGTGTAACCAGACCAGCATACGGCCCACCTGATGGTGAGTGGTTACCGTCGCCAATGCCAGGAGCAGAGACAACCCGCTACTTACCGTTAAGTACTCTCCACAAGCCTCATTTGAAGAAGGACATGCTGTAGCGCTTTGGAAACACCATAAAGGGGAGCTTATTCCAAAGTGGGTTGGTAAGTGGCAAAAAAGATCTCTGGAAGAGCACTGTGGATAAACTCAGTGGCTTTAGGTAGTAAGGATGAACTCTGGCGAGCGGTGCGATGGTAAAAACGAGATGAAGGGATCATCTCAAACAATTCCCTAGAGCACTCCCCACGGAACGTACGGTACATAATACAGAGAGATAAACAATCAATAAGAGAGAGCCACTATTACCTTTCTGTTCTGAACCCATAGTGACCGTGCAATGAAACTCTGACTGGTGGTAGAACCTCTTGTGAGTCCGCACGGGTAGGTACCACCGCCCCGCCTATTTCTGCCGTGAAGCAATAATGCGTTTCGGTTTGAAGGGTGGGGCAGCCGTTGTAACTATACTGAGATCTTAGAACTTATATCTCAAGGTGTTGGCGCATTTACGCTGTAGATGTCTATGGGCTCCAGTAACCACTTAACACCAGGTGGGCTGTGAGCTCGTCCACTCAACTAAGCAATAAAAAATAAAAAAAATGAAAACATGAGCTTCCTCTGCTAATCTACCAATATACATATTTTCAGTTTTTTTGTATACATTATTCAATATTTACATATCAGTTACATAATTAAAGTTACTCTTACGGTTTTTTAGTCGCCCGCAATCACGATTACTGTAAAACATTTGATAATCGGGAAATAATAATTATGTTATGAACGTACTGAACCCGAAATTAAAGCTTAGAAGTACATTTAATTATATTTTTCAAATACATTAAACATTCAGTACTATGAAAATGATCTTTCTGATTACGTAATATCATACGTCATAAGAAGAAAGCTAACCTTACTTGAAAGCAAAATTTTCGATATCTCCTACATCAATAAAATTTCACACAGCTGCTCATTTCCAACTCCACAGGCGACACATTCAGAAAATGCACCGATAATCTACACGATAGACTTGTCGACGATGGTAACTGATCCTACCCTGGCCTCCGTCAGGGAGACAGCCTTCATACTTAACCCACATACCGGTGTACTGACTCTTAACATCCAGCCCACTGCGTCCATGCACGGAATGTTCGAATTCCAAGTCGTGGCCACGGATCCAGGTGAATTTATTGGTTTTCTAGTTTGTCTTATTTCATACTACTACTGTCAGCTGTTAGCATCGTACCATATTAGAACTAATCTCTCTTCTAGTTAGGAAAATTAGAGGACATTTAGTACGAATTCTTCTCAACGGTTTCACTGTTGACAGAGTGGTCATGATCGTCATGTAGTGACGGAGGAGGCAAACTTGATGCGTCTCACGATGTCCCGCCATCTCTCCCTGCTCCAAGCTATTCTACTGCACTCATTTATGGACACTTAACTTACATAGAACAGCTATGGGAGATCGTAGACATCATAATCTATCTATTATTACAATACTTCAGCCGCTCTGCCCTTCAGAACATACGAATGCTTTCCGACTAAAATTGGCAGAACGATGGTATTTATCCTTGCGGACTTACAATACGCCCAACCACCCCATAAAGTAGGGAAAAAATCAGGGTTTGAGAGCGGGAAAATTTTGGAAGGGACTGGACTTTACTGGTGTCTTGTGAGTCCACTCAAATAGATACCATCACCCTACCTATTTCTGCCATGAAACAGTAATCCAGTTTGAACTAAATTCGTTAAGAGTTGCTATGAGTCAATAAGTCATGACTTAATGCACTTGCAATTGTTTTAATTACAGCTGGCTACAGTGATAGAGCAAATGTCAAGATCTACTTGATCTCCACAAGGAACCGCGTCTTCTTCTTGTTTGTTAACACTTTAGAACAAGTCGAGCAGAACACTGACTTCGTAAGTATTTTTAGCATTTCAAAACCCGCTCATTGGTCGCCGCGTTGATCGAATTCGGTATCTGGTCGACGTCAGTACTTTTGTTAGAAATCTATGGTGCTCTTTCGAATACTAGACCAGCCAGATTTGTCTATTTCGTATTCGTCTATTATGTATTACTCTTATTGGCTTCAAAATGGAGTTGCAATATACCACACACGGCGAATATGATCACAAGTTGTAGTTCCTTTTTATAATATAACCTTGTTTTTTCGTATAAACACAATTAAAACTCCCTTTAAGCATATAAACCTTACCACGTTGATTGTTATTGGCATTCACGCTGTAGATCTCTGTAAGCTCCTATAACCACTTAACATGAGGTCGGTTGTGAGCTCGTCTACTCATCTTAGCAATAAAACAGATATGTGATGCTAAATACGATTTTTACTGGTGGTAGGACCTCTTGTGAGTCCGCGCGGGTAGGTACCACCACCCCGCTTATTTCTGCCGTGAAGCAGTAATGCGTTTCAGTTTGAAGGGTGGGGCAGCCGTTGTGACTATACTGAGACCTTAGAACTTATATCTCAAGGTATGGGGCGCATTTACGTTGTAGATGTCTATGGGCTTCAGTAACCACTTAACACCAGGTGGGCTGTGAGCTCGTCCACACATCTAAGCAACAAAAAAAAAAATAAACATCGATAATCCATTCTCCTAGATAGCACAAACGTTTTCCGCCGGCTTCGAGATGACGTGTAACATCGACCAAGTCGTTCCGGCCACTGACGCCAGCGGGGTCATCATGAACGGCATCACCGAAGTGAGGGGACACTTCATCCGCGATAATGTGCCCGTACCAGCCGACGAGATCGAGACGTAAGTATGATTGTAACAATTAAAGTCATCCAACTACGAGATTAACAAAGTAATCAAGTCAAACATAGATTATAGGGTGTTTATGGAATAGAGACGGTGCTAAAGAAAAACCGATTTCTATTTTTCTTATATGTCTTTTGGGCTATGATTATATCAGCCCCTCCCAAAGTGGGCGATAATGCCCCCTTGTGGGCGCTGCAGGCCTAAAGGGGGGCGTTAAGAGATCCAGAAAAAAATGGGGCGCGTTGTGTAGAGGCTTGGAAGGCAATTTGTAATTTCATCTAGGAGGACCCTGAGACACCGACTGAGCTCTCGCTATAGTGGGTTTTTAAGGAGGTAGATGAAAAAATGGGGGCGCTAACAATAATTTATTCTCAAAGTGGGCAGTAGACGTAATAAGTTTGGGAACCCCTGGACTATATCGTGTTTTATGGATATAGTGTATTGGAAGAGCAAAAGGTACACCAGTAAGTATCAAATGAGTGCTGACTATGCAGGACCGTTTTCCAACCCGGTTTGAAGTAACAGTTGTCAAGAAACACCACGAAAGAAGACTCATTCCAAAGCTGGATCTTAAATGGCAAAAAAAGATCTCTGAAAATGTAACGAAAAGCCTAAAAATTATTTATTTAAATTATTTATACATACAAGCTAAGCACATTCGATTTTTCTCTATAAGTGCGAAACGATTCTCAGCATATTTTTGAAGTGAAACTTCTTTAGGCGCGTTGAGAGTAAAATTTATCTCGTGACAGATTCGTTACGGCTAAAGAGAAAAGATACAATTTCGAAAGAGCGAGAGTGAAAAAATAGCTAGCGTCTCGTGAACCCCTCGACCGTGGGGAGAGGAAGAGGACAAAGTGAGCTAGGTCGTGTTTCATAAGCAGCAGTGTTTATAAACACAGCATTCCCTGTTACAAAAGAAATTTAGTTTAAGGATGAAAAATGAAGAAAACCACAATACTACACAGTGCAAAAGAAGTTTCACTTCTTTTACTTTTTTGTGAGCATTTCTTTTCAAAATGCCCGGCAAACGCTGTTTTGCCATATAAATTATTTCTAGGAAAGATAAATAACCTAGACACTGACTGCAGCGCCTGATTTGTGAATCTAAACCATCCAGGGCGCCAACCAAACGCATACAAAAAAACAATTCAAATCGGTCCAGCCGCTTAAGAGGAGTTCAGTGACAAACACACGCACAGAAGAAGCATATAATATATCTCCTTACTTCAAGTAGTTGGGTTTATGTGCAGTTTTAAATTAACTATACTGAGACCTTAGAACTTATATCTCAAGGTGGGTGGCGCGTTTACGTTGTAGATGTCTATGGGCTCCTGTAACCACTTAACACCAGGTGGGCTGTGAGCTTCGTCTGCCCATCTAAGCAACAAAAAAATTAAAAAAATATACAAATCCAGATAAAGAACAAACATTTTCGCCGCAAGAATATCTATCCACAGTGCAAATGGACCCACGACTCCGCAGTCCAATAGGCAGAGCGCTAACTATTTTGCCAACGAGTCTGTCGCAATATAATATGTCCGTTTATCTACCCAGTACCGTCGCAAAGGACAGACCGTATTCAAACTACACACAGAGATAAATTCAATAATCTTCTATCAACTGTCCGCCAGTCTCCGAGGGGACATGGTGCTGCTGACTGCCATCCAGTCCACGCTGGCGACGCGGCTGCTAGTGCTGCGCGACCTCTTCACGGACACCAGTCCGGCGCCGGACGCCGGCTCGGCCGCGGTGCTGTACGCGCTGGCGGTCCTCTCAGCCCTGCTGACTGCGCTCTGTCTCCTACTGCTAGTCATCTTCATCATCAGGACTAAAAAGTTAGTAATGTTGCTTTGGCAGCTGCTTGACTGTGCCCCTGGCATCGCTGACTTCTATGAGCGACAGTGACTGCTTATCATCAGATGAGCTGTATGCTCGACTGTCAACGAAGTCAATAAACATAAATTTAAAGGGGCAGACACGATGTATTTCTGCCGTGAAGCAGTAATGCGTTTCGGTTTGACGAGTGGGGCAGCCGTTGTAACTGTACTGAGGACTTACAACTTATATCTCAAGGTGGGTGGCGCATTTACGTTGTAGATGTCTATGGGCTCCGGTAACCACAACACCATGTGGACTGTGAGCTCGGCAATAAAAAAAAGAAGTCTGGATATTTTTTCAAAGACAATTTCATTCAAACTCCTAAAAGATCGACATGCAAAAAACGGCCTAACAACAGAACTGAGCTACACCAGAGAATATTTCCAATTCGTAGCTGAAATATAACCCTTAAATCTTCCATAGATAATTTTTCTTTGTTACGAAATCACAATGTAAAAAAACATCTGAACGGTTTAGCGTCAGATTGAAGTAATTTATCTAATTCCGCAGACTTAACCGTCGTTTGGAAGCCCTGACGGTTAAGAAGTACGGGTCGGTGGATTCAGGTTTGAACCGCGTCGGTATCGCGGCGCCGGGCACCAATAAACATGCCGTGGAAGGCTCCAATCCGATCTGGAACGAGACCATTAAAGCCCCGGACTTCGATTCTATGAGGTAAAATAAACTTTTATTTATGCTATCATTTTCGATTCTATCAGTTACATATATCTGATCATGTGCATATGCATCAAATTAGTATTTAATTTAATAATTTATTTAATTTAATTTAATAATAAAATACTAACGATAATGAAATTTACAAAATTTCTCGAATATTCATAAAGGTCATTAATAAACCATACCCTAATAAAAAATACACTCAAAATCAAGTACTGACAAAGTCTCAATAAAATATTTAAAACTAAATTATGTACCTGCTGGATATGAAACGAAAGCAGTAAAGAACTACGCAATAATATTACAATTACCAATATTAACACCTTTACTGCCATGTAGGTCACTGGTGCGTTCACTTCAGTGCGCCGCGTGTCCTACGCGAAGTACTTATGTCGATTACTATTACTAAGGCGCCTAGAATGCCTAACTTTGTCTTTCTTTGTTTTTAATGCATGCTTTAGTCTTTTAGGCCACTTAGAAATAGATTCATTATCACTAGCTTCGGATTCGTCTTTCTTAGACTCTACTACATATTCCCGCCCCTTACTAACAGAAATCGACATAATTACTTGAGTTCGCCGCGTAGGGCACCGGTAACCTACATGGCAGTCAAAGAGTTAAGACTTACTTTTTTAACAGAATTAAAATGGTCGGCCATAGAGCTAGAAATTATTAGCAGTCATTGAGACAGCATGCGGTAAACGCAATATTCACTTAAAGCAATGGGATCGGAAGTCTTAGTCTTGTTTTTTTTTTTAAATTACACTATCTATAATTTCCTGATTCAAAGGAGGCCATCAAATATAGTTTCTGTATACAGAATCTAAACGTTTTATGACGCTTGACCTTTATTAATAACTAGCGACCCGCCCTCGTTTCGCTTCGGAAACTGTAATTTATTATTGATTTTTCCACTATTTAGTGGATGTTATTATACATATAAACCTTCCTCTTCAATCACTCTATCTAATAAAAAAAACCACATCAAAATCCGTTGCGTGGTTTTAAAGATTTAAGCATACATGTGGGATATAAGAAAGCGACTTTGTTTTATTGTAGTGATCTTTGTGCTCTTGAACATTAACAATTATTAATCTCACACAGCGATGCATCGAACGACTCTGATCTAATCGGCATTGAAGATCTGCCACACTTCGGCGAAAATAATTATTTTCCTCGTGACGTCGATGAATTTAAAACAGATAAGGTAATCGTGTTTTTGAATCTTTAATCTGATATTGAATTTTTTTATTTTATTTCTTATGGTGTTAAGTGGTTACTGGAGCCCATAGACATCCACAGCGTAAATGCGCCACCCACCTTGAGATATCAGTTCTAAGTCTCAAGTATAGTTACAACGGCTGCCCCACCCTTCAAACCGAAACGCATTACTGTTTCACGGCAGAAATAGGAAGGGTCGTGGTACCTACCCTCGCGAACTCACAAGAGTACTTACGCAAATTGTAATTTTGGGGATTTGATTTTTATTACACGATGTTATTCCTTCACCGTGGAAGTCAATCGTGAACATTTGTTGAGTACGTATTTCATTAGAAAAATTGGTACCCGCCTGAGATTCGAACACCGGTGCATCGCTCAACACGAATGCACCGGACGTCTTATCCGTTAGGCCACGACGACTTCAAGGAAGTCGACTTCAAGACTGAATGAGGAAGAGTATGTATGTATTGATAAAGAAAAATTGCCAAAGGGTTGCAAGGGCCAAGCAGTTTGGAACTAATGTACAAATCACTTAGATATAGTACGTTTTAGTTACAATAATTATTTCTATTTATTTCCCAGCTTATTTCTTTCGCAAAGCAATAATGTACTCTGATATGAAAGATGAGACAATCAAATCAATATAGCAGAAAAAAAAACAAGAAATGTTTTGTTATGATAATTGAATTGTGCATGTGAATCGTGAATGTGAACTGTGAATAAATTTTATTTACAGCCCGAAGACATAGTGGCAACACACAACAACAATTTCGGCTTCAAGTCAACACCCTTCAGTCCGGAATTTGCAAATCAATTCCAGAAATAAACTTAATAATGAAACTGAAATTCAGTTTGTACTAAAGTTTTTTTTTACGGATTCTACAAATGTATACCTACTCACTTTACAAAAAAGAGAAATGTCAACTTACAAAGTGATACTTTTGTTACTCAATTTATTTGTAAATATTTATACAATTTATTATTATTTCATGTAAAATAATAAACTATAAGTAATTTGTAATGTTTCGTTTTATTGTAAAAAAAAACATTAGATAGATTATTAAAAGCCTCTTTCCATCGTTGTCTCCTATATCCAGACCTTTACCACTATATAAATAAAGGTCATTAAACTAATCCTCAGCTAGCTACTATTTAAGGGTGCTTGCCCACCGGAGCGGAGCGAGGCAGCAGAGCGGAGAAACGGAGAAATATTAACCAATAAGTTTGCACAAAATCAAAACCATAAGATTGCAAAATGATTTTGTGCAATCTTATTGGTTAATATTTCTCCGTTTCTCCGCTCCGTTGCCTCGCACTGCCCTGGTGGACAGGCACACTTACAGGGCGCTTTATGTCATGTCATACAACCGTATTGAACTGACAAATGACAATGTTATATTCCTTTGTCATGTCAATGGTATAGCGTATTGAAAATAATAATAAATACTACATGCTAATTGTACCTTTATTAACAGACAGCCACAGCTTAAACAAAGCAAAACATATTGTTATCGAGCAACACTTCCGGCCACTTATTATTGTCTTATAATATAATTAGTAATTTCATAATCAAGTAAATAGTTCATTCATATTTCTTTATACTTATAATATTTTATTGGCGCCTTCCGCTTGACAGCTTCCGGCGCAATAAACCTTACGGCGCAATAAGCTTTAATGTTATTTATGTTACATAATTCGATATTATTAAATAATAATTGTACGTAAATAATCAGCAGAATAATTAAGATGAACAATGTTTAATATTACCTACTAAGTTTGTATTAAAATAGGTCAAGATGATTGTATAAATACCGGCGGTTAGCATATCTCTGTTGCATTCGTATTCTACCCACCGTAACGTGTACTAAAGAGAATATATTATTTCGTGTGGATGTAAATTGTCTCAATTGTCGCCGCCACCCTTAGGATCCGTTTATAATATACACCTAGAAACACTGCTCTAGCTGGTTCACTAATAACACCAAAAAAAAACTTTATTAATGAGCCATTTATAATATAGTTGCAAAGCCTGTTGTTACAATCGTGGACTCGCAGAAGTCGAGCATCGCTTTCCAGCGTGCTTAATGAGAGTTTTTTAACGTTTTAGATAGCGTAAAACTTAACTCAAATTTGTATGCAGTTGGAACAGCGCTCCTAACGGCAAAAGTAGGCAAGGTGCATCTCCATACAAATTTGAGTTGACTCCTACGCTATCGAGAACGTTAAAAAACTTGCACAAAGCACACAAGGTGCCTTTCAAAAATGCTAAACTAATAATAACGAACAAAAAAAATTTTTTTTAATGTGATATTATGACCTGGTAACTAAGACCTTTAAGTCATGTCTTATTTTAATTTATATTCTTATTTTTATGAAAAATGATAATATGGAGTGAAATGAAATGAAAATGATTAATTTGAGACGTTAATCAACTGGGATGAAATTAAATGAAATGAGATAATATGGAATGAAATAAAAAAAGTGTGTGTGTCCGCTCCGACGCACGACTGGAGTTTACTGGATATAAAAAATTAAACGAAATAAACGAAACAATACGAGAAATAGTTCTATATTACGACAACACGATACACTACAGATTATTAACAAATTAACGAGACACAAAACAAACGACTAACAAATATATGAAAATACAATAATGAGAGAAACGCGCGATCAGTACGAGGCTTTGTGGCGGACTGCCGGCGCAGCAGCCCGGCGTCACCTGCGATAACGCGGCCGCGCGTTGGCTCCTGATTGGCGCGCGCACGCATCACGCAATCAGGAGCCAATCAGGCGCATAACGCATTTCGTGTGACATTCTAGTACGATTTTGGTCCCCATAATTTTCATACCCCGGGCCTATATATGTAAATCGATTCTAAAGGAGTAAACTCCAATAATCTTAGTGAAATGGTGGTCATTTACTAAGATTTTTTCAGTGGACTTTTTGGAGGATCCCGAGAAGTTGCGTCCAGCGGCTTTGTTTCATTTTCCCACATTTGTGCACTTTCACAGATATGAAACAGTTAATAAACCACCGTTATTACACATTTAAACTTGAAGAAACACTAAATAGACAAAATAAAACAAATCACACAACTTCACTCCTCGCTTTCCCGCCAAAAAGTGACGAACAAAATAAAACAGTTCACACCATAGATTATACACTTAATATATTTGAGAGTTAGGTACCGGTAAAATGGGGCGATTAGGGATTGAGAGGCGAATCGGGAAAAAACCGGGAAAATCTTTCGACGCTCAATATAAGTTTTATATTCGTTGCAAAATCTTCCATTTTTTGTAGTCTAATAGTAGAATGTTGAAAGTTCACAAAACAACTCTGAATATGCATGATAATAGCTGCTAACTTATAAAAAATCGCGTTTCAAATTAACTTCCTGTGGTGGTAATTATTTTAGTGCTAGAAACTTTGCTCTCTTTTATTTATTTGATAATAATAGAAGACGACTGTGATTTATAAACGTTATCTAGTGTTTGAACCAGCATATATATTAAAGGTGAGTCTCAGTTGTTATTGGTTTTAATGTATTTGATAAAATAAAAATACATGTAAAAATCTGTTGTTTTTGGGGATATTGGGGACGTCTTAGGTACAAATAACAACGAAAAAGGGGTCAATTGGGATAAGAATACGTGAAATGGAAACGACCTAAGTATAAATAGGTACAGGTTTGNTAAAAATACATGTAAAAATCTGTTGTTTTTGGGGATATTGGGGACGTCTTAGGTACAAATAACAACGAAAAAGGGGTCAATTGGGATAAGAATACGTGAAATGGAAACGACCTAAGTATAAATAGGTACAGGTTTGTAGGGTTGTCTATGTAGTTATAACAATATTTTTTAAATTTGTTGGTAAAAATCTGGTTTATTCATGATGTGTTTGTCTAGAACTTTTATTCAAAATTATCAATGTGTTATTTTATTGTTTGGTAAATATTTATATTATCAGTTACTTATTGTTTTCTATTTTTAGATATGCCTCGCGTGTACGTATCAAAGAGTGCAAAGCCTTTTATGAGATATGATCCTTTAATATTAAAAACAGCAATAGAAGCCTATGAAATTGGGAATAAGTCTTTAGTTGAAATAAATAAGTAATTTAACATAAGTAAGTCGATTTTTCACAGACATGTAACAAGAACAATGAAATCTCAAGGTGGACAAAAATGTCTAAGTAATACATAATAACATATTTAATATTTGTTCAGAGTGGGGGTATTCATCTGATTAATCCATGGAATAACCGACACACCTAATCTCTTAACCCAGATAAAAATATCAGCCCCTAAGTACTTACCAAGAACGAAGAAATATAAACCGTTTCGAAGAAAGCCCATTGTTGTTAATGCACTGTCGATTGCACCTATAATTGAGGTGACATCTGCCATGTACTTTTGTCAGTTTTTCAATTTTTTTTATTGATGATCACTTTGTTGTTGCAACTAAATAAATAAATTAATTAAAACCTAGTAGTGCCAACCCTTAGCAAATTTCTCATTTCGTCCCAATTAACCGCAATTTCTGGGTAAATAGGGATTACACCTATTTTTGCATTTTTTGCTTAAACTGGGATGCTAGTTGCATAGTTTTAAATTGGACAACAAAGATGCCCCCAAGATTCAATCATTTTGATCCTGATATAGCATTATATACATCAATAACTACCTTAAAATTGCTCATAAAGTTGGAATTTGTCCCTAATCGCCCCATTTTACGGTACCACAACCTCGAGCTCCCGCCAAAAAGTTCCTGTATTATTCTATGTATAAGTGCAAAGAGAATAAATTGTGATTTTATTTTTATTTTTATTTCTTAGATAGGTGGACGGGCTCACAGCCCACCTGGTGTTAAGTGGTTACTGGAGCCCATAGACATCCACAACGTAAATGCGCCACTCATCTTGAGATATTAGTTCTAAGGTCTCAAGTAATTTACAACAGCTGCCCCACCCTTCAAACCGAAACGCATTATTGCTTCACGGCAGAAGTAGGCAGGGTGGTGGTACCCACCCGCGCGGACTCACAAGAGGTCCTACCACCAGTAATTGTATTATCTATGAGAAATATTAGGGAAGAATTTAATAATACCTGGCAGCCATTATAGCACATAAATTCTGTTCTATTATCCTGTATTTACTTAATATTTAAGAGCCATGGCTCATAAATATTCATACTTTAGTGATATAGAGTGATACATAGATAATACACTGAAAGAGAGTGATGTATATCATCGCGGACTGTCACAAATTAACGAGATAGATATTTTAATGTAAATAAAGAAAATAATAAAACAGAACTCTCAAGCTACTAAACGGACGTATAAACAATATGTCGCTTAAAAGGCATTACTGTCAGCTTGGATTCGGTAGCTATAATATAAATATATTATTCAATTTCCTCAATAGAACAAGTATTGAAAAAAACTCAGCTGAAAGGATTTTGACCGAGATTCTAGACTGCTGTACTGTGCATTCTGTATGATAGTTTTTTATGTGTCTTATCCATTTTTGTTGGTGAAGCGCACCACCAACCGAAGTGATGACCACGACCACTCTGCCAAGAGTGCATACGACTGTAGCAATTTTATCGTCATAAAAACTTTGGAACATTTCATTTCGTTAAACAATTCGGTCGCATTTCACACAATGCCTCAGGATTGTCTATAATACTTACTGAGACATTGAGATTCATGCCTCGGATTTTGTCAGCAGATTCTCCAGTAGCATTCGCTTTATGATGCCTATAGACCCGATCATTTCTCAAAAAGGGCAACCGGACACTCCATTCGTGCATTTTAATTTAAAGTAAATTATCAAATCAAATCAAATCAAAAAAAATTTATTCAACATAAATAAAACTACATACTTGTTGAACGTCAAAAGAACTACCGCCATTATGATTATATCTTCCAATATGATTCAATTTTGGGCTTAGATAGTGTATAGGATACATGATACGAACTTCTCCAAAGTTGATAGCTTTTTCTCATCATTTACTTAGTTCTGTAACGAGTAGCTACTGCTAGCCTAGAACTTAAGAAGTTTGACAGAGGCCTGAATCGCGCTAATGACATTTTCAAGATAAGTTTGGTTCGATACAAGCTCCAACAATATTATTCAGACGTTGGTCTGTCGAGAAATTTCCCCCGCACGGTGGGAGACCGTCTATTTGTCTTTTCCTCCAATGATCCGATTTATGGCTATATTATATTATTTCCCTTTATTAATACTTGTAAAAGTGAGTCATTAATGTTTGATTTTATGTTCACTATCTTTCGTTCGCGAAGCACCTAATAACTAAAGAGTAGCTCTTTAGTTATTAGGTCTCCTTTGGAGGCGCTCGGGCAGCTGTTAGAAAATCCCTTCCCTCTTGGTTGAGTCTTTGCTCGCTAACCCGTCCTGGTGAAACTGGAAGGGCCTCAGGGCCACCAGTAATCCCTCAATACGAAAAAAAATGTTCGCTATCTGCGCGTATGTTTTTCAAAGGTTTAAACTTGTTTCCATTTTTTTCTGTACCTATCATAACATACTATTTGAATGTGATTATTAAGTTGTTTGTTTCCGAAGTAATTGTGGAAATTAATTAAAAACCCCTAACAAGTCTAAACAGTCTGGTAGTGTGATAGGAATAGTACAGGTAGTAAAAGTATACACACACAACAAAGCAGTATACCAGCGGTCAAGGAACTTTTTTAATTATTACCCCAAAATATTTTTGTGTAAGTTGATATTACCCCATGGCAAAGAACAAAAAAAAACGAAATCGCTTCTTTTTAGCATCTTTCATATTATAGCCACCATGATAATTTGAAATCACAACGATTCTAAAGAAGTTTCACTTCAATATTTACTTAAATACTTTTTACTCACAAAAGTTTCATTTAAGCCGCCAAAATTTCTTTTTACCCCATTTGGGGTAATTTACCCCGGTTTCCCGACCGCTGCAGTATACGGTTAACCTTTTGGATAGCCTCCGAGAGCATGCTACCGAAAGCAGAAGGCCGGTGGGATAGCTTTTGTCGTGGCTTACGTAAGATATGCCAAGTGACAGACCTCCACCCTGAAACGAAGGAGCACTTCCGGAGCTACCCTGCTCTGGTCAATGAACGAAAAATAAACTTGATGCGAGGATGCAATCTAATACATCCGATGAGTGTAGCCAGGTCAGTGTGTTTTTTTTTATTGCTTTGATGGGTGGCCGAGCTCACAGCCCACCTGGTGTTAAGTGGTTACTGGAGCCCATAGACATCTACAACGTAAATGCGCCACCCACCTTGAGATATAAGTTCTATGATCTCAGTATAGTTACAACGGCTGTCTCACCCTTCAAACCGAAACGCTTCACGGTAGAAATAGGCAGGATGGTGGTACCTACCCGCGCGAACTCACAAGAGGTCCTGCCACCAGTAGAAGTTTGTGTTATAACATTGCCTTGAAATTCCAGAATTATATGTTACAATGCAAGAAGCTTCTATTATTACTTTTCCTCCAACACTGTTTTGTAACTGGTGGTAGGACCTCTTGTGAGTCCGCACGGATAGGTACCAGCACCCCGCCTATTTCTGCCGTGAAACAGTAATGCGTTTCGGTTCGAAGGGTGGGGCAGCCGTTGTAACTAAACTGAGACCTTATATCTCAAGGTGGGTGGCACATTTAGGCCGTAGATGTCTATGAGCTCCAGTAACCACTTAATACCAGGTAGGCTATGAACTCGTCCACCCATCTAAATTAGATTCCTTCCCTTCCTTCCTTAGATTTCTTCCCCCTCGTCTTAATTCCATTTTCTTTTCTTCCTCGTCTAATCTCCTGAAGCGTTGTGGCCTAATTAAGATACAAGATATTATAAGACGAGAATACGACGAAGTACTCGGATTGCGTGATAGGATTATGCCGCTGCTCTATTCCCACAGACTGTTACTAATTTAGTAATAAAATACGTAATAAATAAAGTAAAAAACATAGATTGTAGTTTAGCGTTAAACATGATTTTGAATTCCCCATTTTTTTGGGAAATTTGCATTGCACACTAAATAATGTTGCCAAAACTTTGTATTTGCAGCTTGATCTGGAACTCAATTATGGTTGTAGTAAATCTATCGCACATGTTTGTTTCAACTTTAAGAATAGCCTACGTCATCGATCCAGTACATTTCAGCAGGCACCACTACGTCGATGAGGCTCTAATCGTTCTGGATATGATGTGCTGGCTAGATGTTATTGTTAAATTCAATACAGGTTTCAAGGACAAGTACACTTCAAACATAGTGATGGAAAGAAAACGAGTTGCTGGGTACGTTAAAACCTAAAATATTTAAATTTCCCAAATGCATGACAAATTGTTTTTGCTTTTTTTGAGGGATTTTATGACCTGGTAACTAAGACCTTTAAGTCATGTCTTATTTTAATTTATTTTCTTATTTTTATGAAAAATGATGAAATGAAATGAAGATGATTAATTTGAGACATTAATCAACTGGCATGAAATCAAATGAAATGAGATTAGATGATATGGGATAAAATATAATCTCAGTAAAATGGTGGTCATCTACTGAGACTTTTTCATTGGACTTTTTGGAGGATCCCGAGAAGTGAAGTCCAGCGGCTTTGTTTCATTTTCCCACATTTGTGCTCTTTCACAAATATTAAACAGTTAATAAACCACCGTTATTGCACATTTAAACCTGAAGAAACACTAAATAGACAAAATAAAACAAATCACACAACTTCACTCCTCGCGTTTCTGTTTTTGCTTTAATTTCAAATACTGACTACCCTCATTTCCATTATTAGCCGTTATCTTCGCCGTTGGCTCCTACCAGACTTGATTTCGAGCATGCCAATTGCGTATATAATTTTAAGTCTTCCAGTGAAGAGAACCCGTTGTCTACTGATTGCTCATTTTTTACCATTACTAAGAACGCCGAGAGTGTACACTGCCCTTATGGATATCCAGATTTTTATGAAGGTAAATTGCTCACATTTCTTTGTTTCTTTATGGTATAGGCAAACGCTCCGCGGTCTAATAATAGTTAGTATTTTCAAGCGGTATAATTGTGCCAGGATTTTAGATAGCACGACTTAAAAATGAGATAAAAGTCTCAACTGTATTTTCATTTTACTGCTTCTATGGTGGTGCAATAAGTGGTTAATGGAACCCGTAGATATCAACAACGTAAATTTCATCACCCACCTTGAGACATGAGTTCTAAGGTCTCAGTACAATGGCTTCCCGATCATTCGAACCGAAACGTACTACTGCTTCACGACAGAAATAGGCAGAGTGGTGATACCTACCCTCACGGACTTACAAGACGTACTACCGGGTAATTACGTAAATTAATATTTCTATCACACCCTCCAAATGAGCGTCAGTGCCTTGCTTTTTTTTTCACTACCTAACCTGGTAACCTAGAGGTTTATGTCAACGTAACCGGACGAGTTGATGAGCTCTCGGGGCTCCAACCTGAGGACGTTGCTAACACTAACCCTAGCAAGAGCAGTGCTTCGCAGAATCTACCACCGGATCGGAAACGCGACCCACTGAGAAGATCCGGCGAGAAACTCAGTGGACAACAACTTTTTATTTTTATTGCTTATGTAGTTTATTTATTTATTTATTTGGGAAACAAATTAAATAAATAAACAAGTAGTTGGAAGAGCTCACAGCCCACCTGGTGTTAAGTGTTTACTTGAGCCCATAGACATCTACGGCCTAAATGCGCCATCCACCTTGAGATATAAGTTCTAAGGTCTTAGTATAGTTGCAACGGCTGCCCCACCCTTCAAACCGAAACGCATTACTGCTTCACGGCAGAAATAGGCAGGGTGGTGGTACCTTCCCCTGCGGACTCACAAGACGTCCTACCACCAGTCACCACAACATTGACTATCCATTATATTTCGTCTTCATTAAATTATACAATCCACACCACTGAGCCCGGTTTTCGGCTCTATGTGGTTCTGGATTGGAAGAGGCCTATATCCAGCAGTAGACGACTGTGGGCTGATGATGATGAAGAAACTATACAACATTGACGTAAATGAAATCACAACAATCACGTTCCTATGAAGCTGTTCACGAGCTCATACATCTGGCACGGAGCAGTGCAGCTCACTGTCCTGTTCATGATGACGACACATTGGTGCGGTTGCCTTGTCTACCTTCCGACGATCCTGTTCTATTATTGTAAGTATTTGATTGGAAAAATTCTCAGTTGTTCCCTATTTTGGTTTTTATTTTTATTGCTTAGATGGATGGACGAGCTCACAGCCCACCTGGGGTTAAGTGGTTACTGGAACCTATAGACATCTACGACGTAAATGCGACACCCACCTTGAAATATCAGTTCTAAGGTCTCAGTATAGTTACAACAGCTGCCCCAGCCCCACCCTTCAAATCGAAACACATTACTGCTTCACGGCAGAAATAGGCAGGGTGGTGGTACCTATCCGCGCGGACTCACAAGAGGTCCTACCACCAGTAATTACGCAAATTATAATTTTGCGGGTTTGATTTTTATTACACGATGTTATTCCTTCACCATGGAAGTCAATCGTGAACATTTGTTGAGTACGTATTTCATTAGAAAAATTGGTACCCGCCTGGGATTCGAACACCGGTTCATCGCTCAACACGAATGCACCGGACGTCTTTATCCTTTAGGCCACGACGACTTTGGTGATGATCGTGACCCTTTTGTAGTCTTCTCACTGTTTCTCTCCACCTATTTCTATCTTTTGCCTGGCGGAGAGCTTCGTTGACCAGGATTTATGGCTGCTGCACCACCGCTTTGGGCTGGAATACACTAGTAGAACATCGCGATCTTAGTCGATTAGGGCATTCCATCACAAATTACCGTGTGAATCGATTCCGATTTGAAGCTACTCGCATAACGATCTCAAAGCATTATTGCTCTACGATAGGTACGACAGTTTTTTTCCAAGTGCCTCGGACCAAGAGATCTCCCATCAAGACACGTGTTACTAAACTGACTTCAATAAAATTGCAGTAACCCTACTTCTGTTGAGATTTATTTAGATAACAAATCGTAATTTTAGTAGGCCTTATGCGAACTTGACTTTTTTATGAAGAGAAATAAACTATTGTTGAGATGGAGTTGGGTAAGATAAATCTAAAAAAGGCATTAAGTTTGTGTCTTATTTTTTTTTTAATGACATTGACGGAGTCCTCGTTTTTCAGGGTTTGGTCATATGTCATCAAATTACAATCGGTTTCTGAAAGAATCTGAAAGGGACCTTTTGCAGTTGGACTTCATAACGCGATATCAGCTTGGAACATTCATAACATTGTCAACGTTTTTTGGTAACTGTTATTGCATATCAAATTATATACTTATTAAAAAAAACACGTATTCTTACTGGTGGTAGGACCTGTTGTGAGTCCGCGCGGGTAGGTACCACCGCCCTGTCTATTTCTGCCGTGAAGCAGTAATGCGTTTCGGTTTGAAGGGTGGGGCAGCCGTTGTAACTATACTGAGACCTTACAACTTAAATCTCAAGGTGGGTGGCGCATTTACGTTGTAGATGTCTATGGGCTCCAGTAACCACTTAACACCAGGTGGGCTGTGAGCTCGTCTACACATCTAAGCAATAAAAAAAAATATATTAAATTGAAATCTTATTTCAAAGCTATGCGCCAGTTCGAGTGAGGATCTTTTGTTTTTTGTTTTCCATCTATCTTGCTCTTTCACGCGTTTTGTATCTCTCTCACACACCTCCAAGCTGAATCTCGTTCTAATAGGCATGATTACTAGTAGTATCACAGATAATAAACAGTTAAATAAGATTAAGTGTGTTTCAAAATTACTTCATAATTCCGAAAATACTTCATAATTAGCAGACAAAAAAGTTTTAAATTTAATATGAATTAAAATAATTATTCAAATAAAATTTTGATGTACATAACTCAGATCCTATTCAGCTTATTAAAATATTTCATGACATTTGATGGACATTTTTATTGTTGAAATCCCACGACACTTCTTTCTATTCAAATGTCATAGCCCACCACTACCATTACAGAGTGATCGGACTTTTACATTGATTAAAATGTGATCAAAGGAAATATTTGCAGGCACCGGATTTACTTTATTCCTCGCATCGGAGCCGGAAGAGTTGATTGTGCATGCATTTATTATTCTCTTCTCTACCGTTTTCATGGTATATATTTTAGGTAACTATCTTTTCCATGAATAAGGAAATTACATTTAATTTACAATTACTGCCCTGCGATAAAGGGGATGGCCCATTTTAGGCCCAAAGCGGACAATAGATTATAGAAAAAATACTTAGTGCATTAATTTTATCATAAATAAATATGCATTTACTTTCTTGCAAATAAGCGCCACTATAGTTTACAATAAGTAGTTTAAAAAAAGTAACTGTTTTGAAAAAACAAGGATTTTTATTTTTGCGGGAAAAATATTGCCAGCTTCAAAACCTTTTACGTACGAAGTAAATATTTTGAGTATATAAATAAAACATATAAATAAATGATTTTAAGTATTATCATTAATCAATCGATTTTAATGGATTTTATGCACATAAAATAACATCGAAGACATATCCATTGGACTTTAACTTGTAACTATACTTGAGACCTTAGAACTTATATCTCAAGGTGGGTGGCGCATTTACGTTGTAGATGTATGTGGGCTCGAGTAACCACTTAGCAACACCAGGGTGGCTGTGAGCTCGTCCACCCATCTAAGTAATAAAAAAAACTTTACTAGTATTGTTATTTAAATATGTACAACTAAAACAAAAACATAAAAAATAATGTGTACTCGTAAAAAAAAGATTAGGATATAAATCAATTATCGGTTATTTAAAAAATCGATATATGAATTTCATGTAATTATTTATCTTTATACTGACAACACTGAATTTAATCTGACTGACTGACACTTCGCTTGCTGCTTGTGGTGTTGTGCTTGCGTTCAAAATGGATGTGTTTTGATTTTTCTTCGATTTATGTTACTTTTATCAATAACGTTTCATACTACGACTAAAAAACATTGTGTGAATTGTGGTTTTACCCTGACCGAGACTTAAACACGTGTATATGCTCTCCTTTGCTATTTTTAGATGATACTAATTGTGTATAAAGATGAAGAAAATATAGATATTTAAAGAATTAAGTGTGTTTTTTATACCCTATTGGATAAAAATACATTAGGAACATCTTAAACATTAAGAAAAGAAAAGTTCTTGAAGTATCTCACAATCCGACTCTTATTTATATAGAAAATTAACCTCAAAACGAGTTTTTATTTTTATTATATTTTTTATAATAGTGGCGTCAATTTCAATATATTTTTTAGATATCCAGTACATTTAAGAATTTGAATCAGTACATTTTTATAGTAATATTTGATGTCCATCTTGGGCCTAGCACACTATGGAGAGTGGGCAATCCCCTTTGTATAGTTGTTGCAAAGTACGAGCGCACGTGGCCTTTATTTGTAGTTGTAATCGTAAATACACAATTTCATTAGTGTGTGTACCCGACGCGACGGAGAGGTTAGTAGCGTAATATAATCTATGGAATGAGCCATCGCTCGAGTCACTTGTATTTATTCGGTAGTTTAGTATTCGGTAGTTAAGGAGGTTCTCAATTCAACTGTATTTTTTATTATTTTATATTTGTTACCTCATAACTTTTGACTGGGTAATCGATTTTGATGATTCTTATTTTATTAGAAATCTGATGCTTCCCGTGTGGTCACATTTCAATTTAGTCCAGTTCTGATAATGGTATCCATGAGAAAACCATATAAGTCTTAAAGGGGATTGCCCACTCTCCATAGTGTGCTAGGCCCAAGATGGACATCAAATATTACTATAAAAATGTACTTATTCAAATTCTTAAATGTATTGGATATCTAAAAAATATATTGAAATTGACGCCACTATTATAAAAAATATAATAAAAATAAAAACTCGTTTTGAGGTTAATTTTCTATATAAATAAGTGTCGGATTGTGAGATACTTCAAGAACTTTTCTTTTCTTAATGTTTAAGATGTTCCTAATGTATTTTTATCCAATAGGGTATAAAAACACACTTAATTCTTTAAATATCTATATTTTCTTCATCTTCATACACAATTAGTATCATCTAAAAATAGCAAAGGAGAGCATATACACGGTTTTAAATCTCGGTCAGGGTAAAACCACAATTCACACAATGTTTTTTAGTCGTAGTATGAAACGTTATTGATAAAAGTAAAATAAATCGAAGAAAAATCAAAACACATCCATTTTGTACGCAAGCACAACACCACAAGCAGCAAGCGAAGTGTCAGTCAGTCAGATTAAATTCAGTGTTGTCAGTATAAAGAAAAATAATTACATGAAATTCATATATCGATTATTTTTTTAAATAACCGATAATTGATTTATATCTTAATCTTTTTTTTACGAGTACACATTATTTTTTATGTTTTTGTTTTAGTTGTACATATTTAAATAACAATACTAGTAAAGTTTTTTTTATTGCTTAGATGGGTGGGCGAGCTCACAGCCACCCTGGTGTTGCTAAGTGGTTACTCGAGCCCACATACATCTACAACGTAAATGCGCCACCCACCTTGAGATATAAGTTCTAAGGTCTCAAGTATAGTTACAAGTTAAAGTCCAATGGGTATGTCTTCGATGTTATTTTATGTGCATAAAATCCATTAAAATCGATTGATTAATGATAATACTTAAAATCATTTATTTATATGTTTTATTTATATACTCAAAATATTTACTTCATACGTAAAAGGTTTTGAAGCTGGCAATATTTTTCCCGCAAAAATAAAAGTCCTTGCTTTTTCAATAGAGTTACTTTTTTAAGCTACTTATTGTAAACTTTAGTGGCGCTTATTTGCAAGAAAGTAAATGCATATTTATTTATGACAAAATTAATGCACTAAGTATTTTTTCTATAATCTATTGTCCGCTTTGGGCCTAAAATGGGCCATCCCCTTTGCATTATCGAACCGATTTCGATCACCGTTTTTAGTGTATATTAATTTGTTTTGGAATATATATTTTTTTCTATTTGGAGTCGGTTTTTGTCAAAAAAAGCTCATCTATTTACAATTATTGTTTCCGCGTTGTTATTTTTCACGAAGTACGGTCAGCATATCAAATCTTAAAAGTTAAAGAAAAGGCAAAGTAATTCATGACGAGGTAAGATTTTTTTTATTTTTAAACTTGCCCCTAGATATCGATGTAATTATGAACATGTGACTTAAGCATATATAGACTAAAAAAACCATTCCCGCATCCGAAGGAATGCAAAGGTAGATATAGGGTTCGATAAAGTTCGGTTCGTGAATCGCGTTTGGTATTTTAAATTTTTTCCCGAAAACTATAAGTCGTATCAAAACTAGATAACATTATTTACCAGATGAAATGTGAACTAGCCCGCCAATTTGCTTTTTTCACTACCTATTTTCTGATAGCCTAAGGGGTTCTTCCAGCTATTGAATCGTGAACTAATCCACCAGTCTAATTGGTAGTTGGTTGACGGGTATGAATGAATGAGTAAAAATCTAAAATTTAAAATAAATCGTTCGTTTCAGTGTTTCTCTTGAAGGTATACATGACGCTCTTTAGTTCAACGATTCGTTACAATGAATTGATGAATCAAGTTAAAGTGAGTGTCCAAGCTTAAACAAATAATAGAGACAACGTTAGTTTGTTAAATTGTTTTTCTTCTTTTATAATTACTGCTTTTGAATACAGAGCAGATCAGATTTACTGGTGGTAGGACCTCTTGTGAGTCCGCGCGGATGGGTACCACCACCCTGCCTATTTCTGCCGTGAAGCAGTAATGCGTTTCGGTTTGAAGGGTGGGGCAGCCGTTGTAACTATACTTGAGACCTTAGAACTTATATCTCAAGGTGGGTGGCGCATTTGCGTCGTAAATGTCTATGGGCTCAAGTACCTAACCACCTAACACCAGGTGGGCTGTGAGCTCGTCCACCCATCTCCATCTAGCAAAAAAAAAAAAAAGATTTTGTTAGCCGATCTTCGATCCTTAGTGGTAGTTAATATCTTCACATTGCTGTTATGTCGTACGGATTCGACTTTCTTATCGGCCTTACACTAGACATTCCCCAACCACAACTTATTCAGATTTGAAGTGCTTTAACTTAGATTAACAAAACCTCATGTTCCTTCATAAAATTCGATTAAAATGTAACCGAATTAACGAAGATTGGGCTACAGCGCTTTCGCGTTCAGCAAGATCACCAAACCGCATGCAAATCGCGGCCGTAATGTCGCATCCCTAATACTTACTAATTTGTATTTTGTTTTCCAAGGAGTACATGCGGCACAAGCAGTTTCCGGTGCCTTTACAAAAACGTGTGAAAACTTTTTACAGTCAGCTCTATCAGAAGCGATATTATAAAGAAGAGAGCGTTCTTGAATGTCTTTCGGGTTAGATCAGTTTTATTTACTAATCTTACTTTGACTTGCATAATTAGATTGAATTTAACGTTTTTAACACGCTTTTATTGGCTTGGTATGTAGGTTTTTTGGGATGTAACGGAATCTTTGAACGCCATTTTGATCGACTTCAAGACGTCCGTGTGCTTAGTGCACCGTTCTCGATAGCGTAAAGGTTAACTCAAATTTGTATGCAGTTGAAATAGCGCCCCTAGCGGCAAACGTAGGCAAATATTCCAACTCCATACATATTCGAATTAACTTTTACACTATCGAGAACGTTAAAAAAGTCGTACAGAGCACTGATTAACTTGAAAATTTGAACGCGCATTAAGACCTATAAAAAAACAATAGTTTTGTAACTTGGCTCTTGTATTCTGAGCAGTTTAATAGAATAAAAAAAAGAAAATGTGTGCGTGTACTAGTGTACACACGTAAGAAGTGAAACTTGTTTATGGCCTTATTTTTCGAAAAATGATCTACATGCAACTTTCTAGAAATTGGTTAAATAAAGTTAAATTAGATAAAGTTTAAACAAAAGGATTTTATTATCATAGACATGAATACAAATAATACAATTATTTCACTTTACCTTTTTGCTACTAAGATTATTACAGCATTTCATTAATTGTAATAGAATTATTACTATCATTGTCATTGTCATTATATATTTTTGTAATTAATGGCTTATGGTAACTGAAATATGAAATATATGGTTTACATTCCACGAAATTTAGTGACCGAGTAAAAACTCCATCAATTGTAGTGCCAGATCTTGTTGTTGACGTTTGAGGACTGTTTTTCATGGATAAATTCAATTTATCTTTCAGAAATTCAACTAGCTTCAAAGAATTTTCCGATGCAAAATTTACATTAAAATCTCCACTTAAAATCATCGGTATTTTATAATTATTGTTACCGAGTAAAGAGGCACCTTCACTTGTGTACGGCAACAATGAATGGTGAAGAAAAAGATGGCGCGTAACGGAAAAATGTGACGCGTAACCGAAAAATGTGACGGTAAATTTTTTTCCAACGCCGATAAAGAAGTTTCACTTCAAAAATGATCGTTAAGCTATCTATGTGTGTTATTTTACTTGTGACGTACGTTTTTTTTAAATATTCTTACAGAGGAACTTCGCAATGAAATAACGCTACACACATGCCGCGTCCTGGTGGATAAGGTTACGTTATTCAAGGATGTGCCGGCATCAGCAGTGGGCTCAGTACTAGGCTGCTTGAAGCCTGAAGTGTACCTCCCTAATGACCCTGTGCTCAGGGCTGGTGACGACGGAAATTGCATGTACTTTATTGATTACGGCACTGTGGCAATTTATTCCCTTAAAGGCGTCGAAGTAATTTGATTTTATAACTATAGTATATATCGCACCTTTAAAATTATACTCATTTTGAAATATTTGGATTTCGTGTTTAATTCAAAAAGGGACCTAGAACGGCCGCATTTCAGCGACTTTTAGTAATGAAATGACCAGAAGTAGCTTATAAAGGGACAAAGCTATCCATCGGTCCCTTTCACTCCGTCTCCTTCCTCTGCGTCTTTTCGGGTTGAGAACTTTAATCGATGTTTTCCATAAAACACATTTTTTAAGTTGGGTCTTTATAATCCTAAAGGTGCTATATGAGAAAAAAAATGTTGGCTTTGATAATATAGCGAAATTGACTTAGTTTTTAAACGCAATAACGTTTTTTTAATAATTTTTTTAGGTGTGCCATCTAGAAGATGGTGCCCATTTTGGTGAGGTTGCTCTGCTGATGAGGGACAGCAAACGTTTGGTCACCGTTGTTGCTGTGGAGATCACGCAACTGTACCGTCTAGATGATATTGATTTTAGGTTAAAAAAATGTTCTTAATTAAATCATCATCATCATCTTCGTCTGCTCTTCGAGCAATGTGCCACTGTACTGCAACTTTAACCTTAAACTCAAAAAAAAAAGACTGATCTTGATCATAACTTAACATATTTTTTTTGTTATTAGATGTGTGGACGAGCTCACGACCCACTTGCTGTTAAGTGGTTACCGGAGCCTGTAGACATCTACATCGTAAATGCCGCCACCCATCTCGAGACATGAGTTCTAAGGTCTCAGTTTTTACAGTACAGCGGCTGCGCACCCTTCAAACTGAAACGCACTACTGCTTAAAGGCAGAAATGGGCAGGGTGGTGGTACATCCCCATGCTAACTCACAAGACGTCCTACCATCAGTAGAATGTTAGTTCTATTTAAGCCCCGGAAGCATCATCACTCAATACATTTGTAGATGTTTCTGTTATCTGTGCAGACAATATGTGCTTACGAACCAAATTCTGTTTGAGAGAATCCAAACCTTGGCTTCGCAGCGGATGCATGAAGCAGTACTCGTGGACCGTCAATTCCAGAGAGACCGAGAAAAATTCAACGAGAAACCGATCGAGTTCTCGGAAACATCAATTTAAAAGACTTTTAAAATGTACCGTAGACTGATTTAATAAAAGATAATTTAAAAACTTCAAAACCTGATGATAATATTTATTCATCTGACCAAACATACAGTATCAATCATCAATAGAGGAATGGTGTGTTGTTACATTATTCATAACTTAAATTATACCTTACATTGATATCACACATAAATCCCTACCCATAGCAACAAGAACAAAATACCGAAACCAGAAAATAAGGCGGCCACCAATGATAAAAGTAACTCTTTGAACATATCTCTTGAGGCTTTAGTACTTGTAACTTCGTAAACGAAGAACCAGGCCGTGAAGAATATTCCTATTCCGAGCAACAAAAAGGTTAGATGTGGAAAAACTGCCGGGTTTATTGGCGACGTGTACCGGATCATCGATTCAATTTCGAGCTGAAATAGTAATTACATGATAAAAAATAGTAGTACATGGTGATAACACGAATTTATATATTATTTTTGCTGGTACTTACACTCATTTTTATGGCTATTTGAGAACGAAACACTATAGAAAACAAGACCAATAAAACTCGACAAACTCAGAGACTGAGGAATGAAGTGATACGATTAAATGTTGAAATTAGCTGTCAAAATGACAAAAAGAAAACCTCATGACAGTCATGGCAATAGTTGTAGTTTAATTTTTTTTAAATGAAAAGGCATAAGGAACAATTTCGTAAATATGTTTTAAAAATTGAAGTTGAAATTTCAAAATATATAATGATCAAGAAAAAAGAAGCTATTTACTAAAAAAATGATTTATCTAAATTTGAAAATTGCGTAAAATTTGGTGAAATAGGATTAAGCTTCTAAGTAGAAACTGTAAGCTATATAAATTTTAACATTCTTAACTGGTGGCAGGGCATCTTCTAGACATACGGGTAAGCACAGACAGTCGTTACCATTGCTCATTTATGCCGCAAATCAATCATACATCCCGTTTTGAAAAAAGATTATGCCTACTATACTGTTGAGTTCTATATATTATATTTCAATTAGGGTGGCTGTATTCACTTTTTGATGTCTATAAACTCTAGTAACCACTTAACACTGAGTAGCAGTATATACAATAAAAAAGGACTAATCCATGTCTTTCGAGTAAGTAACTTTTTTAACACAATATGACCAAAGGTAGTTGACAAACACTACTTTTTGTTAATTTAGTGGTTCTTCAAAATTCTGAAAATTGATCAAACGAAATTGCTTTACGTGGTTTCTCGGTTTCCTGGAAAGGTCTTTAGAACAGTCATTAAATACCCACCACAAAAAAGAAATGTTATTTCTTTTCATTTCATCTAACATCCATGCTGTTGTCTTGTCTCACTCACTTCATTTAAATCTATTTAAAAAATTCATTTCCATATTGATTTTCATTCCCTTTTTCATACACATGACATTGCTTCAGATTTTTTAATAAAATAAAATTTGTAAATTTGCCTTGTCCAAACGAACAAATAATCAAACAAAAAAGTCTAATGCAACTAATTATTTTATCTGTGAAACTATGAACAAAACATAGATTATACAATTAAACGAGAAGGAAACAAAAATAAAACAGCTGTTTTTATTTTAATGTACGATACGTTTTAACACCAAATCATAATAAAATGATAAAAATGAATACTTAGTATTCTCAAAATGTAACACAAATATCCTTATAAAATTTAAAACAAATAGTTTAATTACTAACCAAGGTGGAAAATGAAAGAACACTATGAGGAAATTCGCAATGAAATATTAAATTGACTATACAATCACAAAAATGATGTCTCAGTGCTTTTTAAGGAGCATGAAGTGTGATGGCAACGATTCGAAGCCGCCTGCGGTTAAAGAAAAAGTTATGGCTTACGAGGAGAAAACCGTAGGTAGCACTCCCTTTTTCAAATGCGAAGCGTGTCCTTACATGGCTCTAGCCGAAGACGACATTAAATTTCATCTGTTCACTGTGCACCCGGAGCTCGCGAAAACTAACGGTCTTGCGGATAACATACATATCCAATGCCCAGGCTGCACTGACGTCTTCGAAACCGAAGAAACATTGCGGACGCATCTACGTAACCATCACAAAATGGGAATCAAAGACGTAAAAAAAATGATAAAAAGCCTCGTACAGATTGCCTTAAAAAATGCGAAATTAAAAAAGGAAAATAACGATCCATCACAGTCCACAAACGCCCAGAGTGTTGACATTAAAATACCACAAGTATTCGAAATAGTCTCTGATGCCAACTCCGCAAACGCCCTACCCAAAGCTGTAGCTTTCATATCAGTCGATGAGTTACAGAAAATGAGCACACCAAATTTCGAGAATGTAGATCCTAAAGAAATAATTCAAGAGGCAAGCATTAACATTGTATATACTAATGAAGTATCCACGCAGTATGTAAACGTAGCTGAAGATGGCACATCAAACTCTCCTTGTAACGTCATTCAAGTATCAAATGTACCCCCAGATTTGATATCGTCAATACAACCTAGAATACAAACTACAGATAGTGCAAAAATACCCCAACCTCAACGAGAAGCAGAAACAATTACACCACCACATATCAGACAAGAAGAGCTAAGAGAACAGTCGGACTCACAACAAAAACCAGTGAAGGAACTAGGCACAATGTGCTCAATCGCAGGATGTCAAATACGTTTAAGAGATGAAAATAACCTATCATACCACAGGAAAAGTCATCAGAGCGGGAAATTAATATGTCAAGAATGTATGAAAACATTTCTCAATGTAGACTCCCTTCACAGTCACTTGTGGAAAGTACACACAATAGACTTGGAGCTGCCGACGTGTGAAATATGCGGCTTTAAAACATACAAAAAACATAGATTGCATAATATACATATGAAAATCCATGGGAAATTAAAATTGTGTCTTTGTGAGTTTCTTTTATCTTTTGAGGATTTTCTTTCTCTATAATTAGACTAACTGAGGACTGTAAGCATCCTTAATCTTCAACAATCCTTACAGATCAGCATTAGTTCCTTGGTTTATTTTGTAAGAGATAGTCATCTAACCATCAGGATATTTAGTTACTGTAGCACATAGACATCATAATATAAATATATACCTTGAAACACCAAAGTTTAAGTCTTAGTTATATTATATAAGCTTAATTCCTTCCTGTAACTGCAATTTTATAAGGTTTTATGTAACTTTTTATTTATTTTTTATTGTTTAGATGTGTGGATGAGCTCACAGCCCACTTGGTGTTAAGTGGTTACTGGAGCCCGTAGACATCCACGACGTAAATACGCCACCCACCTTGAAATATCAGTTCTAAGGTCTCAGTATAGTTACAACAGCTGCCCCACCCTTCAAACCGAAACGCATTACTCAGAAATAGGCAGGGTGGTGGTACCTATCCACGCGGACTCACAAGAGGTCCTACCACCAGTAAAAACTGAATTACAAGTGTAAAAACATAGGTTGGGTAGCATGTTAGTTTAGTGAAGTGAGTTTGTTTTTATATGCCTTGCATTCTCTATTCTGTTTTATAATAATAAATAAATAATAATAAATATTTACTAACAATCACGCCACGTTAACTGGTCCCGTTATAAGTTCGTAAAGAACTTATGTTACAGGTACCAGATAACGGAAATAAATATAAGATTTTTATTTTACACATACATATATTTAATATACATCCATAACCCTGGAAAAGACATTTATATTTATCATACAAATATCTTCCCTTGGCGGGATTCGAACCCGCGACCCCCTTGTGTAGAGACCATGTCACTTACCACTACACCAGACGGCTGTTATAATAGTTTGTAGTTTAAAACTATGTATGTATATGTACTTTAAAATCAAAGCTAAATGTGAAATAGCAATTACTAATTTTATTTCTTTTATTCACCCTGTTGATACTGATCAGGACATTAGATCAAAGTTATAAAATTATTGTATTGTCATCAGTGCTTCATGCAAATTTTCAAGTTCAAACTTGTTGAAATGCCTAAAATGATGATCAAAATATTCATTACATTCAAAATATATACACACACATCCCTCCGCCAGTGGTGGTCCTCATGTCTGAGAATCATGGCCACCTCCATCCATCAGTTTCGTCTTCACAATGTTATGCCATCCTATCATGTCTACGGCTACTCTAAGAGCATCATAGGCGGTGGAATTGAGGGTGTGTGAATACAATATAAATACATACAAATTATATAAAATCGTATGAAAAATGAGAATAATTAACCTCACTACAGAATACATGATTATTCCTACATCATGAAAGTCATTTATTTGAAGAATTTATTTACTTATTAAGATTTGGATGCCGTATAGAAATGAATAACATGAATTCTATGATATCTTAACCATCAGAGTTTAAGTTCAAATTCACTGGTATGTATATACTTTTTCTCAGGTCCAATATGTTCGAAATCATTCAAGAATGCAAATCAATTGTCAAAACATAAATTAACACACAAAAAAGACACATCGCCCCTGAAGTGTCCGATATGCCCTCGGGAGTTCAGCAACGGCAGGCAACTAAGAGAGCACGTCACAGCGGTTCATGAAAAACTGAAGCCATACAAATGCCAACATTGTGACTATACTGCAGCTCGTAAAGGAGAGATGAAGTTACATATGAGATCTCATACAGGTAAATAATCATTAAATCTTTTTATTTTGGCCATTTTCCCTCATTGCCTTACATTGTTAGATACACCTTGAGTATTTGCAGTAATTCTTAAAAATTTTATTTTTATTGTTTAGGTTGGTCGAACTCAAGGCTCTTCTGGTCCATGGTTACTGGAGCCTGTAGACATTATATTTTTAATGTCATCATCCAATTTTAGAGACAAGGTCGAAGTTTCATGGCTACAACAGCTGATAGGCAGTGGCTTGGCTCTGCCCATGGAATCGCTGATGTCCATGAACGACGATAACCATTCACCATCAGAAAATTCTCGTCGAATCCGTCACTTGCGACAAAGGGTTCGGCGAGTAAACTAACCCATAGACACAGCCCACTGAGTTTCTCGCCGGATCTCTCAGTGGGTCGCGTTTCCGATCCGGTGGTAGATTCTGCGAAGCACTGCTCTTGCTAGGGCCCGTGTTAGCAACGTTCTCTGTTTAGAACCCCGTGAACACACCTACGCGTTCGGTTACGCTGGCATAGTCTCTCAAGACCAGTTTAGGCATAAAAGAAAAACAAAAACAAAACACTTTAGGAAGGCCGTATACTCGTCTGCAAACAATGTCATACGAAAAAGGATGATTATACCTACCTGTGCAGACTTATAATACGCCCTACCTACTACCTACCTATAACTGTAATTTGGGAAACTGTAAAGTAGGATAACTTTTGTAAGCACACTAAAAACGTCCTAAAATATAAAGTCCGTTTTATCTTCAAATTACAACTCTTCTTAATATTGTACTCTAAAACAATAAAAAAAAGAACATACTCATACTGCACTAACGCTTAATTTTAAGAAATTTTGTCAACAGGCGACAAACCGTACTCCTGCAACATTTGCAGCTACAGGTCCGCGGACCACAACGCAATGCGCAGACACAAGAAAATGCATTCTAAAGAAGGCGTCTACAAATGCAAGCACTGCCCTTATACATCGATTCAATCTACATCTTTTGCCTACCACATGATGTCCAGACACCCCAAATTAAGTTCGATAGAATTACATAGGTGTCCCTACTGCTCTTTCAAATCAATAAACAAGGATAAGTATGTCACGCATTTGACCAACCACGCCGACAAAGAGGGAGTCCAATTATTATTAGAAATGGCGAAAGGGATGAAATCGAACAAACTCAGCTGGACCATACCAAGTGAAACGGAAAAAAACGTCCAAGAGAACGATGAAGGTTTGAACGATGCTTCGAAAACGGTTAACGAAATTCCTATAGAAGTTTATGATTGTGACAGTCTATCCGAAGGTATACCGCAAGATTATTCGAAGAATTACTGCGCAACGGCTACAAATGAAGTGGAACCATCGAGCTACGACACTCAGACTTTGGGATCGCACGTAAACAAAGAAGACAATAACTCTGATTGCATTATATCCGAAAGCTCAAACGATACTGTGGTCAATAGACATCAATACGTGCCGCAGCATTTGCAGATATCGTTCGAGAACAATGACTCGAATCTGCACTTCCTCAATCCGTCCGTTTCGTTGGAACAAAGCATTCTACAGGACAACAACGTGAATTCGCTCGCGCCAATCACATTAGCCAATGACTTGAGCAATAACATTATGAGTAATTTTCCTATACGGCTACCAATTATTCCTCAAAGCTCTCAAACCAATAATATAATGCTGAAACCGGTCAACAAAATATCTCTTCCGCCTACTAAAGTAACCGGGCCAATAATAAAACCAACGCAAATTCTTCCGGTGCCTGTCTTAAGCAACTCTCCTGTGAACATGTCCATTGACGAGGGAGCACCACGGAAAAAGCCCAAAATATCAGTAAAAAGCAATTTAATATTGAAAGGTCCGGACCAAGTGAACATGTTTCATTCACAGCAGAAGATGGCCTTTAGAAGGCTAGAAGATAATGAGAGATACGGCCTTGGAGGGCCAGTTACTTTTAATAACTTGATTACTACACAGTTTATGTTACCACCGCAGTCCAATTTAGGCGAGCCAGCGACGGATATGATGTCGTATCCTCAAGAAGGTTTAATGTCAGATTCGACACCCACGCCAAGCGATTCTGGTATAGCTGAAGACTCGCAAATGTTCTCATTTAATTCGCCAATTAACGTTAATTCCATCAACATGCTTCAGACCTCTGAAAAGATTCAAAACAGCGATCCGAGCTACATTAAACTGGAGGCAACTATTAAGCAGAACACGCAATCTCCGAGCTTAGAGCGCATGTGCAACGCTAATATACTTAATAACCCGGCTATGACTAGAGAGTACAAAGCCTCTCCGCCTTTAGAAGATATACACAAGAACATGAATGAGATAAAAAACGAAGTGAAATCGGATTCATTTTACAACATAGCTCTAAATACCACGGCAGTAAATCCTCCGATAATAGAACAGTTTCTTATAGACAATATAATGGGAGAACAGTACTCTGGACATATGGACTTACCAAACACCTTGATACAGGATTTGCCTGAATTGGAAGATGATGTCATCGAGATAGACGACAATTCTGACGACAACAAATTGCTCCCGCGTTTCGACATGAACAATTTCCATTTGGAATCTTTGTGTTCTATGCACAACGATTATCATTTCTTGGAAAGCGAGTCCGGTCCGAACAAGGTTCCCGCTGATCTGACGGTGGCCGACATGAATAGAATGGTACAGGAGGTGCCGATAATAAATCAAAAAGACAATTCAAAAATTCCGAATGACGTTGCGAATGGTGATTTTGTGTATTTTATTCAAGGGAAAAACGATCCAATGATGAACACGTCAGTGCGACAAACGACTAACAAAATAAACGTAAAGAACATTGAACTTATGAAGAATTAAGTTTTATTTGTAGGAAATGATATTTATGCCTTTAATGTTCCATTTGGTTCTAGATCACACCTTCACTCTAGGGGCATCCATTAATTACGTTAGTTCGAAGTAAGTGCCTATTAAACTGTCATCAAATCTCATTGAAACTGAAAAAGGCATAACTGAAAATCTCATTTTGAAAGAAAAATATCTTACGTAATTAATAGAAGCCCCCATATAAGATATAATTTGTATATAATGTGAATATTTATTGAAAGACTGCCTATTACAATTATATAAAAAATAAATGCGGTTTTATTGCATCGTTTTGCTGATACATTTGGATAACCGCAGTCAAAATGTCAAGAATGTCTCTTGTCTGGTTAGATCATCAGCTGTCCACTTCAACTCTCCTGAAATACACAGATAAAAAATCCTTGCTTTGTCTAACTTCCCGCCATTTGTATAATTCCCATCCGAGGATTTTTTCGAACGGTCCTGGCTCTGTGTACACTCCTTTTCCCTGATCTGGGCCAATAATCACGAGAACGGGACCGCAGAAATGTTTTAGGTAGTTCTCAAAAGCAGATCTGTTGTTGAAATAGCAAAATAGTATGGCATTATCTTTATTGCCCAATTCGAGTAAGACATTTTCGTTCAATTGGGGCGATGTAACAATCAAAGGTATGAAAGTGGGTGGAGCGTATTTACAGTGCCACCATGCTCCGTCGACTTCTATACCTGTTACAGAAATACCTGGAAACAAAGATATCGAAAATTATACTTCGATCGATGCAAAAGATATCTTAGAGTTGTTTTATTTTCACTAAATGTTTGAAAATACGTATTTAGTATGTTCTCGAGTCTAACAGCCTGGCCACGGGACATTCGCCGATGCGAATATTCGCGCGGTGCGAACGGCGAAGCGTCTAGCGACTAAAACAAGCGCATAGAAATGTACCTAACAAGCCACGCGCACCGGCGACCGGCGAAGCGACCGGCGAAATGTACCGAGCGAATCGCGCGATGCGGCGGGCGAGCAAAACAAATGCATGAATACGGACGGCGCGAGCCACGGAGTCGAGCGGTAGTCGCGGCGAATAGTGCAGTGATTAAATGAGTTTAGTTGTTTTCGCCGCGAAAAATTAACGCCGAAATTTTTATATTTTTTATTTATTTTTTATTTTATATTTTTAAAGTCGTCGTGGCCTAACGGACGTCCGGTGCAATCGTGTTGAGCGATGCACCGGTGTTCGAATATCAGGCGGGTACCAATTTTTGTAATGAAATACGTACTCAACAACACTCAACGTTCACGATTGATTTCCACGGTGAAGGAATAACATCGTGTGATAAAAATGAAATCTTCAAAATAATAATTTGCGTAATTACTGGTGGTAGGACCTCTTGTGAGTCTACACGGGTGGGTACTACCACCCTGCCTATTTCTGCCGTGAAGTAGTAATGCGTTTCGGTTTGAAGGGTGAGGCAGCCATTATAACTATACTTGAGACCTTAGAACTTATATCTCAAGGTGGGTGGCGCATTTACGTTGTGGATGTCTATGGGCTCCAGTAACCACTTAACACAAGGTGGGCTGTGAGCTCGTCCACCCATCTAAGCAATAAAAAAATAAAATAGCTGAAATACTAGCTAGACCAGCTATTTGGAAGTCTAGCCACCCAAAGTATTTCTCGTACTTCTTGTGGAATTCTCCATCTATAGGTATACTCCGATTCTTATTCAAATCATGTACTTCACAATCTTTTCCAAATAATAGGTCCTGAACCAAAAAACTATTAATTTGTAAGCAATATCGAGATAATTTCGATATAGACATTTCGCTGTCGGACTTCCTTACTAGTCGCGGCGGCGAACGTGAGTACCCGTGGCCTGCAAACGGTGCTGCGCGAATGGTCGCCTCGCCCACCGCTTCGCTGTTCGCACCGCCGATCCCCGTGGCCAGGCCGTTAGACAGAATTAAAACTATTTTTACGCTATAATTGTACGATATTATTTTAAAATAAAATTAAATTTAGACAATATTGAAATGTCGTCCAATACCGTAAGACACCCGTGACCACGAAAACTTTAAAGTATTCCAAACTTTGGCAATAATGACAATAAAAGACGCGAGATTATAACGTAAAAAAGTGGATTTAATTAATGTGTATTTAATTTGAAATCCAAAATAAACTCACTATGGTGAAGTATGTTTCGAAATAAAGTATGATTTTCTCTCGAACAGAAAGACCTAATTCGTAACTATAAGGTGAACACAAATAAAGTAAAAAAAATCGTACCTGTAGCTTTCTGGAGCATCCATTCGAGCAGGCCACTCCCGCAGCCGACACTGGCAACTCCTTTACATTTAAATTCTTTCAGACATTCCTTCAGGAACTCGAAATTGTCCTCACTGGGAAATACCCACAGTAGTTTATTTCTGTCCTTGTGATCATGATATTTCTCCACTATTTCTTTCCATTTCCCCAGTCTGTATAACTTTAGGACCACCTCCGTCATAGATTCTTCCATTTGGAAAAAAACTCTTTTGTTTTTTTAAATTTGAGCCGCTTATATAATGACTGTATGGCTGTATTCTATCGTATTGGTGTTTCAATGAATTCAAACGTTTTCTCACAGATTGAGCGAACTCTGGTAGGTCAGGTGAAGCCGAATTCCATATCGGGTCGACAATTAGTATTTTTAACTTGATTTTAATTAGATCTAGTTAACCAGATATAAACTTCTAAATGTGGAAAATCTGGTAAAACATCGTCAAAATAATTTGTTCGGGAAAGCCAGATTGCCAGTTGTCGAATGACCACGCAAACGTATGTCCATTACATTGGCTTTGACCGAGTGTTCCGGGCCAAATACCTACGCAAGCCCAAGCAAAGTGATTGATCTATGTATTTGTTGACGACAAGAACGTACTTAGTGTTTAAATTTATTAATTTATATATTTTAAAATGGTATGCTGAAGACCGTTGTTAGGTCATATTGGCAGAAAGCGTAACATATTCTTAGAACCGCATCTAGTCTGGAACAGTCGAATAACTACCAAAGAATGGTCTAGGTATGGCGCTATCAAACGGGACTCCTAAGATAGTATAAAAAAACATGTGCGTCTCAGGACGCCCGGCAGAACTGATAACTTAAACTAATCTAAATTGAACTATTAAATATTGAAATTGTTTAATTTAAGAAAAGCCTAAGTTATTACATAACTTTTATGTATATTAAAATGATAATGTAAGGAAAATTTCAACATAAATTGAAAAATATAAATAAATAGTTAGGAGCTATATACCGCTCAATACCGCTGCTGTATGCGTGAGCGAAAGGGAAGCCAAACAGACTGGCACCGTAACGCGTTACGTAACGAAGCGGTTTACTCTCCCATAAGAAATTCTAAGTTTAAAAAAAGACTGTATTCTATTTCATTATGAATTATTCAGGTAACATGAATAGAATAAAACTGATGAGTTCACAAGATGGCGGTCGATGATAGACTGACTGACCAAGGATGATTTCAGTTGGCTCGTGGGCAGAAAGTGCTGATGTTGTCTGTCTGCATTATCACGTTCAGAAAGGTTCGACTGCGTGCTATAACCGTGACGTGTGGTATTTAAGCGCAAACGGTTGCGGTAGTGAGTGCACCGCGGTACGTAAGGAATATGACGGTCTAGATTACGAAACCATCCGTGATGTAAAAACACGTCAAAACAGTTCTTGGTGGCATCGATGTGACGCTTTAACTCTCTTATCGGATCCGCCGCTGACCTCAACCCAGATTCGGCTCAAACTGTACCCAAATAGCAATAAATGAGGATATGTTCAGTTGTGAACGCCATGTTGTTGATAATATTATCTCTTGATTCGTAAATTGTTATATTAAGAGCAAAAACTAATGGCACCCATGATTTTTTTTACGAACAACACAAACTGAGACAGCATATTGACTGAATCCACATCTGTATTTTTTTGAACAGATATTCAAAATAACTTTGGCTGATACCCAAATACGTCAGGTTTCAATTGGAAATTGCAACAAAACTTCCGTGAACGTTTACAAACTATTTATTACACACGAGCTAAGCGACACAACTACCTTAAATCACAAAAATGGAAGTTGCTTAGTTTTCAATTCCAGTTTGAATTTTTTCAAATTCATTAAAGATTTCTGTATTAATATAGGTGTTACGGACCGCGGTTTTGATGAGTCCCTAACACCGCCGATGTCTTCGCAAGAAAACTCGTCTTTGACAACAATAAAATAGGTAAAACCAAAAAGTAGTTCGAACCGGATGTATTGCACGGCAAACCCTTCGCCGCGTTACTTAAAGGTATAAACATGGGATAAGTCACCCACGATCCTCTGGACCAAGACTAGGCCTTCCTATACTATGTGAGCGAGCGACTAACATAAATACTTACGTTCAAATATAAACATAAATAGATATTAAACACTCAGTCAAAGAGCAAATAAACCGGTTCGTCACACGTACCTATACCCGATTTGGGACCCACGATCCTTATCACAGCAGTCAGAGATGTCAACTACTGCGCTACTGAATAAGGCGCGGAATGGGGAGTTCCAGGTCCACGTTTAACTAAGCTCTCCGATTTTTTACTTTTTTGTTCCTGCATATGTAATCAAAGTGCTTAGTGCGAGTTTCTTAACGTTCTCTATAGCGTAAAAGTTAACTCAATTTTGTATGCAGTTGGAACAGCGCCCCTAGCGGCAAACGTACGCAAACGATTCCATTCCATACAAATATGAGCTAATTTTTACGATAGCGAGAACGTTAAAAAACTCGCACTAAGCACACTGTTCACTGATAGATTAATTAATTTATTTATTATAAAAAAAAAAGAACACAATATTCCTAACATAAAAGTACATGTTATTATCCGCAGATAATAAACTGATAGATTGCTTAAAATGCTTAAATCATATGCAATAAATAACTTCCTAATTTTTTTTGTTAAGAAATTAATTTAAAGTTATATATTACCTAACATTGTGAAAGATTATTCAAAAGAAAACAATTTTTTTCGTTAATTAAGCGATCTTAACTGTATACATAGATGCAGTAAGTACATCTGTTACATACGTTACTGAAATCCCATTAACATGTCAGTGTTTTTAATCGGTAGTTAAAAGTAGGTAGAAAAAGCTATGTGAGCACTTTTTCTAAAACATTATAACATAGAGAGACATAAAAATAAAACGAACAACATTCCAAAATTCATTATATTGGTATCAAAGTTTTCACGTTACAAACAATACATAAAATATTTTTAAATTTATTTAGTATTAGTAAATTCCACAAACCGTTTAACAACAAAAAAAAAGTATTTTATACCATTAAAACAAAGTTTCATCGTCGATTATAAATAGCTGAAATTGTGATTAATTCCATGGTCATTTGTTTAAATTGATAAAACAATCCAGGCTGTTGAAATTATATTTGGCTGATTTTCTGTGATGTCAATCCCTATTTGTTTACCGTATTATTATTAAAATCATAGCCTGGTTTAAAAAAAAACAACCTTAAATTTGACAGTTGCTTTTAACGAACGATACGTCATATTTATTTATTCACTTACAAACAATTGTCTTTTGTTTATTTAAAAATAGAAATTACATTTTTGCATTTCCCTCAGTTAATAGAAAAAGTAATAGCCTATCAAAACACAATGACATATCAAACTTTTTTCTTATTAATAACAACGAGAATGAACGCAGAATTCTATGATGCATCTTTATAATGTTGCATACAATGTGTATTTTTAAAAACTTTCAAGTATCTACAGTAACATAGATCACGGTAGTAGGCAAATTGCGCCAATATCTCGCTATTATTTTACTCAGATTTTGCGTTCTTTTTTTTAAATCATTGTAATCAAAATTACAATTTTTATTGAAATAAAATATGACGTATATCGATAGATTATATTATATTAAAAACGCAACTGTTCACTAAGAGCGTATAACGTCTTCCTTACATTAAGTTGAGATCAACATGTGTTAGAGATCATGTTCTTCAGTCAATATTTATTATTGAATTAAAAAATTATGGCTTTGAATTTCGTAACCGTTATTAAGAAAAAATAAAAGCACCATAGACAATTCCTGTTCGGATGGAAAAGGAGTTCGTGTCAATTTGACGTTTGTGGGCGATTCAAAGACCCGCAAGTAATAAACATTTAATAATATTACGGTTTTACATAACAATAAAACCGATATTATGTGCCGAGAAGGAAAACATACAGCATTGTATTATGAAGAAGCAGTGTGTACTTAGCTTAGATTCCTTGTCTATGTCCAACCATAGACAGTCAATTTAGTTCCATCTTTAGCCGCTAGGTGCTGCCAGCAAGTATAAAGGGAGCGCAGCCATCTTTGATCTTCNACTTGCGACTTCACAGTACGAAAGTACACAACGCTATGAAGATCAAAGATGGCTGCGCTCCCTTTATACTTGCTGGCAGCACCTAGCGGCTAAAGATGGAACTAAATTGACTGTCTATGGTTGGACATAGACAAGGAATCTAAGCTAAGTACACACTGCTTCTTCATAATACAATGCTGTATGTTTTCCAGAGGCACATCAATTGATAAATTAACATGTTTGTTTGATAATCTGGAACTCGATTAAAATTTTTCACGACTACAGATTTTAATTATTTACTGATATTAATAGAAGAGTATGATACTAATATGCACATACTCAACAAGCTGGATGCGATAGCTGTGGCTAGTACTACAATAATCACACATGACTTTGATAGCGTAGACACGTAGGCTTAGAACCCAAATTTGCCGTGGCCCTTAAGCAGCGAATACTACTGATCAGCTGTTTACAAAAAATATCGGTTCCTGATTTGCGTTCATTAGCATTCCAGAACACGGTTACATCCATGACGATCATTTTTGGAACCAGCAATAAATTATAAGCTTTAAAAAAAAAATTAAGGCCTTAAAACCGATTTTAAGAAGAATATCAAATCGCTGCTTTCCATTATGAATACAATGTAATAATTATTTCCGCACATTCTGCAACACTTTTTTTTTAAATCATTAATTTGTTAAAATTAATTAATGATAAGTGTTAACTTATTAAGATTAACGACTTATAATAAATGTCTATGGTGACTATTTATCTCGGTACAATGGTTATATTGTTATCTTTAGAACGTACACTCAGGTACATTTAGATGTCATTTGCCACAGCAACATGGGTCATGACCCTGACGGATCGTGGCTACTGGAAGTTTCGGAGACACAGCCTGCTTAGGATAGACAGATCCTAGCACCATCACCGTGGATGGAATAAAATTCATTCGCGATTATAATCAATTAAGTACATCCTCCAAAATTATCTGTTAACTCGAGGTACGAGAGATCAAACTTGATAAATTCATTTTTTTTTAAATCTATTCTACAATGGCACTCGGGAGACCGCTCAGTTCTTTACAATCAAACTTTTGGCAAACTTCAAAACGCGTCGGCATTGTGCAAGGGAAACGATATACAAAAAACGAAGACTACAAGTTCGGGAAAACATTTAAAAAAAAATACAATGTTTATTTATTATCTGAATGTTTTTGATTTACACGCGCTACACAATTCTTAATCGCCTAATCCAGTGATTCTCAACCACTGTTCCGCGGCACTTTTGTGTGCCGCCAAATTTTGCGAATATATAATAATGTTAATATTATTAAATTATATCATTTTAAAAAAAAAATATTTTAAACATGAATATATATTTAAATCCACAAAAAAAAATTTATAGTATATTTTGTTTATTTCGTATATTAAATTTTTTTGAAAAACCATTTATGCAGTGTGTTGTAGTAAGTAAATAATTTTTATCTTTTTTTTTTGTGTGCCGCCAAATTTAGAAATCGTTAAATATGTGACGCAACAAAACAAAAGGTTGAGAATCACTGGCCTAATCATTTTACGTAGAGCTGTCTGAAGCGCTACTGGTGGTAGAACGTCCTATGAGTCCGCGCGGGTAGGTACCGCCACCCTGCCTATTTTTGCCGTGAAACAGCAATGCGTTTCAGTGAGAAGGGTGGGGCAGCCGTTGTACTGTTAAAACTGAGACCTTAGACTCATGTCTCGAGATGGGTGGCGGCATTTACGTTGTAGATGTCTATGGGCCCCAGTAACCACTTAACACCAAGTGGGCCGTGAGCTCGTCCACTCATCTAAAGAAAAAAACAAACGTGTGGCACTCGGAAACTGCCGCGGTAAAGCTATTGCATAGCATTTTTTATCAACTTATGCAATTATAATTAGACAATGATAATTTAATATTAAAACAATAATAAAACAAGACCACACTATATTAAACATTAATAAAAGCAAAACCTTAACTGTCCCCTTCACACTCATAAGCTAGACCGCGCGAGAAAGAGATGGGCAGACTTTTCATGATGCGCATGCAGTGTGACGTCACGCCACGCGCTTATTCACAAACACTACACAAGCGCAACGTGTGAATGTGTTGAACCCGAGCTACATGGTAGGCAGAGTTAAGGTTGTTAGGTTTTTTCCGTTACGGAATTTCATGATTCGGTCGCCGCGCTCAAGGCCCGCGATAAAAGCTATGCAATAGCTTAAAACAGTTTGGCTTTCGGTGACGTTTCCCTTGCATCCCGGAATAATTGTGTTACATAAAAAGAACAATGCAATTCGCATTAACATCTATCATGAACGTGAGGAACAATTTTGATTATGAGCAAACTTTCACAAGTAATTAGAGTAGAAAATCTACGTTTCACGACAGTCTTTCCAATTTCCTTCAGTCCAATATTTTAAGTCTTCGATTCGTTTGATTGAGGCAAACACTAAGGAATTATTTAAAAAAAAACATTCACACGATTCTAGTGTTTATATTGTCTCGACTAAGCGCCGAACGTATTTACAAACACTAAAATGGAATAAATATTATTGGTGAAATTTGTAACGTCACTATTATATTCCTCAGATAAGCTCAGTTTACGTCCAATGACCTTTTTGAATCATATGCTAAGGCATATTTTAAAATTGTCATCGTAAATAATGGTGAACATTTTTGTTTGGGCTAACAATGCGGCTTAGACATCTGTGGTATAGCCATAATAGTGTCAATAAAAAAAAAAAAATTAGTTTCGCCTCAATTCGATTCTCAAACTACGCTCTCAAAACCTTCTCTTTCGAAAAAAAGATTCCGTAATTTCATTTAACACTGTCACGCATCATCCGTGGATACACAAATAAATATTTAAAGCCATTAAAATAAAATTGATTTTTGCATAGTAATGTCTGTTTTAAGCGACCTTCTGTCGACTTCACGTTTGGATCGAAAAAAAAAAACAGTATCAACAAGATTTATAGCTATTGTGGTCGTAGTGAACCTGACGAGGAAATCGATGTCCACAAAAAAAAAAATTTCGGGGCCGACCAGGTCCCATCTCATCCCACATTCAAAACACATGAGTCCTCATTTCCAAGTAAAAAAATCGTTAAATATACTGTTAGGTATCCTATTCTGTTCTGTTAAGTTGACAGATCATCGCTTAATACAAAAATAAGTAGGTATAGCTTTCTATATTTCATATCGTATCTACTTGTATGTACATAGATTATGCAAAGCAAATACTTATTATTATGGCTATTTTTTTTCATTAATTTCTTTTTATTTGTGTAACAGGTATTGAGCTTTAGGGTTATCAATTACAAAAAAAGTTTTCTACCACGTAATGCATGCTAGAAAACTTTCGAAAACAACAGAGAAAACGTAATGGATAAAATGAATCTAACCGTTAAAAGGATCAGTGATTAGTTCGATTGTCGACCAAACAAAAAAATTTGCAAAAACAAAATCGCTAATGTCTTTAAAAAAAACTACGTAAACAATTAACTGCCAATGTGAGATAGAAAAACGCGGTCATATTACATTTAAAAAAAAAAACCTGCTCGCGTTGAGATCATAAATCGATTTTGGTCTTTTGAGTCGGTTAACAAAATAATTAAATGTGACTTTTATAAATTTCAAAATAATTATAAAAAAAAAAAAACATGAAACGTAACTCGATAAATGGAAATAAGAATCACTTTCGCTTAATAACTAACCGTCTCGGACGCACTTGTACACTAAATTATTGACTGATCACGATATATTATCATTTCGATATCGATATCGATATTCATAAACGATTATATTAGATTCTTTACAAATTCCCAAAACTCACACTTTCCATAACAAATAATTATAAAAATTGATAAACATGTACTTGATTTTACCGTCGTGCAGACAGTGAAACAGTTAAGGAGTCCACAGACACAATCACAACGCCGCCCATTTTCCCGCGTAAAATCGAAATCTCAAATGCATTTACATATAATAATTTAACAGAAAAAAAATTTTTATTTCATGATTGATTTAAAGAAAAAGAAAACGCAATTTTTTCCTATTTCTTTTTTTTACAATCATATGCTTTCGTATGAAAATAATAATCAGTCGATCTATGCATTTCATACACGTTTTAGTCTACCTAGCCCGTGTTGCATGAAATAAGCAATTTCTACACAGATAAGCAAACGTTCCATACCAATAATACAGGTATCTAAATAGTCTACATTACTCACAGTCACCGTGTCTTTCAGTCAGTCTAATATCTGAAAAAAGATAAAACTTAATTATATATTGTGAAAAGTATCAAGGAACATCAGCGTCGGTGGGTGGTGGAACTCTCTGAGGGGACGTCCATTAATTATGAGAGGCGATTTTTCGAGCATATTTATCTCTAAGGAGATTACTAAGGTAAGTATCGTTGAGATTTGGTTCGAATGGTTTCAATCATAAAAAAACCACTTTGTTCAAAATGCGTAATTTCAATGTAAGTGCGTATTGTTTTACGTAATGTTACTGACTAGGATGTAAGAAAAGCTACCCCTGAAGTACCCCACCACCGTGTGGGATGAGAGGGAGGTAGAGAGAGAGAGGGGGGGGGAGAGAGAGAGAGAGAAGGGGGAGGGAGGGGGAGAGACAGTACTGTATTATTAATTTTAATAAGCTATATCGATAAAGGTGTTTACAATCACTCGTCTGCAATCATATATGTCACCGAAAACACTCGCCTATGACTCTGTACAGATCAGCCAATGCACAGACCAAAATAATGAAATATATCATTTGGGCGCACTACTCAATTACGGTAGGCAGCAGGTTGGTTTTGCTCCTGGCATTGCTGACGTCCATGGGTGACGGTAACCGGTCACCATCAGGTAGGCTGTATGCTAGTGTGCCTCAAAGAAAAAGAAAAAAAAAGAAGGAAAAAATTGTTTATGAATTTCAACTCACCAGTTCAAACCAGTTTCATTTTTCTTCTCTTCCACAAATTGTCCGAGTTACTGTCGGCGCTCGCGTCGTCGGTATCCCGTTTATCTCCGTCGTCATAGAGAATCATCTCGTACAGTTTCTTCTTGTCCTTCGGGGGGGCTCCCACGTCGAAGGTATCGAGACTCTTCTTTTTAAGCTCCACCATCTTCTTCTCGTCGATGGGCGGCAACGATATGTTGTTCTGGCTGGCCATAGAGTTGGCCCTCCTGATCTTGTGCACGTACTCGCAGACCGGCGGGCTCGTGTCACGGTCCACTTTGGCCGTCCACTGGCCGACAATGACGCTTTGCCGGGCGTTGTTCGCGACGAGAATGTACGACTTGTCTACCTCCGTGTCGCCGTGCATGTGCTTCTGGATGACCTCCTCGGGTAGGGGGGGTAAGGGGTTCATGTTCTCCAGTTTCGTTTTCTCGTCGCCGTTGATGGGAGGGGCGGGAGGGGTGGGAGTTATGATCTGCCGCAGGGCTGTCTCGTCGCACTCGACCGCGCTCGACGTGACGTAGTCGGGATGCGTGTTGCGGATGTGGCGCTCCAGATTGTCCTTCCTCCGGAATCGACGGTCGCACACTTTGCACCGGAACGGCTTCGAATCTGCAAACGTGACGTCATACTTCGTGAATGATAAACTCATTATTTTTTTTAAGGCATTTTATGACCTGGTAACTAAGACCTTTAAGTCATGTCTTATTTTAATTTATATTCTTATTTTTTATGAAAAATGATAATAAGGAGATAAATGAATTGAAATGAGATAAGATGATTGGAATGAAATATAATCTCAATAAAATGGTGGTCATTTACTGAGATTTTTTCAGTGGACTTTTTGGAGGATCCCTAGAAGTTACGTCCAGCGGCTTTATTTCATTTTCCCTCATTTGTTCACTTTCACAGATATTAAACAGTTAATAAACCACCGTTATTACACATTTAAACCTGAAGAAACACTAAATAAACAAAATAAAACAAATCACACAAGTTCACTCCTCGCGCTCCCGCCAAAAAGTCAATGATAAATTCAAATAACCGGAGTGTTGACCGATTGATAAAATGTTTCGTTTTTAATTGCATTAGGACGGTAATGTACATGTTTATATTCAACACTGACATTATTTGTTACACAGCTCTGAAATTGTTGTAAAATAATTTTTAAAATACAGACAGTCAGTAGTTGGTTTATAGTTTGTTTAGATTACACAGATCGAGCACACTTACAGAAATATATAGATTAATTATTGTGATAAATGTTCTTGATAAATCTACGTATTATTATAAAAACCCGAAAAAGAACAAAAAAATTCATAGTAGCACCATAGAGCTGTACTCAGGGCATAAATATAAAATATAACATTTAAAGAGACAATAAAGTTTGTATTAAACTTATTTTTAAGTCGCTATAACCTCAATCTTAATCAACAATTTTCATATTTATTCTAATGTTCAATACAAAAACAAAATAGAACATATTTCAATATATTTTTTTATCTCCAAATATAACGAGGATGCACACATTAGAGTTTCGCCACTCGATGTACGACTCTAACTCTACCCTAAAGGTCAACGAAGACAAGTCGCCTGTTCATGTTTAGGTAACTGTACTATGTGCTGAGCGCGAGTTTTTTAACGTTCTCGATAGCGTAAAAGTTAACTCAAATTTGTATGATGTTCGAAAGTTTTCCTACGTTTGCCGCTAGGGGCGTTAAAAAACTCGCACTAAGCACACTGATATGATTAAGTTTGCAGCCACTATTGCACCGCCATAGTGGGGAAGTAATCGTACCCGAGTGCACGGCGACGTGTCTCCTCATGTCCTTCCCCGACTGGAAGGCCTGGGGACAGCGCGGACACTGGTACGGACGACGCTGGGGACCGCACGGACCACTTTGATATTTTTTATCAACTGTAAAAACAAAATTCCTAAGGTTAAACCACATTTATTCAACACATAATAGGACCTTTTTGTTGGTAAGGTTTGTTATGGACCTATTTTAATTTGAAAATCTATTTCTATTTTAGGTGTACCAGTACGTCAAGCACGAAAATCTATCGAATTCGTAATGTAAATGTATCGAGTCGTCGATACGAAAACGGATCATTACATCAGTATTTTTTATTTATTGCCCTTGTAGGCAGACGAGCGCACGGCCCACCTGATGGTGAGTGGTTACCGTCGCCCATGGACTTCAGCAATGCCAAAGGCAGAGCCAAGCCGCTGCCTACCGCTTAATACTCCCCACAAGCCTCGTTTGAAGAAGGACATGTCATAGCGCTCGGGAAACAACGTGGAGGGGAGCTCATTCCTTAGCCGGATGGTACGTGGCAAAAAAGACCTCTGGAAACGCACTGTGGATGAACGCAGTGGCTCCAGGTAGTTTGGATGAACTCTACTCCGGCGGGCGGTGCGATGGTAAAAACGAGATGACGGTATCATCTCGAACAATCCTCAGAGCACTGGTAGCACTCGATAGCCAGCCTTCGAGATTTACGTTACCGTATGTCAAAACAATTTTCGTGCTCTCGTATATATATACGCTATAAGATTCGAGTTTCTAGAACTGGGACGATTCGATTGCGAAACGAAAGTAAGTACATTCATTGGTGCTGCTGAAATTAGTTCTTTTTACGGACGGTAGGGGCGCTATTGAAATCCTCCAATAAAACATTTTCTCGGTAGCCATACAAATTCTTTTTCCATAGTCATTCGCCTTTCTGGTTTTTTTTTTTCTACCTAATCTGAGAGCCTTGAGAAGCTATTTCAGTGTAACCTTAACTAGCAAGAGCCGTGCTTCGCAGAATCTACCACCGGATCGGAAACGCGACCCACTGAGAAGATCCGGCGAGAAACTCAGTGGGCTGTGCCTGAGGGTTAATTTACTCGTCGAGCCCTTCGTCGCAAGCGACGGGTTCGACGAGAACGATGACCGATGCTTGAGGTACCTAGAAGCACCGTTAGTGGGTCGGGAGGATCCGAAATGACGTGTTTGGGGCGACGTCGACTGCTTTCCATTCTGTCCGCAGGATCCGGAATGTAGTTACCGGCGGCCACGATGAGAGGGTTCTCATGTCGTGCCGCTTTATCGAAGTGGCGCCTTTCTGGACGCATCTTCGTTTACGTTACCATTATGTTTGTCGACATGTTTTCTGTAGTTGGAGCCGTCACGAAATCTCCTCCCGCACGTGCTGCACTCATAGGGCCTCTCCTCGGTGTGTGTGAGGCCGTGCTTCCGGAGCGATGTTAAGTTATTGAACGCTTTGTTGCATTGATTGCACACATGTTTCTTCTCTTCTAGAAATTGAAAAGAAAATCACAAATTATTTTTATTAAACAACAACTACTAACTAAACTATTAAGACTCACTGAAATAGCGCTACTTTGGTAAATGGAAATGATAATATGATTATAGCATTTTTAAACGGAGCAGTTTTAAAAATGTGCAGTATTGAAAAACTCAATTATTTATTTCAATTACCATTTACGTAAGAAGTGTTTCTTTCCTTCTTAATTTAGTATTCTGCTCTAACAGCTTATGGAACTGTTTTTAATATCTTTCCACTTGCCACTACGGTGCGACCATAATTATTTCCCTTTCAGCTGACACTTTTTAATACACTAAGCTGATCCTCCTTACTTTTTTCCTCCATAGTTATGACTTGATCTCATGTTGCCAGGCCATGACATTCACCTTATAAACTCTATGGATACGGGAACCTCTTTTCACACGAGAGCAATAAAGATGATGCGGTATATACTAAGAAGAAAACGCTACCAACTCAGAAACTCACTAGTGTGTTTTAGTTTGTGTCTTTGCAGTTTCGACATCTGAAAGAAGCTGTCGCCGCAGACTTCACACGCGTACGTCCGCTCGTTACGATGTACCCTCATGTGATACTTGAAATGGGAGTGTGTCGCAAAACTCTGAAATATACATTATTAAATTGAAATTAAACTTTACATTTTCTTTTCTGTTGCATCACTGATATTTATTTTGAATGTAAGATCAGATTACCTAAAGTATTGAAAAGTATTATAATTATTCCCTTTAAATATATAAATAATAGAAAAATGATATTTCAATTTAATTGTAATCTACAATCTACTCCACTAGTGGCTAGTCCTCTAGAATGCAAGTTTTCATATTTATCAGGGTAACCTTATCCATAACAACAAGACACCTTTGTATCCCAAAGAAGTTCTGCAACAGAGTCATAGAGACTAATTGGTCTAGCTCAGTTTCCGCAATATCCTTTTATTTTATTCTTTTCATTGTTTTTATAAAATGAAATTATGTAAAACTTCAATTGATTTTGTTTTCTCATTCCCATGTTTATTATGATAATTAACGAAAATTTAATATTTGGTTTTTTTCTATTGTTTATTAGCAATGAGTACAAGTAGTTCTATTCCAATGAGGGAGTTTTGTAAGACAGTTGCATTATCATTCTATTTTTAATCATAGATAAGGTAAGCACAATACATGAGGTCTTTAGTATAAAATAGTCTCAATACCTCATTTTACACAAACAATTTAATTTTACTAAGCAGTTTAAAAAAAAATCCAATCAAATTTTCAATTTGGAGAAATTGTGTGATGTAATGAAATTATGTAAACATATATTTTTATTTCTCAGTGTACCTTCTTGCATTCATCACAGTGAAATGGTTTCTTTTGTCCGTTGCAATATGCATGGTATGCCACTTGACTACGTGCATGAAACTTTTTATCACACAAAGTGCATATGTAGCATCTGACCCCTTTAGCATCTGAAACATAAAATTTATAAAAAAATATTCACTTTACTTTAAATTAAAACTCCTTTAAAATTAATCATGTATTTAATTTCGTTATCTGAATATTTAAAAATGGAAACACTCAAAGAACTGCCATTCGAACATCACAAAACAAGAGGAATTAAAAGTGAAATTTAAAAAAATCTTGTTTATATAACGAATATTCATTTCATCTAAATTAATATCTAGATAATAGCTTTGTACAAATCCTCCTGATAGTGTTGAAAAAATAATTACTCCGTAGAATTGTTGTAATGATATACTCTTTATTTTACATTTAAGTTAATAGTTGAGCATTAAAAGTGAAAGTAATAGTTTTGTGTTTTATTGCTTAGATGGGTGGACGAGCTCACAGCCCACCTGGCGTTAAGTGGTTACTGGAGCCCACAGACATCCACAACATAAATACACCATCCACCTAGAAATATAAGTTCTAAGGTCTCAGTATGGTTCGGCTGCCCCACCTTGCAAACCGAAACGCATTACTGCTTCATCGCAGAAATAGGTAGTGGTAGCTGTACCTACCCGTGCAGACTCATGGAAGTCAATCGTGAACATTTGTTAAGTATGTATTTCATCAGAAAGACTATTCAATAATGTAATAGCATGATGATAATTCTCTAAATACCACTTATAATCCACGAATTTATAATATTTTACCTATCTCTACTTTAATATGTGATGTCTCGGGTTTCCTTTTCTTGCTTAAATCTTCACAAACTAATTCATCTCTGTTAACGTCGTCGTCTTCAATATTCAGTAGGTTCGTTTGGGCTTCGTTCCCGTCAGTTTCGTTGTTTTGTGCAATCTGTTCAAGTTCAGGGTTGCCTATTGATAAACAGGCTACACAACCTGATGTCTCGTGTAACAGACAGTCCATACACTTAACGTGACCGCAGCTCTCGGTAACCAGACGGTTTGTAGTAAGATTTACGGGTTTTTCATTTCTACAGTTTACACAAACATTTGCACTCATACTGACAAAACAAAGTTTGAGGTTATGTTATTACAAAAACATTACAAAAAAACGCTTAAACTTCTTTAGCTGATGGACCATGAAATGGTTTTTATTTTCACGAATTTAAAATCATTTTATAATATAATATGTATTTTGATAAGAAAAATTAAATGTTTTTCGCAAAGCATCTCTGCAAAAAAGCGTTTTATGTAAATTAGATGAAAGTGACATAAATGTAAATGTCAGAAGTCAAAATAGTTAAACTTTACTATTTGGCTTTGGCCAAGCAAGCGCATTTTAAAAACCAAAATTCAATTTAAGTGACAATGACGTAAAACGTAATGAAGTGAAAAGTCTTAGTGGTATGTCCTATGATGAGTATTTTTTATTTTAATTCAGTTAAATTCAAAATACGCCATAATTCAACTTTCCAATACAAAATAAGATGCAATGCATGACTGCTTCGCAGTATCTGCCACTACTTATGGTTAGGTTGCCGTAAGCTCTTACTTACTCTCACTATTCACTTCACAAAAATTACAATTATAAGAGACTGGGTTGTATGGTTTCACATTTTTGGCTTTCCAGTTGGAAGAATAGACTTACTACTAGTCTATTAATTAAGTTATTGTCTATGGTATTGTCGTTGACTGAAATGGAAGTCTGAAGTTGTAGTTTTCGATAATTTCATTTCGTACGCCTTGTAGCATTTTCTTTTATACATAAAGGATATTGTCCTTAACAAAATAACATAATGGTAAGTCTAACTATTTTCCATAGAATATCTCATTCAAAATAGAAAACAATCAACTAATATGTAACCCGCAAAAATAGTCTTTATTTGATAAATGTAACCTCAAATGTCGATTTTGTTTTTAGGATGTCTTTTTAATGATAAGGCGAAAAAAGCTTACTGTCTTCACTGATGCGAAGGAAACCACTACAGTATTAGAGTTGAAGAAAATGATTGAAGGTGAGTTCGTTGTCCGTGATACGAGAGGTGTCTATTTATAGGCAAGATACAATGTCGGGCAGTGTACGATTTTGTTGTTATGAGTATGTAAAGTGAGCTTTGTTTAATTTGCGCTAAACCTATAATGTCGCATGCTTTGTCTATGATCAGTAATCTGTTCTACTATCGAATTTAAACTTGGTAGGTCGATTCTGTGTGAGTCATCACTTTTAAAAGAAATACATTAAAACTAACAAACAGCTTTGTTAGCAACTTCATTAATTACTAACTATATACATTGCTAAGTATGTTTCGTATCCAAAAAAACATAACTTTATGTAGACAAAAGAAAAACTCTTTATTTATTAATAACTAGCCTTCACACAACATTTCAAAATTGCACTAAAATGCTATGTTTAATAACATTAAAACAAGAACCTTTTTTTCGTCTCTAACTTAATTTGAACGATATATTTAACTAAAAAGAAATTATTTACAAAAGTGAAAGATATTATGTGTTATTCTTATTTGTATACAAAATCAACAGAGTTTGCTCTACTTGGTGCAATGGGTGGTCTTATTTGTATTAAATTCGTATAGACATCTAAATATGATAGTGTGTTTATGATATGATATGCTAGCTGAATACCAATACAAAGATTTTGTTTTTACAGTTTTCTCTAACATATTTTTGAAAGCTTGTGATCATGACCATTAAAAATTAAAAAAAATGAATAATGTAGCTTTGTTCTGCTGAGGACTCTCAATAGTTCAGAGGCTTATTTGGCCTATTCTCTTGTGAGGGAAGATAAATTAGAAAAGGGTACTGTTACTGAAGATATCCTGTCATAAATAACTGAATATGGTATTATTATGAAACTTTTGCACTCAAGAGATTTGCACTCTCACTCATCAAAATTAGTGGTAATCATCGTCTTTCAAGTTCTCGAGGGTTAAAAGATAATCATCTCTCTGTCATGACTCATAATGTAGTATTTCTGATTCCTAATATTGATTAACGTTATAAAATTGCTTCTCAAAGGTATTTTTTTCTTTTTCTTTTCAGGTATCCTAAAGGTATCTCCTCCAAGTCAAATGCTGTTCAACAAGGACAGCCAGCTCATGGAAGATGAGAAGACCTTGGCTGAATTTGGCCTGACCTCTAACACAGCAAAGGCTCACTGTCCAGCACCAATTGGATTAGCTTTGAGGTCAACATATTTTTAAATGTTTTATAATTGTTAATGTTAGATGCAATTTTATTCTATAGAACCGTCTAGAAAGATCAATACAGATGTCCTTGACCTCTGTGGCTCATTTTTTATTATTGCTTTAATGTTGGACAAGCTTACATCCCACCTGGTGTTAAGTGGTTACCGGAGCCCATAGACATGTACAACGTAAATGCGCCACCCACCTTGAGATATAAGTTCTAAGGTCTCAGTATAGTTACAACGGCTCCTCATCCTTCAAACCAAAACTCATTACTACTTCACGGCAGAAATAGGCAGGGTGGTGGTACCTACCCGCGTGGACTCACAAGACGTCCTACCACCAGTAATAAAGTATATATCATATTTACCATAACGCAAGACTAGTTACTAGTTTAGCTATTATAATGAATGAGGTACCATTGTTTCTGATCATGCATTTTCAATGCAATTTAGGCTTTCGGATGAACAATGAGCTCATAGCCCAAGATATTTAGTGGCTTCAGATATGTTTTAGACATATAAATGTATATAGATACAACGAAGTGACGTTACTTTATCCACCCTGAGCTACCAAAAGTTGAAGTTTTTATTGTGTATTGTAATATCCTAACTGTCTTATTATTATTTTCTAAAATTTTTACCCATCACAGCCCACCTGATCTGATAAAATCAACATGATTAATATTTAGGGTTAGATTTCATTCATCACCTTGGATGGAACTTGTATTGCTGCAAGCCAGCACAGTCATGAATTCTAGTTTGAAGGGTGTGACAACCATTACACAGCACTATTGAGATTTCAAACTCATATCTCAAAGTGGATTACGTAGTCTTTCACCATAAACAAAAGTAAAATCACTGCCTATTGTACAAATGTAACTGCTTGTTGACCGTTTTCTAATGTTGATTGTGTTTTGGTGTGCAATAAAGTATGTTCTCTCTCTCTCTTTCTCCCTCTCACACACACACACATGCTATATATTCAATAGGTAACATTTTTTTGAAATTATATTTTTCCTAAAATCTTTTTAAACAATATTATTTCATAACTATTACAGGAAGGAGAATGGTGAATTTGAGGCACTGGAACTTACCCCGTATTCTTCACCCCCCGACTTGCCAGATGTTATGAAATCTCAAGAGACCAATGGACAGGAACAGGTATGACGGCTATTTCAGAGCATTTCAGTTTCGAGCAAATTTTTAGAACCCTATGTGCCAGTATGAGCACTTGAGTTCATGTTATTATGATCATTGATCATAAAAGCAGGCCTAATTATCGCCAATCAGACCGCTAACATATCGCATATCTAAGAAAATAACAGTCAGGTCAGAGCATCCAAGAGTATGCTCAATGTAGAGCTTAGCCGTTGGTTTTTTTTTTTTATTGTCCTGGTAGACAGACGGTCCTGATGGTGAGTAGTTGCCGTCGCTCGTGGACGACAGCAATGTCAGAGACAGAACTAAGCCGCTGACTGCCGAAAATTTACAATAGGAATTTTATTTTGTGACTTTTTTTTTACCCTACACCAAAAATATTAACACAAGACTCCCGTGTGCTCTGGTACCGCGCCAACCAGGCATATTCGCTTCACGGAGTATCAGCTTGCGAAATCGATAAGTCTGCTTAGCTTTACAAATGAAAATTGTTCCCCCTTTATTTCGGGTTAATAATACCACGGGAAGAGTAATAGAAAAATATTGCTCTATTAAATTCGTAGAAATATTCAAATGTCACGTGTAAAGCTAGTAATGTATAAGTAAAGATACATCATTATTAAATAATCGACAGAAGAAAAAAACAATCAATGAAATGCATAGCAGAAATATTAAAATTTAGTTCTGTTTGTAAATCAGGTGTTGCAAGTCACACATTTGTCATTTTTCTGTAATTGAAAATAGTAGTTTAAAAAAAACTAAATTTCCCTGAAAAATCAACTTAAACGATGCAACGGTGAGCGAATCTGAAATAATTTAATCACAAAAGTATACCTTATAAACTGAATCTGCAATAGAATGAATTTTACTTAAATGAATTTTGTGATGTTATACAACGTGTTACAAAATACGCTGTAAAAAATTTAATTAATTGTCAAAGCCAAAACGTTGTCAACCCTAGTAAGCTGTCATGTCAGGGAACCAGATTATTAAACAGAAAGGCCTATGTACCTATTATACCTAATAATTGTCTACTTTAATAGTTTTTTTCTATTTTTCATTCATAAATGTTTGCTACCTTAATACAAGAATGTCATTAACTGAAGTACTGACTTAAAAAAATGTCAAGTTAGAAAAAAAAAACATGAACTTCTTTTTGTGGGGTTATGTGAAGGACAGAGTGTATTTCTTCGATTATCCAACGGTTGCCGAGATGGAACAGCGTGTTAGATCGGTTTTCGCATCAGTAACACCGACGATGCTGCAAAATACCACACAAGCCATATCCCGAACGGGCGAGGTTGTGTATTGTACTAGGCGGTGCGCACACTTTGAACCGTTTATGTAAATTTGACGTTTGTATGAAAAACTGTGTCCATTTAGGTTGTTTCGTTAGGTTAGGTCTTTGAATTTTTTTGTCGTTCCGAGAATTAGGTAGTAATTGTAGGTAGGTACATTCTGCGTAGTTTACTCTTTAATTTTAATTGAAATAGGGTTTGCACATAAGGGACTTTTTATTTTATTATTATGTTATACAGCGTTACTACGGTTCTTAAATATTGTGAATGAACTCGTTATATGGGGCCTCCATTTAACCTCCTTTCAGCATTACGGGTAGTTTTGTAACACTATGTGTGCCATTTTAAAAATTATTAAATACCTTCAAATCAGCATAATGAAATCTACTGTAATTGCTAACTATAAATATATTCATTCATCTCTATAATGTGTTTCACTGAAGTTATTGTGAGGTGAACTAGCATAGACAGACCGATAAAAAGCATTGAGTAGCCATTGCATTGTATGAGCCATGGTCACGATACATGGTCGTTCGCTTGCGATTCGTACTATTAAGACTGTACGTACGTCTTCTTGAAGTTAAATCACAAAAATGATTTATTTTCATTCAAAATTATTTCAGATGGATCAACATTAAACGAAAAACGAGGCTGTGATTCGGACGTAGACGATACAGACACCAACTTTGTATCATAACGATTTTGTATATTTAAAAAAAAAACCAGTTCAGGATCTGAACATTTAGCCCGGCCCCTACGATCCGGCAGTCGGGTGCAAAACATTAAACAATTTTATTTTTTATTCACGATAAAATATTTTGTTATTAATATATCGATTTGTGTTCCGTTCAACGTTTTGTTACGCTTCGATTTAAATATTCCTTCTACTGTTTCAACAAATATATATTTATATATAAATACATGATGCATAGAACTCTACCTCCATTATTATTTACTTTCAAAATTGGCTTATTAATTCATTTGATAGCACTCGTGGTATTAACATGTAAACAGACCTGGTTTTGTCTGTTCATATGTAACGTGTCAGAGGCGATACCAGAGTGACCAGAGTTCAATGTTTTCCCAATCTTTTATTGAGTCATTGTGTTCACCATTGGCAACATTATATGTTTACGCCGGGACAAAGTAAGTTACATTGTGTAATAGAAAGATTTAATTAATTCACACAGTATAAGTTTAGTTAAGAGTCCACAATTCGACTGTTTGCGCATAGACAATAGTAGGAACTCTTTTTTCTTTTTTGTAATTAGTTTCCGGATCCGTAGACGTAATGTCTGACGTCCTAAAGCCACATTAATAGCATTTAAAATCGATTTACAAACATAAAATAGTAATAAATATTCAAAAAGGCTTAATGTCAGACAAGAACAAGTTTTGACTATATGTAACGGTATTATCAGTAACAAAAAGTGTAGTTTTGTAAACTAAGTCATGAAGGCTGTGTGGAATATGACTAAAATATCTACTTTATCGTAACATTATATAAATTGGAAACAATTGGATATTCACGTTATGTTGCTTCTATCGTTTAAGATTTAAATCTACAGCGATGTCTCAGGTAGGGTAGTTAAAAAAAACCCAATGTAGAATTAAAAAAATTAAGCATTGGTATTGATTACTCATCGAAAAACATTTGTATCATAAACATTTATTTGAAGTGAGCGAAGTTTGGGCAGTATTGTAACAACTCGCTTAACACGCATGGATTATATTATAATAATTGCTTAGTTTGTTAATAAGCCGTATATATTACGTTTTTACTAATTTCACATAACTCCATCTGCAAACGAAAAGAAATTCAAAATAATTTAATAATGCGGTAAATAAAATAAAGCGGTAGGCAGCGAGCGGCTTGGCTCTGCCCCTGGCATTGCTGAAGTCCATGGGCGACGGTAATCACTCCACATCATGTGGGCCGTATGCTCGTCTGCCTACAAGGGCAATAAAAATAAAAAAAAATCGTAAATAAATTAACTTTTCAAACGAGTATTTATTTTTTGCTCAATACGAAATGCTTTTTGAGAAAAACTTGTAATTACTCAAATGTCACTTGAACGTTGGACTAAGTTTTTTTTTTAAATAGCTGTACCTATTTAACTGATAGAATAGATTAGCTAATTTTTATAGGGGGGGAAGAATAAGGGGCTTTTTATATTGACGGTCTCTCTGCTACATTCTATGGTGTGTCTAAAGAAACAAATCTTCATTACTTCCTTTATTTCGCGTTTCTGCAACAGAAAAAAATGTTAATTTTTTTTCTGTATATTTTGAATTTTATTTTTGTTTTGATTTCTTTTTTTTTTTTTGTTCAATAAAATCAGCAGAATTCCTGGTGCAATTCTTAATTACCTGTCTATATTAACTTGTGATTTTAACGGATTTCTCTTCAGTTGCTGTGCGTTCACTGGATAGCATTGTTGAAATCTGTATTACCAAATAATTTTTTTATCATTTTTTATTTTTGTTTCTATTTAATAAAAGTAATAAGGTAGTATCGTATTAATCGAAATTGCACTTTGCACTTTAAAAAAAAAAAACTATAAATTCTTAAAATAGGATAGCAAATTGAATGGCCGCTACTACGGGTTTGACTATGTGAAAATAATGTTTTTTAGTCGTAATTAGTCGCGTCTGGTTGCTCGTAGTAGGGGCTGATATTTCCCCGAACTAGTCTAGTTCAAGAAATGAGGCAACGTTGAGTTCGCTGTTACTTTTCATGAACTTTATTTACGTTTTGCTGGTACATACATCAAATATAAGGTTTCGTACTGAATAAATATAATATAATAACGGAAATTAGCGCCATTTTGACTTGCTACGTCTCGATCGCACCGATAATAAAGCTTAGTGATATTGATCCTTAAATACAAAAGATTACGAGCTAGACCAATTTTGGATTGGATAGATTCTGATTTGTTTCCAAGTCGGGACCGCTTAGCTTAAAATGGCCGATTACTCATTACTAATTAGTTTTAATAAACTTATTTATTCTGAAATTATAGTAATAGTGACGAGACACTGGAGTTGACAGAACGAAAAAAAAACATATAGTACTAAATAACTGCATTTAAGGGTTAGATGACTTTAGCTCGGATATATTGTTTAAGGTCAAGTCATAATATTTTCTCTCTTGTACGTGAACGTGGTTTTGGAAGATTTAACCATCCGTAATGTTTCCGACAGTTTGCACAAATATATATACAATATGCAAAGTCTGTATCGGGATTCGCGTTGGATTCATGCCATATTGGTACGATGAACGCTCAGGCTAAATCGCCTTAATTTCCGTTATTATATTGTTTAAGTAGGTACGAAAAAAGTATATGTAATATTTTAAGGTTACACTAAATAACAAAAGATGCAATAATGTTTTTACATTGTATAAATGTGTGATTAATTAACTGTCTCCGAGTCGATGTTTTTGTATAACGAAATTTATATAATAAAATACGAAACAGCATATTAAGACGAATAAAACATTGTATATTATTTACTTATATGTGCAAAGCGAATTCACATGATATGAGCCAGCGGTAAATAAAGCTGTTTTGATTTGTATTGATTTGTTTTATTTTAGTCCCCCTATATAATAATGAAAACCAAATGCTGTGAAATAAATTTCCCTTACCTAATCGTTGGTAGCCTAAGGGGCTCTTCTAACTACGCGCGGACAGATAGATGAACTCACGGACTTAATCTAAGAGAATTGCTAACACTAACTAATAAGAGAAGTGCTTCGCTGAATCTACCACCGGATCGAAATCGCGACTTGCGACAGCAAAGAAAACAGACTTAACGAATCACCGCAAAAAATAAGCTGATGCTTACACGGGGAGATTTACGAATTCACGTTCAACATGATAATAAATGGTTATTGAAATCCATAGACACCTCGAGATATATACATACCTATATATATATAATAATATATATTTCAAGACAAGCTTTTATTTTTATATTTATTGAAGGAATTAAGAAACTTAAGTTGTTCATTTTTAATTATCCATAAAACATTTCGACTATCGCATAATATATTTGCTGTTTTAATTATAGTAAACTAAAATTTGTAGCATTCTAACTAATAAGAAATGTTGTCTTGCATAACGGTGATTCTGAAAGAAGAAAAATAAAATGAGAAGATTGTGGTGGTAGCAGAACGGACTATTGGTGGTAGGGCGTTTTGTGAGTCCGCACGGGCAGGTACCACCGCCCTGCCTATTTCTGCCGTCAAGCAGTAATGCTAGATACGAATGCACCGGACGTCTTATCCTTTAGGCCACGACGACTTCAAAACTGCGACTGCGGTAGGCGCAGTGCTGTTAAAACTGAAAGCTTAAAACTCATGTCTCAAGGTGGATGGCGACGTTTACTTGTTGATGTCTTTACTTATCTCCAGGTGGGTCGTAAGCTTATCCACTCATATAAGTAAGAAAAATATCTGTCAAACCTAAGTGACAGATCTGTAGCAAGGGTTAAATTTATAATTTTTTTTTCTGTTCTGAGGGTCTATCGAAACCCTAACGTAATCTAGCTATTCCCGAAAAGCTATGGAGAGTAAAAGTAAAGATCACCGTCGTATTTAAGGGACAAGTTGTAAAAGTGTCCATCTCTAAACAGCAAATTACTGTTAGAAGACACCGAAATAGCACTAGAACGTGGAAATCATAATAATATAATGAAGGCAGTTTTAAGCAGAGTGAAGTGTGGTAGTAGATGGCCCTATTTTAAAAATTTTCACTTTTTACTATAGCGCTACCTTAATTGCTTCCTTTTCAGCGAATACCTACCTTCCATACAAAAAACGAACAAAATTACTATCAAAATCCCATTTTTGGTACTTATTATACTCTAGTTTGTTATCATATTTAATCCACCTAAAAAGAACTTGCTGCATGCTACTGCATGTTACAATCTATGCAAAAGGACAAACAGTTAATGTACTTAATATATAAGGGACTCTTTGGCGGGAATGAGAGGTGCGAAGCTATATGAATTGTTTTATTTTTTTTAACTTTAGTCATTCTTCAAACTGAAATTTGTAATAACGTTAGTTTGTTAACTGTTAAATATTTGTGAAAGTGCACAACTGTAAAAAAATTCAAGAAAGCACCTGGACGTAGCTTCTCAGGATATTCTAAAAATTCCACTGACAAAGTTACAGTTAGTAACCACCATTTTACTTAGACTAGGTATATTTCTTGACATTCCATCTCGTTTCGTTTGGTTTCATCCCAATCAGTTGGCATCTCAAATAAATCAACTGCACTTCATTGTATTTATATCCTTTTTCATTCCTTATTATTTTTCATAAAACAGAATAAAGAAGAGATTAGGCTGTATGGTATCAAACCTTTTCTGTTGGAAAATAGAACCACTACCGTACACTATTACTACACTTAGTTGTCAAAAAGTCAAAACATTTGCACGCGCTACGCTTTAAAGATAACCTCAATATTACATTTAAAAAATATACTTTTCGTGTCGAATTTTACTGAAAATCCTACATGAAAAAACGTTCACATTATTTATATCATCACTATCAGTGATTCACTAACTACAAAATGGGGAAACGTAAAGGAAAATGCGTGAAGAAGAATTCCGCAAGTAAAGAAGCTTTGGAGCCTGAAAACCTAGTGAAAGCGCCACATTCGTTCGTGATTCACAGAGGGCAATGTAGCAAGGACCTCGTAGACTTAACTAGAGACTTCAGAAAGATCATGGAACCTTTCACTGCTTCACAATTAAAAGTTCGTTTTCTTGTTTTGACTTTTTATAATGGCCATCGAACTCACAGCACACCTAATATTAAGTAGTGCTACAGCCTATAGACACTACAACGTCAATGCCACTACCCAACTAAGCCATGATTTCTAAGTGTCAAATGCTTTGAGACAGAATTAGACAAGGTGATGATAATAAACTGGGAATTTTATCATTGGCCGAAGCTATGATCACTTTAGTTTTATTTAATAGAATCCATTCCTACTGCTTGTATAACAAATGAAATAAGGTTTCTATTAGCAGTAACATTTCTGTTGTGCAGTATATAGAAATATGATATTTTATTAACAGGAACGCAAGAAAAATACAATCAAAGATTTTGTGTCCATATCTGGTTATCTTCATGTTTCACACATGGTCCTTTTTACGGAAACTGAACTTGGTTCTTACATGAGACTTGCCAGACTACCTCGAGGGCCTACGCTAACTTTTAAGATACACAATGTAAGTATTTCTTTATTTATTTTTTTAATTTGTTTATTGCTTATGTTGGTGGACAAGCTCACGTGCCACCTTGTGTTAAGTGGTTACTGGAGCCCATAGACATTTACAATGTAAAGTCTAATAATAAGTCTCAGGTTTTACAGTACATACATAATATATTATATAAACAGTAACTTCCATAAACTGCTTCATTGTACTCAAAAAGTACCAAATGTAATTGAGTAATTACAAATGCAAAACACAAACAGGGCATTTAAAAATAATTGTTTTTTTGTTATAATAATATGTTTCGATTGACTGACTCAAACAATATTAAGTGGTTACTAAAGCCTATAGACAATGAAATGTTAATGCTATCATGCATCTATTTCCACCACTTCACTCATGATTTTTGTCAATGAAACAAATCTGTAAGTTAAACTAAGAAGTAACATAATCTAAATATAAAATTCTGTTCAACAGCAGTGCCTGCTTTATTCATATAAAGAAAACTGAACTAACTAAACTAAAATAATTACCGTTATTAAATTTTTCAGTACAGCTTAGCTCGTGATGTAATATCTTCACTAAAAAAACAATATGTGATGATGCGTGCCTTCCAAAATGCACCCCTCATTGTGCTAAACACCTTCTCTGGTGAAGGCATGCACATGAAACTTATGGCCACAATGTTTCAAAATATGTTTCCAACAATTAATATTACTACTGTGAGTATCTTTTTTTTAAGTTTATCCATGAGAAATTGTTTTATAGCAAATGACTAATTTCACTAATCTAATGTAATTAAGATCAGATTATAGTGCATATTTTAAACTGGATTCATAGTATAGGTTAAGTGCAGTTGCTATGGTTAACAACAAATTCATTTGTATAATTCAATCAAAAACAGTTATTGATAGTGGTAGTAAAAAATCAACCTACTTCTTGTTGTCTCTATTTAGATTCATTATATAAAAACTATCTTTTGAACTCATAATGTTTTAGTTCTGAATTCCATTTCAATACAATTATATTCATATTGTCATTCTCACACATCGCATATACAGTGTTATAATTTCAGGTATGCAATTTTTGTTAAAACTGAACTAAGTATGAGAAAATACATTTTTTAATAGTTATTAATGAGATGTTTGCTTTTATTGATAGACTTAAAAGTTGTAATTTAAATATTATCATTTTACTTCTTTAATCAAGAAAGAAGATTTTACTGGTGGTAGGACCTCTTGTGAGTCCGCGCGGATAGGTACCACCACCCTGCCTATTTCTGCAGTGAAGCAGTAATGCGTTACGGTTCGAAAGGTGGTGGCATGGTGGGGCAGCCGTTGTAACTGAGACCCTAAGAACTTATATCTTAAGGTGGGTGGCGCATTAACGTTGTAGATGTCTATGGGCTCCAGTAACCACTTAACACCAGGTGGGCTGTGAGCTCGTCCACCCATCTAAGCAAAAAAAAAAGTAAGATGTTTTCAAATGCTTCTCCTGAAAAATTACATAATTTGTATAAGTGATGTTATAGCACTGTATGTGCGATATAGGCATATCAAAAATAAAATAAACTTATCTTAGTAGATAATATTTCCCAATGAACCTAAATAACGGTTCCCCATTCAAATTAATGTGGTATATGCCCCTTACAGCTTTGTGAATAGTCACTGAATATTATGTTTATTTTTTTTAGGTAAAACTAAAAAATATAAGGAGATGTGTATTAATGAACTACAACCCGTCCACAAAACTAATAGATATGAGGCATTATGTAATTAGAGCAACACCGGTTGGACTTAATAAAGGAACTAAAAAGGTATTTATTAATTATTTAAGTATATTATGATTAGGTTATTTATTAAATAACCATATCTCGTACATTATAATGATTCTCCTGGTCTGAGAAATCACATTTTATAGGCAACAGTATTGTTTGTGAAAACAGGTGCTTTCGATCTTTCTATGACAATTCTCCTATTTCAAATTATGTTTTTATTTAATCATGCCAGTGAATTTTTTTTTGCCACTTCCAGTCAGATTTATAAGGTGAACTGTTTGGAGAACCTTAATAACCCCTTTTTACATTATAATTGTTTTCTTTTTTTGTTCCAGGTGGTCCAAGGCAAAATACCAAACTTGAACCGATGTAAAGATATGTCCGAGTTCTTTGACAAGTAAGTCAACGATTAAGTATCTAGTTAGATAAGTAGGAGAATTAAGCTACTTTCAACTGCTCTACCTAGATGCTTAGCCTATCGACGCCCATAGACAACACTGAGTCAATGCTGTCACCCATATTCAGACAGGAAAGTCTGTTATGCATGAATTTGGAATATTTTTGCAAAAATTCGCATTAAATTTCGAATTCACTTGAAGATATATATATTTTTTACCCCTCTTTATATCTCTACTGACTATTTAGTAGATCTGTTATGTAAGTAGGTAAATGCTATCCTAAAACTGGTGGCATTTATATCCACAAGACGTTACAAAAGTTAATGAAAACCGTATCCGACCTGGATTGTTCCAAGAATACAATCCTCTAAAACCTGTTCATAACCTATACAGAGATTTGGTCTGTTTACTAAACAGAAAATTAATTTTAATAATGACATCATGTGCTTACATGCTTCATCTTTTTCATGTAAACCGTCCATTTATTTGTTTATTGCTTATTGAAACAGAGCGGGCTTGCTATCTGAGAGTGAGTTCGAGGATGATCCAAATTCTCAAATAGTTCTTCCACAAAGTCTGGCGTCGAGGGGAGCAGCCGTTGATTCTAAATCAGCTATCAGGTTATTTGAGCTCGGACCAAGGATAACATTTCAACTTATAAAGGTAAGCATTTCGACTATTATGAGGGGTCCGTGGCCTGATAGATAAAACGCCCGATGAACTCATAATCTAATTTGTTTCTCGTTAACTATAAGAACTAGTAAACACTATAAATGAAAAAAAAATCCAAACAGTAACATTTAAAAGTTTAGCCCCAGACAATATGTTTTCATTGTACTAACTCCAGACTCGGATACTATTCAATTCATAAATTTTAAATTGTACTATTTTATAACTTCTAGGTTGAAGATGGTCTCATGGATGGTGAAGTTTTATACCATGAGCTTGTAGAAAAAACAGAAGAAGAAAAAGCATTAATTAAAAAGAGAAGAGAGGCGAAGAGGTAACATTTACTTTTGTTTCATTAATAATATAGAAAAATATTATTATTTATTATATATTTTCAATATAAATTATAAAGTGTTAACGAAACAGGGAAAATCTTCCTCTGAATGGATGGAAATTGCTCGGTACACCAACGGTCTAAATGTTATTATTGTTCGGAACTTGCAAGCTTATCCTGAAAATGTCATTAGTGAAATTCAGGCATCAGTCAAATATCTCGTGTTCTGTGATAGCTACCTGGTTACACATGTATTTTAATTGAATATTGAAATTTTATTCTTATTAGAAATTAAACTTAAAAAGGATTTCATTTAAGATGTAATGAATCAATAATAAGGGGTATATTATAATTGAACACAGCATATTACAAACACCACCACCCTGCCTATTTCTGCTGTGAAGCAGTAATGCGTTTCGGTTTGAAGAGTGGGGCAGCCGTTGTAACTATACTGAGACCTTATACCTTATATCTCAAGGTGGGTGGCGCATTTACGTTGTAGATGTCTATGGGCTGCAGTAATCACTTAACATCAGGTGGGCTATGAGCTCGTCCACCCATCTATGCAATAAAATAAATAAAAAATCTGCTTTCACTCGTGCATGCGTTTTAGAGATTGCATGTTAGTCAAATATCTGTTAGAGTTTTGTGATGATGCCATACTTGTTCTGGAAGCTTGGTACAATTAATTAATACAGTAACTTTTAGGTACGTAATGTCTTGAGAATTATGATTTATATAAATACAGGTATTTAAAACAAACTACATTATGTGTAGGTGTATGAAACCATAGATCATTTTCATGTCTGCTTGATTGATAAATCAAAATTTTACGGACCAGTTTTGATAGTAATTATAAATTTAGAAAGCTATAAATCCCTGTATCATAACTGTGGGAACTATAAATAATAAATCCGCAGTTTTTTACAACCAAGTACTTTATTATTTTTTACTCTACTTTGTAAGAATTTTAATGTTAAAGTCCAAAAATCTCTTGTAGATTTAATTTAGAATACATGCATTCATTTTTACCTCGAAACGTTTTTTAATTTATCATTCGATTACAGACGTCTAAAAGAAAAACGTAAATCGAAACAAGAAGAGAACATTAAGAAGAAGCAGAAAGAAAAAGAAGAACTCAAACAGAAGTCTCTTGAAGGCATTAAGAAGAAGAAAGAATCGACTGAGAGTCAGAGGTAAAAAAAATTGAACTTGGATTTGAAATGATCCTGTCCATGAACTTACTCCCACGAAGCTAAGCTCTACCGATCAAATCACCAATTCGTTAGTCAATCTCTTTGATTATAATCATGAAAACACTTGGCATGGACCTTTTAAAATTTTAGACCTTTACGAAGCTACCTACCTACCTCTTGGACCTTTTGTTTTGGAGTTGGATAAATTACTAAACAAAAAAATCAGGTGATATTTGATAAATTCACGCGATTTCTGACCTTTAAATTCCGTTTTTCACAATCGAGATCTCTCATCATAGTCGCAATTTGCGTCTATGACATCTCGTTCATACGATCGGAGGTCACAATTATTATGAACTTTGTGTTCAGGTTAATGGAACTGGCGGCCGCCGAGTCTCAGAACAATGATCAAGATATGGAGGAAGACGACGACGCTGATTACTACAGACAGGAAGTGGGAGCCGAACCGGAAAAAGGTACCGCAATAAATATATCTGTTCGATAGTTATGTGAAGATGTTAGCCATCATAGGAAACGAAACACATTAAAACTTAATATTTGAAGTTGCCCTAATTTCCATACCTTGTATTTCGCTACTCGCTTAAGAGGGAATTACGCAATAAAGTGTAAACCCGGTTATTTTTTATCGATATATTGCTCAACTTATTTCAAAAATTGCACCATCAACATAATGCAAATTTTCAGAGATAGCAACAATTTTATCTTGGAATTATATTATAGCCGTATTGATTTGTATATTTCAATCTCATATTCGGTATGGGATTTGTTAATTGTGACAATTAATTACACAATTCATTACAAAGCACTATATCGTGTCTGTAAAAATGGAGTATGAATGTTATTTGAATGAGACTTTATTTTCATCATTATAAATGTTGCCCTGAGTGTGTAATTACTAACATAATTATATGAATATTTAATTTTTTATAGATCTGTTCACACCCAAAACGTCGAACAAGAGAAAGGCTGATGACAATTCTGTAAGAGGTTTCAAAAAAATGCGGCTCGACAAGAAATTAAAAAGGAAATATCAGAAAAATCAAGATGGCGGCCAACAGACAAAGAAACAAGGCAACGACAAGAAGTTCCAAAATAAGGATTTCAAAAATAAGAATTCAGGAGATAGAGATAAATTTAGGAATAAAGGTCAGAAGAAAGTGTTTGGAGGGAAAGTTCAGAATAAGTTTAATAAAGGCAGCAAAGGGAGGGAAGGGAAAGGTAGAAAGAACTCCGGCAAAGGAAAAGGGCGGAAATAATTGTTATTGATGTACATAAATTGTATTTTACACTTTGGTCTTGTTTACGGTTATTAAGTCTGATGGTTTCAAATGCACCAATTAATGTGATTTTCTACAAAACGTACTCCTTAAAAGCATTGTCACTATTGGTGGTCTAGTGCAGGTATAATTCATCATAGCTTCTTAGCAAATAACACCTTATTGCGAATGTGTACTATGTGGAACTGGACAGAAAACCAAATTGGTTGTCACTGCTGCTCCACCTTATAGTGCACAACGGATGGTTTCTAAGCTACGAGAGCTAGAGTTAGAAGATTTGCATTAGATAGATTTCATCTACCATACTCGATAGTACATGAGTGACAGCATCTTTAAAAAAAATTGTAAATATATCAAAATAAATAATTTCAAATGATGGGCTTAAATAACAACAAAAAATATGTATCAAATCATTTAATTGAACTTAAACATAGTTTGAACATGTGATTATTGGTAGATTCAAATATAATCAAGGCACTGAGCAAGGCATCTTTATGTCTTAACAATATCATTTAACATGATTCAGATTCAAGCACTGGAAATGATCATCAATGATCATCAACACAGTAAGAGGTGTTGTAATTTAGCATGTACTTCCTTCTATATTAAGAAAACCATGTCATCGGCCATCATAACTTGGTTGTCACTGGTCATGGAATCCAATGCCGCTTGGACCTCGGCCGAGTCGAAGATCTCGTGGGAGTATTTCTCGTCGAGATGTTTCGTAATGCGACTGAGGGGAAGCGAGTTAGCGCGCTCCGACTTGAACAGCTCGTGTAGGGCTGACTTGAACTGGGCTAGCCTGTAACAAATAGAGAGTGTTGCAGCGTCAAAAACCTTTTTTTTTTTAGTGTGAAAAATTGATGAGAGTGAAATTTTACGATGCGCGCGCACCGTGACACAAAATTAACAAAATAAATTTGCCCACTGAATCGCTCATTACAATACGACCGACGTAACTTGGCGAGTCTGAATATAGCTGCAGGTGAACTTTCCGAACCGTACCGAGAATTACCGAATTTATACGATGTCAAGAAAAGGGATGTCCAATATGGGTGTTTGAGGATGTTTGATTTTTTTTCAAATTAATTAAAATTTAAATAAAAAAAAATGAAATAAATTTAATAAAAATAAAGTATCACTTCTTACGCGCGTACATAAGTACACGCACCCTTTTTTTATCGCCCTTGTAGGCAGACGAGCATACGACCTGATAGTGAGTGGTTACCGTCGCCCATGGACTTCAGCAATGCCAGGGGCAGAGCCAAGCCGCTGCCTACCGCTTAATACTCTCCACAAGCCTCGTTTGAAGAAGGACATGTCATAGCGCTTAGGAAACACCATGGAGGGAAGCTCATTCCATAGCCGGATGGTAGGTGGCAAAGAAGACTCTAGAAACGCACTGTGGATGACCGCAGTGGCTCCAGGTAGTATGGAACTCTACTCCGGTGGCGGGCGGTGCGGTAATAAAAACGAGATGCCACAACCTGCTCGTGTGTGGTGAGTTAAGTTTGAACAATGAGATTTTTACTGGTGGTAGGACCTCTTGTGAGTCTGCGCAGGTAGATACCACCACCCTGCCTATTTCTGCCGTGAAGCAGTAATGCGTTTCGGTTTGAAGGGCGGAGCAGCCGTTGTAACTATACTGAGACCTTAGAACTTATATCTCAAAGTGGGTGGCGCATTTACGTTGTAGATGTCTATGGACTCCACTAACCACTTAACATCAGATGGGCTGTGAGCTCGTTCACCCATCTAAGCAATAAAAAAAAGATATGGCCGCTATACAATGACACACCAGGGAGATTGCTCCCTTACCCTGCTGACCAATCTTCTACATCTCCTCACCTGGCAGGTAGAATAGTCTTCTTGGAACTGGATGTGTGCGGCTCCGGCTCTGGTTGAGAAGACCTCGCTGCCCTTAACACCGGCTCCATTTCCTCATCCGACGAAAACTCGTACGGATCTTGACCTTCTTGCTATAAAAATATGACAATTTATTTTCACCTTTGTTTATTAAGCAATACGACTCAGTATGAAGCTGTAAGCGGCGTTCACACAACGCGTTCATTCTGGCTCAAAATACAACCAGTAAAACATAAGTTTTTTGTTTAAGTAAAACTTCTTTACATACACTTGACTTGAGGAGTAAGCTGGCAAATTCGTGACGAAAGCGTTACGGAAACTGTGATCGGGCGAGGCAAACAGAAGTTGAGAGGAAGATACAAGTTAATGAAGATAGAAAGAGCGAGAGTTACGTTTCGTTTATTACTGTAAGGACAAGAGAGAGGTGCCAACACACGTCTTTCTCTTTTCAAATTTCAAATTTATTATAATTTTATTTCTCATCCAATAATATTAATTTATCAATGAAAACCTATAATAGATTTGAATATTAGTAGAAAATTAATAAATGTACGTATACTACAGTCGTGTGGTCTGAAGTACTCTTTTTTTATATAACACTATGTTATTTTTCATCAGGAAAGTTCTTGATGAATATGTGCAAGGTACTTATCTATTTTAAATAATGGTACCTACAGTTGGATTTTATGTAGTATGGCATAGTGAACCCACCCAACACGAATCCATGAGATGCCTTACCCAAAAACTTACACACGCTTCAGTGGCATTCTATAGTAAGTATAGCCAGAAAGGCGGATTGTCATTTTAGATCTATACAACATTTTGGATTTAGGCAATATTCTGTAGTGATTGACTCACAGTTTTCCTAGTGCGCTTGGGTCGCGGTTGGGCAGGCTCGGTGTCGGAGGCTGCGTCTTCGTTCTCAGTGGAAGCCCGGCGCTTGCGACCTTTCTCCTTTGTTAACACCTACGCAAAATTAATACAAATCAAAACAGTTACATATAAAAAAAATTTTCCTACCTAAGCTGATAGCCTTGAGAGGCTATATCAGCGGAGCCTTAACTAGTGCGTGAGTTTACGGGACTCAAACCTGACGACGTTGCTAACACGAATCCTAGCAAGAGCCGTGCTTCGCAGAATCTACCACCGGATCGGAAACGCGACCCACTGGGAAGATCCGGCGAGAAACTCAGTGGGCTGTGCCTGAGGGTTAATTTACTCGTCGAGCCCTTCGTTGCAAGCGACGGGTTCGACGAGAACGATGACCAGATATTCAGTCTATTTTATCCCCAATATGGTTGAGTAAGAATTATTTATCACGAGTTGACAACAGCAAACTAAACTGCTGAATAACCTGTATTAAACAAAATCAGCTGATGTACAGGGTCAACGACCTTTGACCTCTTGTGACAAACGAAATGAGATTTAATAAAATCGAGAAGAATCAAAATCGATTCTCACGACCCTGCATATTCATTCAGCTAATCAAATGCACTCAAATAAAACAAATATCTAATACATTTGTCATTTAAAAGTATACTAAAGAATTCGATTTAAACAGTAGATGCCTAAGAATTACAATAATTATTAAAATGAAAAAGGTTAAGTGTTTTGTATGTAATACACATTTAATTTTATAAAGTAGTTTTTATTTTGAGACAAATTACATGCTATTTGGTCCCAAACAGGATTCAATATAAGTCTCAATATAAAATTATAGATATTAAACACCCAGACACGAGAAAACAAACAATACAAATGTTTGCCTGATGCATGTGTGATTAATTCTGGGAACCGCACCCAGGGCCCTCGGTTCTGCTACCAGGAGCACTAACCATTGCTTGGTGATTATTATAAAGTATGACTACAGTTCCAGCTACGCAAGTGGTTTGTTTAACTCGGTGTTATTACAATGTGAGTATCGAACATACCTTCTTAAAGTAAGCAAACTGTACTAGCTGTATGGCAGCCAACGCGTCGTCGTGCGTGACTTGGAAGCTGAGGCGGCACTTGGCGTGCGCCGTTGACAGCCGGATGAGCGTCTCCAGCGTGCGGGCGGTCACCGGTTGCGTCTGCAAATAGTCAAGAGGAATATCACATCACTCGAGGATACTTAAAGGCCCACAGAGGGAAGTAACAATGCTCTGCTTGTCTTTTAACGAAGTTATACGTTCTATTAGGAGTTCTTCGAGATGTCACAGAATAAAAGGGAGTATTTTATATGTCCACTAGGTGACCCGGCAAACGTTGTTTTCCCATATATAAGATTTCTAAGAAATTTCTAGTGTAGAAAAAAAAAATAACTTATTGTAAGTGAGAGAATATAAGATGAGGATATGTAGATGAGGGAATATAAAAATAACAAACTCATTCAACCACATACCTAATGCCACATTATAACAAAAAAAAAAAAATCCCAAAAAATAAAAAATAAATGTTAGGGGTGGCCAACCCTTATCACTTAGGGGTATGAAAAATAGATAGAAGCCGATTCTCAGACCTACTGAACATGCATATAAAATTTCATAGAAATCGGTCAGTAGTATGGTAACTAACATTGTGACACGAGAATTTTATATATAAGTTTGCATCCAATACGCACATAACACAGGCTAATAAATTAAAATGTTCCTGGCCTGTGAATAAGACGCCGGTGTACTCGTTCCGAGCGATGCAATCGTGCCGGTGTTCAAACAGGCAGGTGCACATTTTTCTTATAAAATACGTACTTAATACAGATTCAGATGACATTTCATGATGAAGATCGTGAAATAAAAATGCACCTCGCAATTTTTTTATTTGCATAATTGCATAGCTGGTGGTTCCGGTTTCGTCAGGCCCACCACAGGTGAGTACCACCACTCTCTCTCTATACGTGTTGCGAAGTAGTGTGGTTTGTTATTTGTATTCTCGGGATATTATGCTCCGAACACATAAAAGTCAAACACACCATTTTTAACAATATAATAAATAATAATAATAATATAAAATGTTCTATTATAAAGTAAAAAGAGTAAACAAGTCGCTAGGCACTACAAGACACCAATTAAAAGTAAAATTATAATACCGACGCTTGAAAGGCAAACGTGACTAAGCGACAATGCGTGAACTTTACAGTAGACTAATTTAAAGTTGAAATACCTGTAAACAAAATTTATTTTAACGAATCTACCTGTAGTAGAATCTAGCTAGTAGCTGTAGGATTGAAATGGTTTTAATAGACCTAGACATATATTTTTTTGCGCATCGAATATGGTTATTGCCTATAATTTATGTACAAAGCATTTATTGTCGCTTAGTCATATTTGCCTTTCAAGCGTCGATACGTTTTACATTCAACTTAAAACGACGCGCCCGAATCTCATAGCATGACGTCACGGGACACCTGCGCGTTCGGAAACTCCGATCGCATCCGATGACGCCCGAGTGCGACCGAGTGTTGCACGCTACAGTAGAATCTGTTTGAGGTTTAACCGTGACACAACCTTTGTACTATATATTTTAGATTTTAATCCTCATTTCTCAAGGTGGGTAGCGACATTAAGATTAAAGTATGTATAGGTTCCGGCAAAGCAACTATTTATGCAATAAAAATAAAATAAAAATGGATGTAATAACTCACTCTTGCCATGTCGCTATCCATCATGTCCTGGTTCCTCAGCCGAGCGTACTCATCGGCGATGACGTCACACGCCTCCTGACTCAGTTTCGGCTTCATGAGTCGAGCCAAGTCTATGTACTTTCGCATGAACTTGGTGCTAAAGATCTGATCTTTCTTGCTGCGAGTGTTGCCGTGGAGCAGAGGATCGTATTTCTCGTAAATGGATTCAGCTGTATCCTTGGAAGACAAATATTGAACATGGATTATTTCAGGGTTTTACAATATATATAATATATGTTACGGTAAATCTACACTTTTACTGATAAATTTGCACATTTGCCAAAAAGTTAAGTATATGTGAACTGAATATAATGTTTATATACATTTCCCGGAAAATGTGTACTCTTGCCTTCACGTTTTGGTAAATGTATACTCTTACCTTCATGTTTAAAGAAAAATTAGAATACAAATAAGTTAATAATGTTGTTGCAGTGAAAAAATATTTATTTAAATAAACATAATACAAAAGGCTTTAATAACGAAAATTATTTTAATTAAAAAATGTAAATGACAAACAAAACATACTTTTCTTTGCTTAATATAGTTGTAGGTTAGGACAGGGTGCAGGGCGCAGCACTTGCGATTTCTTATTTTGTATGCCATGCTCACATTTACCAAAACGACATGGTCATCGTGAATTCAATGTACATTTCCCTTCTTTGAAATTGTAAATGTTAGTTGAATGCACATTACCCAAACGAGGAAGCAAATGTGCACATTTACCGCAATATCTACTTTTACCGTAACATATCGACGCTTGAAAGGCAAACGTGACTAAGCGACAATGCATGAACTTAACAGTAGACTAATTTAAAGTTGAAATACATGAAAACACAATTTATTTTAACGAATCTAGCTGTAGTAGAATCTAGCTAGTAGCTGTAGGACTGAAATGATTTTTGCGCATCGAATATGGTTATTGCCTATAATTTATGTATAAAGCAGTAATTGTCGCTTAGTCACGTTTGCCTTTCAAACGTCGATAGGTATAAATTTAAGCAGTTTTATTTTTGTCAAATTCTTATAGGGAAGAAAAACAGCTCAGGTTAACGTTTACCAAGGTAACTAGTTTTTTTTTCTATTAAAACTAACTACTGGACCGGAAGTGTTGCAGTTGATAATTTATATAGATAGATAATTCATAACTAATTATGCAGCATCATCTGGCCCTAAACTTGGATCCCCTGTACTGTAAGAACCAACAGTACAATAACGGAGGTTTTATCAGACACTTTCATTCAAAATTAATTGGAACAAATGCCGTGGTTGAAAATAATAATACACCTTGCAAATACATACATCAACTTCATCATTGTCAGGGTTCTCGGTGGAAAGCATTTCGACTAGTGATCCCATCGGTAATACTTCTCCGTCTTGTTCCTTTGGATTTCTGTGCAACAATAATAAAAATATGAGTTTTAAAACAAAATTTATGAGGCTTCTTTGTGCTTCTGAGATTAATATTCAATCGCACACAAACTATAACCTTGGAGAAAATACCTTCTGCTTCAGAAAAGAAAATTTTAAAATTATCTATAGAGAGACAAAGTCATCGTGGTCTGAAGGATAAGACTCGCGGTTCATATCGAGCGATATGACTATCCAGTGCTCGAATCCCGCAGGCGGGGTATCAATTTTTGTAATAAAATTCTTAGTTAACACACATTCACGAAAAATTTAATATAAACTAATAACCTCATATAATAAATACAGACCTGCGAAAATTGTAATTTAATGAAATAATTGAGACGAGTATCAAGGTGGTTAGCGGCATCCAGGATGTGATACCCATGAACTCCTTTAGAGAGTTAACAAAATGGCAGGTCGTGAACTATTGAATGGATTCACCGGTTTACGAAAAAATAGGGTAGCACAATGTGGAAATGAGATGCTCGCTCGAAAGCTTTTCATTTTATATATCTACTAGCGGACCCGGCCACGCGTTGCTGTGGCTGTGGCTTAGGTTTTTGTTTCTAAATAACTCGCGGCCGCCTATGCTAATACCAAAAATTGACAACGTAAGAACAATTGGATTTCACTGTATTGCGTTTACTACGAAATAAATTTCACTTATACTTTAGCCTCAGAAACACGTGGTGCTTATGCCATTAAATTGTAGCTTATGTGAAATGTTGGTATTTTTAGCACAGCGCCATCTATGAGATATTAAAGTCACAGTATAACAATTGACTGTAAAAACTGATTTAAGGCGCCATCTGTTTTAGACTTATGAAACTTGCAATTAATAACAAAAATCAACATAAGAAATCATTTTATTGTTAATTAATAAATATTGCGACCATTCATCGAAATAAAAACCATCCTATCTCTCAAGTTGGATCGAACTGCACATGGTGTGCGAATTTTATTATAATCGGTTAAGTGGTTTAGGAGTCCATTGAGGACAAACATTGTGACACGAGATTTATATATATTAAGNTTACAATTAATAACAAAAATCAACATAAGAAATCATTTTATTGTTAATTAATAAATATTGCGACCATTCATCGAAATAAAAACCATCCTATCTCTCAAGTTGGATCGAACTGCACATGGTGTGCGAATTTTATTATAATCGGTTAAGTGGTTTAGGAGTCCATTGAGGACAAACATTGTGACACGAGATTTATATATATTAAGATTACATTTCCTATTTGTTTATTTGTAATAATAATAAGTGAATAGTTAAAGTACTTTTAAGAGAACAAAGAACATAAAATGAGCCCTATGAGTTTGTTTGAACACTTCTCGGGACAATCAACAAGTATGTTTTAATGCTATTTAAGCTAAGCATATAATATATAGGCAAAGATAAAACATTTAATCATTTTTTTAAAGCTTATTTCATAAAAAAAACCTTGAATAACTTTACAGCAAAACAAAAGAGAAATGTTATACATAAAATAAATGATTGGGCCACAGTATCGACCGTCGGCTGCTCGCGAGAGGACGGTGTGCATGGACAGGCATACTGACCTGTATCTGTGCATCCTAAGAACGTGTTCAGAGATCATATTATCTTGGTCAGCGTCGGCGATGTCCAGCATCACAAATAACAAGTCGAAACGCGACAACAAAGAGTCTTGCAGGCCGATGTTCTCCATGGGCGTTTTGTACTGGTCATACTGGAAAACGAGGAGTAAAGTTGTGTGATTTGTTTTATTTTGTGTATTTAGTGTTTCTTCAGGTTTAAATGTGTAATAACGGTGGTTTATTAACTGTTTAGTATCTGTAAAAGTGCAAAAATGTGGGAAAATGAAACAAAGCCGCTGAACGTAACTTCTCGGGATCCTCCAAAAAGTCCACCGAAAAAGTCTCAGTAAATGACCACCATTTTACTGAGATTATATTTCATGCCATATCATCTCATCTCATTTCATTTCATTTCTCTCCATAATCTCATTTTTCATAGAAAAATAATATAAATTAAAATAAGACCTGACCTAAAGATCTTAGTAACCAGTTTATTTATTTATTTATTTATATTTATTTATAGTTACAACGGCTGCCCCACCCTTCAAACCGAAACGCATTACTGCTTCACGGCAGAAATAGGCAGGGTGGTGGTACCTACCCGTGCGGACTCACAAGAGTTCCTACCACCAGTAATTACGCAAATTATAATTTTGCGGGTTTCATTTTTATTACACGATGTTATTCCTTCACCGTGGAAATCAATCGTGAACATTTGTTGAGTACGTATTTCATTAGAAAAATTGGTACCCGCCTGAGATTCGAACACCGATGCATCGCTCAACACGAATGCACCGGACGTCTTATCCGTTAGGCCACGACGACTTCAAATCCCTTTAAAATCCCTTTAAAAATGTCTTAAAATCTTAAAATCCTTTAAAATCCCTTTAAAAAATGACTATAAGCAATAAGAAAAGTTTGACAATAAACAAATAGTATGCATGCGTGTGTGTGTCAAATACATGGTAGTGTATGTAATGTTTTTTTTAATTGATTTAATGTATTTTTATGCATAATTTGAAAAATATTAACATTCTGCACTTCTCTGCAATTGGAACAGCGCCCCTAGCGGCAAACGTAGGCAAACGACACCATTCCATATAAATATGAGCTAACTTTTACGCTATCGAGAACGTTAAAAAACTCGCAGTAAGCACACAGAGCCCAGTTCCCTCAAATAGAACCGTCTAAAGCTGATTTCAGACTACGCTATACTATAGTGCCATATAGTGGACGTTTCCGTAGCAATGTATGGTGCGCGATATTGTTGTGCTATGAGCTATATACATACCCTGCCGAGCACGGGGTTGGCGGCGGCCAGCACGGAGCAGCGCGCGTTGAGCGAGGCGTGCACGCCGGCCTTGGCGATGGTGACGCGGCCCTGCTCCATGACCTCGTGGATGGCGGTGCGGTCGATGTCCGACATCTTGTCGAACTCGTCGATGCACACCACGCCGCGGTCCGCCAGCACCATCGCGCCCGCTTCCAGCCTGCAACGCAGCGTGAGATTTCGTCACTGGCAACCCTATGCTGAACGCAAAGCGATCTGGTGTCAAGGACCGGCTCTTTGATAAATGACTTTTTGGCGGGAACGCGAGGAGTGAAGTTGTGTGATTTGTTTTATTTTTGTCTATTTAGTGTTTCTTCAGGTTTAAATGTGTAATTATGGTGGTTTATTAAGTGTTTAATATCTGAAAGTGCACAAATGTGGGAAAATAAAACAAAGCCGCTGGACGTAACTTCTCGGGATCCTCCAAAAAGTCCACTGAAAAAATCTTAGTAAATGACCACCATTTTACTGAGATTATATTTCATCCCATATCATCTCATCTCATTTCATTTAATTTCATCCCAGTTGATTAACGTCTTAAATTAATCATCTCCATTTCATTTCATATTATCATTTTTCATAAAAATAATAATATAAATTAAAATAAGACATGACTTAAAGGTATTAGTTACCAGGTCATAAAATCCTGTAAAAAAATCTTTGATAAATAAACCGATAATTTAAATACATGATAGATGATTTATTTATTTTGTACGACACATGTAATACAACTGGAATGGTTTATATCTATTACTTATTGATCTAAACGTTAAGAGGGTCACAATCCAAAACAGTTGATGGTGACTGGAAAGGTAGATGGTAAACGTCCCAGAGGACGCAGTCCGACCAGATGGTCGGACCAAATACAATCTTCTCTAAACATCAACTTCCACAATACCCTTCATGAAGCTAAGGATCCCAGCACATGGAGGGAAATCGTACGGGAGAAGCGGATGCAGCGGGGAAGTCACGACCCTCAGTAATAAAGAAAACGATGCAAGGAGGGAGGTCTTAACGTTCCAACAACCGAACGTCGCCTTTTAGTCAACACATGAGAACATGCTTCGTAAATGTGTCACCCATCTTGAGATATAAATTCTAAGGTCTTAATATAGTTACAACGGCTGCCACACCCTTCAAATCGAAACGCATTACTGAAACATTAAATTTGTTGAATACGTATTTCATTAGAAAAATTGGTACCAGCCTGCGGGATTCGAACACTGGTGCATCGCTCAACACGAATGCACCAGACGTCTTAACCTTTAGGCCACGACGACTTAAAAAGATAGTATTGTTATGTGTCTGCGCCCACCTCCGGTCGCCTGTCTCCGGGTCCGTGGTGACGGCAGCCGTGAGCCCGACGCCCGACGAGCCGCGGCCGGTGGTGGTGATGGCGCGCGGCGCGGTCTGCACCACGTAGCGGAGCAGCTGGGACTTCGCCACTGATGGGTCGCCGATTAGCAGAACGTTGATGTCTCTGTAAACGAAAAACAACCAAAATGTTATAGTACTTGAAGACAGCTTTTAATAATAAACTAGTAGAGGGGGATCTGGTAGTCGAAATTCGACTATAATTATTAATTTAAATTATAAGTTTGAAGATTATTATGGTTCTATTGTCAAAGACTTTACTTCTATAATCACAGATTTCGCTAAGGCTACACAAATAATATTAAAGAAAAACAATATGTTTTATGCCTTATTTTTAAAAAAATTAACATTCTATAAGTGTGGGAAATATTATATTCCTCCGTCCGCGCACTTTTCGTAAAAAGGTTCAAAGTTTTTGCTTCACGTATTCTATACTAATATTATAAAGAGGAAAGATTTGTTTGTTTGTTTGTATTGAATAAGCTCCGAAACTACTGAACCGATTTGAAAAATTATTTTACTGTTTAGAAGCTACACTATTCCCAAGTGACATAGGCTATACTTTTTTTTTTAAATAGAGGGAAACTTACTAAAACTCCAATAATGTAACCCAAGGTGTAAAAAATTACCTAAAATATTATTTACATCGCGTGCCCTGCGAATACTATTGATGATAGAACACATTATTTACTATTATTGATCATATTTACTACAACTTTGTAGAACACATTATTATTTACAAAAAATGTCGCGACAGCATTTGTCTAACTATTATAGTTATGCGGCAATAAGTGTCCTTTTATTTAAAAAAAATAAAACAACTTCAAATATCGTTGAAGTTTTTGTTAAAGACCCGAGCGGAGCCGGAGCGGGCCGCTAGTAATATATAGATAAGAAGGTACGCGAAACCGGCCTCCATGTGTGCAGGCCATGATGACCGCCGGGTGGATTGTCCCAAGCAGAACGCAATAAAAAACAATGGCGTATCAAACAGGCTTGCGAAATACAAAATGAGACAAGGTACAGTTTCATTTTATAATTTGGGGATCTCTTCCCAAAATACATGTAGAATCCGATCATTAAAGAAACTGCATTTTACGATTTAATACATAATGTCACGCAAGATCCTTCTTTTCCAAGCTTTCTTCTTCTACTCTTTAAGCTGATTAATTAGTTTTATGTGATATTTTAAGAGGAAGGAACAATAGGGATTGCATTTTCATCTATTCAATTTATTATTATATTAATTGTCCAAACAAATAGACAAAGTAGTGATAAAGTAACAAAATGGCAGTAACACTTCAAAGTATAACAAAGTCCTCATTATACTTTATAACAATCTCCCGTAAGTAAGAATTAACTAGTAAAATCAAGTTACCCTATTTTACAAATATCCCTAACTACTAACAACAACTCATTTGTGAAGTAATTAATACAGTACTGTGGGTGACTCGCATGTATTTATTTATTTTATAATATTTTATTATAATTACACTACACAACAACACATACATACTTTATTTTATTTCAACACATTCATTTATCACACAATCATACAAAATATTATTTACACTAAACAAAATAAAATTCACAAGCAAAGTCAGGCGATAACTGCAGTATAGCGGCGGCGATAATATTTCGCTAGTACATCCTTCGATCAACAATAGTAACTAGATAAAGGGATACGTACAAAATTAAAGCAAAAACTGTCCGCGTGAATATATACTTATATAGCTACATTCGTTTACTAACAAACGGAGAAAAAAGTTTTGAAACACTTTTACGTTCAAACTAATAACAACTATGGCACCTAGTAATAAAGTCACAAATCTCCAAAACATTATCTAATACTTACNAATTAAATTAATGTTGTTTTATTATTTTATTTAGAGAATTATAAATTTAGGAAAACATGTTGGGTTACCCAAGATGGTTCAGTGTCAATAGCAATCCTTTTTATTAAAAAGAGAACAAAATTTTCTTTAATACCCACACTGTAGGTACCTTAGTATGTAAAGGGCTTGGAGCATTAAATATATCGGAGTAGTCCTTCAAAATGTACAGCACCAGACACATATTCATGACAATTTAAAAGAAACAAGACCTAATTAAATTCTTATAATGTTCCTTTTCAAATGTATATTTCATAGCAGTAGTCAGCGGCTTGGCTCTGCCCCTGGCATTGCTGATGTCCATGGGCGACGGTAACCACTCACCATCAGGTGGGCCGTATGCTCGTCTGCCAAGGGCAATAAAAAAAAAGGATTTCAAAAGGTAGCTTTTCTTTATACCTGAATGTTCCAGCAGTAAAGCTTCCCTGCTTATTGGGCAGGCATCTATAGTTCCCTACAATCTGCACCCTGTCTCCTGGTTTACATTTGTCTACTAGATCATCATCACATATAATATCTACACTTCTTGGCAGTTGCCCAGCTGGTGCCCGTTCAGGCATCTCTTGAACGGTAAGGGTCTGATGATCTTTGTACCGTGAAAGTCCATACTCGGTTTCTAGAGGATTGCCTTCATCATCCTATGAACATATGAGTTACACTATAAATGTTACTCATAAACTTCAGACACAAATGGCAAAATATCACCAACCTGCCTATTTTTACTATGACACAGTTTGAAAGGTGGACCACACAGCTATTCTACTATTAAATTGAGATTTAGAGCTCATGGCTCAAGGTAGGTGATGATATTTTGTTGATGTCTATGGGCTCCAGGTTAAATCCAGGTGGGCTGTGAGTTTGTCCACCCATCTAAGAAATAAATAGTTAAAAAATGTTGCCTACAATTATGGAAGTGCTAATATATCTATAAATCGTAAGACAACTTTAAAATTAGTAACTTATTATGTCATCCAATATAGCAAAAGAATCAGTTAAAATTATGCTTATCTTTACCTATTTTGAAAATATTTAAAATAAGTTTAGCTCGCAGATTCTGATCATAATGTGTCGTGAAAATAAGTAGTCGAAGTAGCAAAATAAATAATGAATGCGTAGTAGCTGTCTATTACAACTGGCAAAATACAGAGGAAAATACCACATTGTGCTGAAGAAGTCTAAGATAGTCTAATGCGATCTTTATATTTCACTATAAATTTCTTGTTATTCTATTCTAATTTTAATTAATGACTAAACTATGGACCTTAGTAGGGTATACAGCAGAGGTGGGAAATGCTTCAAATGAAGTTAGATCAGTATATTTCCTTTCCATCACTTTTTTGGTAACTGGACAATAATGTACACTTCTGACCACCTTGGGACGAACCAATGATACTCTAGTCACTATGCCTTCCACGCAGATTAGATTTCCGAGGTACCTGGAAACATTACAACAATTAGATAAGTGTAAGAAAAACAAATAATTTTCTCAATTGATTCTAATCTATCTAAAGCACAATACATTGTAACTTATCCTGAATCTTTCTATTATGCAATTTTTCATAAATATATCTAGACTCATCTAGACACTTTGGACCTCTGTTCTTGTATATGATCAGTAGTATTCAGCAGTAAATTTCTTGTTCCATCTCCACATGTATAGTATGCACTGAATCTTAAAACTATATAATTATGAAATTTTTTTTTCATTGAATCTAGTACTTTTATAAATATATTCAAACAGATTAATTTTGCACACAGAAAACAAAAACAAAAATAAATTTTAGGTGAACCCATCACATATCATAAAACATAATTAGTTTTAACCTTACAAGCTCGTTAACTATAGCACATCTTAAAATTAAAATAACATCATTCAGCAGTAGAACTTTAATAAGCATGTTTATAAGTAATAACCCACCTAGATGTCAAACTTCGGGGTGTAACATGCTTGTTACCAAAACTTCCTGAGAATGCCACAAAAAACTCCTCTTGAATTTTAGCATATGTAGGGTCTATTGAAGACACATATTCTTTTAAAGCCTTTTGGAACGCTATCTGTTCTTCAAAGGCATTCTCTAGTAAATTCTTGGCACGTTCAGGGCTTTTACGCCTTAAGTCATTGATGCTGACTAAGAGGCGCTTTGATTTATCTTCTATCATCTGTTTCACTTTTTCCATATAAATTCCTTGATCTTCCTGGATATTTAAAATTAATTTATATATTAACAAATTACAGAGAAGCTGTCAACGTATCGTAAATTGATTATGATCACTTAGCAATATTGAAATCCACAAAAAATATAAATGAAGAACCGGAAAAAATACAATAAATCAGTTTCTTCTTTAATTTCAAAGCACTTAACTTGTCATTATTTAAAATCATATCTATAAAGATGAGTGCCTCCATTTTTAATGGGACAGGAGGTTGAAATACTTCATTATTTTATTTCAGATATTAAAACTTATTGTAACCAGAAAAATTTTTAAAGCTTTCATTTACTTCAATACCTAATATCATGAATAATTAACTCACACCATCGTCAAGAAATTCGAGGTACTCCCTTTGTAAATCTCTCAAACGTTGATCGAAATCACCTTCCTCCATATTGAACTTAGCTTTTAAAAATTGTTATATTTTGTTTTAGCTGTTTTAACACTTAAAGTTAACCAAAATCAAAAAGTCGTTGCGTATTGTTGAATTTATTTTGATTGAGATGAGAGTTGTAGAGTCCAATATTTCTCACGATCACTGCTATGAATAGCGTTAGAATATTATGGTTTATTTCAAACTTTAGTAGAAAACTTTAACAATTACACAAATAAAATCTTATCTAAATTATAACTATCACAAAAAATTAAATCTAAAAATTTCAGCAGTTGGCGCGATTTCTCGCAAATAGCCAATGCGAACTAGGCTTGTTGAAAATATATCGATACATCGATATATCGATATTATATTTAATACTTCGATATGTCGATCGATATAAAATTCAAAGTATCGAAAAGGTATAAAAATCGATATTTTTTTCAAACCAATAAACATTTAATTTTATAGATTTTAAGATTAAAAAATCCTAAAAAGATTTTTTTTTAATACTAACATAACATATTTTTAACAAATAATATTTTATGTATTTTTTGTTTTTGGTCAACTCGATTTGCTGTTTTAGAATTTGGTTTTTAAGTTTCGTAAAATTAAGTTTTTTTTAATTTCTTAATAGTTGTTCTTGATTTATTAAAAATTATGTCTATTGATTAGCACGAATATTCTCTGTCAAATCATACCGATACATCGATATATCGATATTTTTATAAAAAAATATTCAATCGATATTGATACTTTCAAAAAATATCGATATGATACATATCGATACTTTATTCCTTTTCGGACATCCCTAATGCAAACCATTGATGTTGTTTGGTCTATGTGTTGTTCAATGAAGTAGGAAACCTATGGAAATGAAACGTCAACCAAAATTTCGTGCCACTGTGACGTTATCTGGCCACAAAACATGGCGGCTTTAGTGCTGTACAAAAGATTTCAATGTTATCAGGTTTTATCGATAAACGTTCTTGGCTCATTTTATTTTAAATATTGTTGAGTATTATTTATTTGTAGAATTTATACTTTAATGGGAAGTAAGTAGGTATATTGTTATGTGCAAATATGATATGATTTAGATGGGTGAAATCTAAGACAAGTTCGTCCTTCGAATTTGCCAAGTAAACGATATGATGATTTTTAAAAGTTGCTACACTGATTTTATAAAGTTGTCGTTTGTCGCAAAACATAAAGATATGGCGTAGTTCAAAGCCATCAGCCCATTTCTAGCATGCTAAATGTTATCGTATTTTGAGTACGTGTTTTTCTTAGACTATTACAATCTATTTTAATTGTTTTGCTGACTCTAAAGTCCGTAACATACTACCGCAGCGCACCCCAAGGAAGGTGCGCCGCACCATTTGAATCACTTTCGCTTGAGAGTGATTCAAATTTTAAACTTATCAAGGGACCGCGTGAAAAAAAAAACACCTACAGAACATTTATTCATTAATTACAAACGTCATTCCTTGTGACTTCCTCTCTAAAATCACTTAATTATTAAATATTTAACAAATTTACAATAGTGTTTTACTCACTGCGGAATAAAACTATTTTATTTAAATAGTTCCGAAGAGATTTTGTCGGTAGCCTTTTTCCCGAAATATCTAAACAGAATGTCTAAATATGTTTTGATGACATATTTTAAAGTGGTATTTATGATTAGTGTCATGATCAATAGATTCCGACCGAAAAATGGATTTTTCGGATGAGGGCTCCATAATGAATTTAAATACATATAGATAATAGTTTTAGGACATCGACTTTCTTGAGATCCTATAAAATACGTTTTAATTATTATTTTTGTATGTTTTAAGCATGATAAATTATGAAATTTTATATAATCAATCATATTAAATCGATATCAAAGTCAATAAATAATGTACAACCCAAAACAGACGGCCGAACTGACGTGACAATGACATTTGGCGCGCTAAACATGGCGGATTTTCGGCCTCATTAGACGGAGACGGAGATATTTACGTATATTCATGTTTCATTTTATGTACGCACTGAAATACTGTTATATTGTTTTCCTGCGAGTTAAAGTGCTGAGTAAGAACGAGATAGATATATGTTTATGTATGTGCCTTCAAAATGGGTGCTATTTATATAAGCAATTGTACGTATAGAACAATATGTCGTGTCCCTACTATATAGGTCTATGGTGTTGTTTGGTTTTGAATTTTGACTTCTATTCATTATCAAATGTCAACTTCAGTAGTAGAACTATTTTTTCCAAATGGCAACGCAAAGGTCACATACCGTACAGCTTAATCTTTTATATATTGTTATATATTTTTTATGAAAAATGATAATAAGAAGTGAAATGAAATGACGTTTGATTAATTTGGAACATTAATCAATTGGCATGAAATTAAATGAAATGAAAGGCGTTTGAAGTCGTCGTGGCCTAAAGGATAAGACGTCCGGTACAGTCGTGTTGAGTGATGCATCGGTGTTTTTTTTTTTCCTACAAAAGCTGATAGCCTTGAGAGGCTATTTCAGCGGAACCTTAACTAGTAGGTGACCTCACGGGGTCAAGCTTGACGATGTTGCTAACACGAACCCTAGCAAGAGCCGTGCTTCGCAGAATCTATCACCGGATCGGAAACGCGACCCACTGAGAAGATCCGGCGAGAAACTCAGTGAGCTGTGCCTGTGGGTTAATTTGCTCGTCGAGCCCTTTGTCGTAAGCGACGGGTTCGACTAGAACGGTGACCGGTGCTTGAGTTACCTAAAAGCACCGTTCGTGGATCGGGAGGTTGCATCGATGTTCGAATCCCAGACGCGTACCAGGGGGTCCCACAAACAAATTTAATGGATAATTTCATTAGTTACAGTTAGCACACTTATCCCGAGTTCTTTTTTTTTTTTTTTTTTTGTTGCCCTTGTAGGCAGACGAGCATACGGCCCACCTGATGGTGAGTGGTTACCGTCGCCCATGGACTTCAGCAATGCCAGGGGCAGAGCCAAGCCGCTGCCTACCGTTTAATACTCTCCACAAGCCTCGTTTGAAGAAGGACATGTCATGACAGTTCGAAAGGAATGCCGGCGAGTGGCGAGCGAGGTGCGGGTGTGCATGTGTGTGTACGCCTCTGTGGGTGCAGGTGAACCACAGAACTGCCAGAGTCCGAACAAAACGCGTGTGCGGCACGGCGTGCCAAAGAATTAAGAAATCCCTCGCTCATTGCTCTTTGAGTTTTGCTGGGAGCCGACAACGAGAGTCCCTGATTGGTCGCGCCGTGCGGTCAGACGCGGCTACCGTTTGGGTTGCTATATGGTTATTTAATGTAACTTTTTCAGTGAACTTTTTGGAGAATACCGAGAAGCTACATCTAACGGCTTTGTTTCATTTTTCCACATTTATAGACCGTTTTCCAATTACAGCACAAGAGCGCATTATGCGGCATAATGCTCAACTAAGCTTCAGCATAATTCGGCATTGTGCGTCACTGAGTCGCATTATGTTCTGTAATTAACCATTACTTAATGGTAGTTTTCCAATTACAGAGCTTAATGCGACTCAGTGTCGCACACTGCCGAATTATGCTGAAGCTTAGTTGAACATTATGCCGCACGGCCATACACTTTCAGTAGTTACTTTCACAGATATTAAACAGTTACACACATATTTCTTTGGGTTTTATGTTAAGAAGGAAATTGCTAAAACTTCACCAAAACGTTTGAGCGAGCATGAGGGCTCATACAGGAAAATGAAAGATTCGTATGTATGTAGGTATGGTGTAATATTTGCACTTTTCCTGTACCTATTTGAATAATGAAATATTTACTGAACGTTGACAGGTCTTTTTGGCGGGAACGCGTGAACGAAGTTGTGTGATTTGTTCTATTTTGTGTTTCTTCAGGTTTAAACGTGTAATAACGATGGTTTATTAACTGTTTAGTATCTGTGAAAGTGCATAAATGTGGGAAAATGAAACAAAGCCGCTGGACTAAGTTCTCAGGATCCTCCAAAAAGTCTACTGAAAAAGTCTCGGTATATGACCACCATTTTACTGAGATTATATTACAACAAACATGGGCTATTTCTAGTCAATATAAAGGAAAGAATTATGCCCAAATATAAACTGTCATTCCTACCAAGCCTTGGTTTTACAATTTTAGATTTAGTAAGATCACGACTACTATCATAATCCGGATGAGACTGGGTCATGCTTGCACTCCATCTCATTTGACTAGATTGGGTATAGTCAATAACAATATGTGTGATTGCGGCGCTGATGTTGGCAATTTAAATCATATTTTTTTCGCGTGCTCCTTAAATGACTGTTCCTCATTTATTGATTTATTAACATCCCTTGGTATTCCACTCCCGACTTCTATTAATACTTTGCTGTGTACTATGAACTATGATATTTATTTATGTATTTCAAATTTTATCCTGAAACATAATATCAAATTGTAATTATGTATATAAATACCTACCTGATCCATTCTTTTTTTTTCCTTTTTCTCCTGTTTCCCTACCTTTACCCTTGTATGTGGCTAAATGCACAAACAGGGCAAGCTAAAAGAGAAAAAAAAAAAAAAAAAAATTTGAAGGACTGTAAAATGTGCGAGTCAATGAGATTTCATTAAAAAATTATTATTATTGTTTAATCTATGAATTGGTGTAAGTTAAATGCTTTGCGGCGTACAAATAAATTAAATACTAAATCTGCTGCACATTCTAACCAAAAGACTAAAGTAATGTAAGCGGTGTCTAGTAGGCCTGGTGTTAGTCCATCAAGAGTTTATTTCGTTTACCTTAATTTTTTATGGTTACTCTGAAACGTATAGTAATTAACAGAAACTCGATATTTGTACGAGCCATGTCTGAACACAATTCAAATTCCAACCAGTCAGAAAACATGATGGATACTGAACAACCCAAGTTAAAAATATTGGCTTTTCACGGTTACCGGCAGAACGGTACCGTATTCAGAGCTAAAATAGGATCATTCCGGAAGGCTGTTGCTAAATACGCACAGCTAACTTTTATTTCTGCCCCTCATAAAGTCTTGAATGATGGCAGTGGAAGTGAAGGTTTGTTGTTTACTACTGTAAATATATAATTTAATATTGAAAACTATAAATTTTATAATTTTAATTCCACAAACTCTTGATTCCTTCTTCTAGCAATCAAATACCATGGATATTTAGTAGTCTATTATTTCTATTTAATTTTTATTACTATAGATTCAGCTGGTCACCTTGTGTGAAGTGGTTACCAGAAGCTATAAGGACTTGAAATCTACACCTACAAAGTTTTACATTTAAGG